TAAATTTGAATTAAAAAAATCTCGACACTCCCACATTGTGTAACAGATCTTAACTTTATTTAAAAATATCTAAGGAATGTTGTTAGAGACTAATTCGTATTTGGTATTATATAGTCATAGAGAACATATTCCAAGATATATAGTACCATTACAATTTTTCGATATAATTTGTTTGAGAAAGAACTTTGTTACTCCGTCCTTTCTTCAATTATGTCATTTTAATAACTGAATTAGTTTGAAGTATAAATTGTAACCTGTTTAGATGTACAGTAGTACTCATGATTACGAAAGATGACTTAATCTGCTACATATATGCTGTATTATTATTTTCTTACAAAAACTAGATTAGAAATCGCATGGTAATTAAGTCCAACCATGTTGTAAAAACAGTAACTCTTAATGTCTTCAGTTATTCAGGAATTAAGTCGACTAAAATTAATTAAAATTATTTATGCTAATATGATATTCCACGTTTGAGGAATCTATGATCCTTTTAATTTATACCTTCTTGTTTATCTCATCCTTATAATGTTTCTAAACTTCTCTTTGGTTTTATTCGAGCCAAAAAAAAACTTCTCTTTGGTTTTAAAGTTTTTAAACTCGCGACGCCATCTAATAACATTACGTACCAACTATTATCGATTTTCCTTGTAACTAGCTTAATTAGCCCACACAAAAGTTGTTTTTAAGTAAAACAACTCATGTCATGTTTTGCATGGCGTTGTGGGACTTGCCATGCAACAACTTATGCAAAATATAAAATTTGTTTCTACAGTGTCTACTCAATATTTGCTAAGGTGTAACTTATCTCCTTATGAAACATGAAACCGGGTCAATGACTCCAAATTCTTAAAAAAAACAGGCTCGGCTATATAAATAAGCTATCTAATTTATTCTTCGATTTTTTTTTTTTAACTTTTCGACGCATTCCGCTTTCGTCCTGCATTTTGGGGTTCCACTTTGTTTTGTTTTGTCTACACGAATTTTCTGTTAGCGATATTTTAATATCATAAAAGGTAAACAAAAGTTAAATAAGATGAGTTTTAAAATAGGAAAAGAAAGAAAATAAAGAGGAAGCACCGTGTTAACTTTGCTCTCTGGGTGTTACACTATCGTGCAAATTGTATCTTTATGCACATGCGCTACTTTATGCTAATATATAAACCAATACGTGTAACCATTCTATCTTTATTTCCACATTCTGTGGATTTATAATCTTCGATGGGTTTGTCCCACAATGAATATTCTTTTCGATTTAAACTCGCTTCGCGAGTGTCATATCAAACTCAAAACGTATATGAACACTAACAAGTCATTTAATTTCGATAAAGGAATGTACACGATCCCAAATAAGACAAACAATGTGGAATATCAAACATCTAGACAGTCTAGATGTTACAAACCGTAAACATGAAAACAAGCCAAATGAAATTAATTTTCTAGGCTTAGATGCTTTAAACGGTCCAGCTCAAGTTAAAGATTTTTTTTTCGGTTTGGTCTGTTAGCACCCGGTCTAAATGATTTTTTAACAAACCGGAACAATATGACGAGTACCAAAAAGTTCATCAAAATCTAGAAGCTCTATTTTAAACTGAAAAAACTTTGTAAACTTGAGAAACGCCTCTAGCTAATTCAGTTCTTGTTTATGGAAGCATTGCAAATAGAACCTTCAACCTTGTATAATCTGATTGACTAATAAGAATTGAAAATTTAAGAGTATAGTTAATTGAGTAGTAAATGAAAGCCAAAGAGAAGGGGGACAAAATGGGTCTTAGGGTAATCACGAATTAGAAGTAGTAGTAGGCGTAGCTGCCAGTCTCATAATAAACCTCTTCTTCTGTAGCTTTCAATGATGACCAAACTCCTCTAATTATTAAAAAAAGGCCTTTATTTTATCTCTTTGCTGCTTTTTTTTTATTTTTAGAATAGTGCAAATATCCTTTTTTATTAAAAAAAAATTACTTTTTCAGCGCATCTGAAATACTACCATTTACTGAAAATTAGTGCTAAGGGGGAAAAAGAAAAAGAAAATCTGACCTCATGATTTAAGGAAGTTATTGTCATGTAGCAAAAAAAAAAAAAAAAAAAGAGAGATTTATTGAGTCCAAGAACAAATATATCAATTTGACATTTAATATGAGTGATCTGAAACAAGCCAAAGTTATTTAAAGTGAAGAATCATAAATGATTTTAACATTTTCTTAATCAAAGGTTAAAAATCTAATAAAGAGGTGGAAGAAGTACTCATGAGTACTACTCTCAACTTCATGATGATGATCAACATCATCCACCATGATGCCTGTAGATATAATTATTCATAGCGAATCCAACTTGTTATAACCATCAACATTTAATCATCTCCTCCTTAGTCCTTATAGTCTACCCTCTTTCACATGTTCCCCTGCACTCTATGGTTCATCATAATTTTTTTTAAAATGTAAAAAAAAATACTATAGAATATTTGCTTGAGTGCATAAAATGCATTTTTAGATTAAACTGTTAACTGTCAATCTAATTCTTGATGTAAGACTTTACACATAAGTACTTTTTAGATTCATCGATTTCTATTGCTAAAAAAAAATTGTACCTAGTTTTTTTTGTTTTCTTTTTCTCTAAAATTGTTCAGAACCAACCAATAAAAGTATTGCATGTGTCTGTTTAAGAAGGTTTTTAGCAGATCAAAGTAGATATTTGGTGGGGGAGATGGTGTTAACAGCAAAGTCCAACGCCCGTGTGGAGTTGTAATATGATTGGACGAGAGTGATGACTGCCACGTGAACGACTTTAACGATATCTCATGATTGCTCGTCTCTTGTTTGTTATCATTGGCTGTGATTATACTTACGTGACCCACCTGTTTCCCTATCCCCCATTTCCGTCTCTCCTATTCGCGAGCATGCATGAACACTTTTCCCATCACACTTGCCCATTTTTTTAATTTGTCCACACTATGGGACTGTTTAATTTATTCACGCAATGATATATTTCGTTTTTTTTCTTCTTCTAGTTATATTTTAACACATGGAGATACATGGCCAATGCAATATTTTAACAAAATTATTCTTATTTTTTGTCAACAATGCAAAGGGGTTATATCACAAGGCAGCTAATAGAGATGAGATTTTATACCGATCAAAAACAAAAAATGCGATGTTTTTATCCTACAAAGGATGCTGAATTTATCCATCTATTGGATTTTAAGCCCGAGGTTATAAAGATGAAAAACAAATAGCGTTTACATTTGCAACAAAAAAAACTTGTTATGGCCTAATTTCATAAGTCTCGCAAACGGGTCGTTCCGGGTATTATAATTGGGCTGTGTTGGGCTCATGGTCTATTATTGTTGGGCTGATGGTCTATGGTCTATTCCATTATGAATCATATTAAGATTTTCAATAAGGCAAGGTTTATGAGCATTTAACTTTCTCATATGTGGTTTTAGATTGAAAACTTTGAACTTGTATAGGTTAAGACAGAACTGAAACTTGCCGATGAGGCTGTTGTCGTAGATCACTCAACATTAAAACTATAATTTCACAGTTTTTCTTTGTTATACTAAATTCAGTCAAAAACTCTTATATATGGTTTTGTTATACTGTGAAATGTCTCATATGTTAGTTTTTTTTCTTTTTTTTTTACTTAAAACAACGTAACAAATGCTGTGAACAAAATTGTCGTAAAGCAAAAATGGTCTACCCTACTGTCTAGTGAATATTATCATCTCCATGTGTTTCTATTTCTTGTTCAAATCTTACAAGTATGGAGGAAAAATGTTAAATCCCAGATCTAAGGGAGCAATTGCGTTTATTGGGTTATAGGAGCCAAATGTATAAATTTCTAATAATGTAGGACCCATTTATCGAAAAAAAGAAGAAATTACGGAGACAACATGTCCGAGTCCAAGAAGAAAACCAGAGACGAGAGGAGAAAACGAAGAATACAGAGAGCTAATTTTTTTTTTTTTTCAAAACTAGATTTAGATACTTCGCTCCGATTCGTCAATGGACACTCAGATCTGAGGATAATCTCTCTTAATTTCTGGTGAAAAAACAAAATATATATATCAAAAGATCTTCGATTTGGGAGGCGGAGACCGGAGCTCGGAGGTAGAGAATCCATGGATGATTTCACAGGCTTGTTAGCCAGAGACTTCGGATTGAAGCCGCAAGGAAAATCGGCTCCAATGGCGCCTCAGACAAACTCTTCTACCGCCGATTTCAACAGCTTCGCATCTTCCTACAACTTCGCCAGCGCCTCATCGAGGAAGCCCGATTCCTCGCCGCCGGTATTTGACGATCTGAGTCGCGACGGTGAGGATCTCCTCTTCAACGATGTATTCAGTGGATCCTCTAATCCTCGCTCTCAGCCTAAGCCGACGGCTCCTTCCTTTGACTACGACGCTATGTTCAAAGAGCGTGCATCGCCCAAATCGGCGTCCATGCCGGTTTACGACAAGCCCGTGTACGACGAGGATGTGTTCGAGGCAATCCCTGAGCTCAAAATCCCGTCGACTTCTTCTCAATCAGCTAGGTTTGATGAGGTTTTCTCCTCCATCTCTTCGCCTTCAAAGCACAGGAAACAGAACAGTTCTCCTTTTGATGATCTGATGGAGAATCTGGGGAAAAGAGAAGCGGAACCGAAGAAGAAGACAGAGAGTGAGGGAGAGGAGAAGAGTAGCTCGGCTTTTGATGACTTGATCCCGGGATTTGGTGGCACTAGCTCCCCTCCAACTAAAAGGTACCATTCAGTGTTCCTGTTGATCTGTGTTTAGCGATTCGTTGCTCTTTAAATGACTCAAGCTTGACAAGATCTTGCTCTATGGTCCTCCTTTAGATTAGATGATATTCGAGTAATTCCCTTGGTTAGAGAATACTGAGAACATTAGACTTATGATTCTTGAATGATCAATTTCCCAAAGGCAACCCATCTTCTTCAATTAAAGCTTACTTCGAAAAGAATGATCACATACACTTTGTTATAATATATCACGAATGTGTAAAATGAGCTTGTTTCAACCTTATATATATTGAAGGATTTACTTTTATATAAGGTTGTTAAAAGTATAGAGCTTAGAGCTATCAGACTTGCATAATGAAATGTAGCGTCAACTTAAATGTGCTTATCGAGAGCTATTTGCAGGTTCTCTCGTGTGTTGTTTTGGAACTTCTAGATTGAACTTTTTGTTTGTTCACACGCAAAATTTCATTTTCGTTTTTGGTATAGGCATGACCTGTTTAATGCTTATCAAATGAAAGTTTTCACTTTTGGTATATGCATAAACTCTTTGTTTATTGATAGAAAGTTTATGCAATCTTTCTGCACAGGCCTACTTCAGAGACCAGTCAATCTCAGAAATCTCAGAAATCTTCCAATTTTGTCGAAGACCCATTTGTAGTCTTAGAGCAGTCTGCATCAACACTTAGAGAACCTTCGACAGGAGGGTTCACTGATCTTGAATCATCTGATGATGTGTGGCTTACTGTTTCTGAGATCCCTTTATTTACGCAACCTACTAGTGCTCCGCCACCTTCAAGACCTCCACCACCAAGACCTATAAAAAAGAAGGTTCACGAGTCTTTATCGAGTTCTACTAACCACTCACACGGTCCTAGCTCAGCTACAGCTTTTGCTAATAGCCCGACAGCTTCTCAAATGGATGGCCTCGGTGATTTTTCTATGAACAGAAATCAAACTGCTGCTAATAGACATCCCGAGCCTCCCTCTGGTGAAGATCCAGATGTAATCTCTAATGCGGTCGCATCAGCTGCTGCCATGAAGGATGCCATGGATAAAGCAGAAGCGAAGTTTAGGCATGCTAAGGAAAGAAGAGAGAAAGAAAATCTGAAGGCAAGTAGAAGTAGAGAAGGCGATCAAATGGAGAATTATGATTCTCGTGAAAGGGAACTTCGAGAAAAGCAAGTACGATTGGATCGTGAAAGGTTAGAGAGGGAGGCAGAGATTGAAAAAGCTCAGGAACGGGAGAGAGAGGAGAAAGAAAGAGAGCAGAAAAGAATTGAGAAAGAAAGAGAAAGACTGTTGGCTAGACAGGCGGTAGAGAGAGCTACAAGGGAAGCACGTGAAAGAGCAGCCATGGAAGCCCATGCGAAAGTTCAAAGAGCTGCTGTTGGGAAGGCTACTGATGCCCGAGAACGCGCAGAAAGAGCAGCTGTTCAAAGAGCTCATGCTGAAGCACGTGAAAGGGCAGCTGCAGGGGCTAGAGAGAAGGCTGAGAAAGCTGCAGCAGAGGCTATACAAAGGGCGAATGCTGAAGCGCGGGAGAAGGAAGCAAGGGTTAGGGCAGAGCGAGCTGCTGTGGAAAGGGCAGCTGCAGAAGCACGTGGAAGGGCAGCTGCCCAAGCTAAAGCTAAGCAACAAGAGAATACTAATGATTTTGAATCTTTCTTTAACTCGGTTTCCAGACCCAGCAGCGCTCCACGACAGAGAACAAACCCTCAGGTGAGATGGGACACGACTTCTGTTTTTGCTCTAAGTCCTTTGCACAGGAGATTCGTCTCCTCCTATAACTCTAGTTGTGTTTCAGGACCCTTTCCAAGATTCATGGAACAAGGGAGGATCTTTCGAATCTAGCAAGGCATCTTCACGAGTGCCTTCTGGAGCAACAGCAGAGAACCTGAGGAAGGCCTCTTCAGCGACAAACCTTGCTGATGATCTCAGTTCGATATTTGGACGTAATCGAATTTCCGTATTCTATTGCTACTCACTTTGTTTTCATGTCTTTTAATTGGTTCACTAACTGAAACCTCCTCCTGCGTGTGTAAAGCTCCATCCACCCAATCTGGTGGGTTTCAAGATGTTGAAGGAGAAACTGAAGAGAGACGGCGTGCCAGGCTGGAACGCCACCAGAGGACACAAGAGCGGGCTGTATGTATCATCAATAGAGTTGTTATATCTTTGTCTTTGATGGGTTTTGTATATCTGAAACTGACGCGCAAGAGTTGCCATTATGTGTAGTAATCTGAATGATTTTCTCAAACAGGCTAAAGCACTTGCTGAGAAGAATGAACGTGATCTTCAAGTACAAAGGGAACAAGCTGAAAGAAATGTAAGTTCCATTCCATTACCGCATCATTCAGTTTGAAATTACTACATGCCTTCCTCTGTTCTGCTCAGTTTGAAATGCAAAACTTTTGAAATGTAAAAGTACTCTGCCACGGTCTCAACTGTTACCATCCTTGTTGTTTGTTTACTTATCATACTAAATCCTGGGTTTCAGAGGATCGGCGAGACCCTGGATGCTGAGATAAAACGATGGGGCGCAGGGAAGGAGGGAAACTTGCGAGCTCTGCTTTCGACATTACAATATGTATGAATCTTTACAATCTCGTCTTGATGTTATGAATCTTACAATCTCGTCTGATGTTTTGTATGCAACATGAAACAGGTTCTTTGGCCAGAATGCGGTTGGCAGCCTGTGTCATTGACAGATTTAATAACCGCTGCATCTGTTAAGAAAGTTTACAGGAAGGCCACTCTTTGTATACATCCTGACAAGGTTCAGCAAAAAGGTGCTAATCTCCAGCAGAAATACATTGCCGAGAAAGTTTTCGACATGCTCAAGGTAAGCGCCACTTTAGATGCGACCAACAAAAACACCTTTAAGTGAACTTGTACATTGCATCCCTCTCATGGTCGGATAATTTATAGAACCCGCGCACAAATTGCTGGCTTAATCTTTTGCTCATGACATTAAACAGGAAGCATGGAACAAGTTAAACTCGGAAGAACTCTTTTGAAGAAGAAAAAACTGGGAATATGTTTGAGATAGTGTTGTTTTCTGTGTGATGATGAAGCATTGATGGTGCATTCATTAAAATGCCAAAGTTGGAGTAAGATGGTTGTTGATAAGAGTAAGTATTCCCTCGGTATTACCCAACACTGAGCCATTGTCGAGTAGAAATGGCAGCAATTGGGCATTCTTATTTTATTTTTGTGGTTAATTTTTTCCCTTGTCATTAGTAACGATATCAAAATGTGTTGATGTTGATTTTCTTGTATCAAAAGGTTCAAAACACAATACTTGAGAGAGAGCTTTTATATTTGTTGTTTCCAAAGTATTTTATACATTTTGCCTATTTGAATATCCTTCTAAGTGTCATGGAGGTCATCAAAGCTACATATCCAAACGTCGAATCAAGTTAAGAGGTTTTTGTTCAATTCAGCAACATTCCCAAACCTATAAAACATCCGTTCATCTGAGAGAAACTTAATAGTTTTGCTGAGATAATAATAACAAGAATAGAGACCAAGGAAAGCAACGAGAAAGAACAAAGTTTTCATTCAATATCATTTTTTTTTTTTACTTTTACCGAAGTTTGGCATTTATACAGTTCAAATACAGATTCTTGAATTGAGAGATTCAGGTTAGAAACCACAAGGAAATGAATGTGATGATACCAATTCAAATGAAACAATTTCACATTCTCACAATGTTTGACTGAAACTCCATCTTTTTGTTTATGGCTTCATCAACATTCCTTTGATATATTCCAAAACTCCGTCTACATCTACCGTCCACGCAACCGATACCGGTGAATAACCAACCCATGGATTGCTCCCGTTCCAACTGCAATCCGATAGAAAAAGAAAAAAAACTGCACTTTTAGAGAAAATTTTGAAAAGATTCAAAGAGTGGTTTTCATTTGTGTGAAGAACAAAGTTAATATAACAAAACCTCTTGAGGCCTTGATCCATGAGCGTGTGACCAACGCATATTCCTTGAGTCTCCACTCGAACGACACCTTTCTTGTATGTAAACAGATCAGGCCTTACTACAGCAACAAAGCTTACCGGGTCGTGGAGGTACACTCCTGCAAACCCGCAACAGAAACTTTTTGAACCAAAAAGCTCCAATTTTTCAAAAACCATGTTTGTTTGATTGATCAAAGTCAGTGTCTTTGCTTACCGTAAACACCATCAGATTTGACGTGCCAATCTCTGTAGAATTTGCACATGTCGCTTAACAGTTTCGCGTGTTTCCCATTGCAGTTACGCAGCGCTAAGAGGTCATCATCTGAAACAGGTAAACAAAACAAAAAAACAGACACTTGCTTTCAGCTGCAGCAGGTGGCTTGCTTATAATGCGATATCAGGAAGAAGACGAAGAAGCTTTCTTCACCTGTTAGTTTAAGTTGGGTTGTGATGTTTATCCCAACAACAGTGATATCTGCTCCAGATGTGAAGACGATATCTGCTGCTTCCGGGTCACCATATATCTGCATATAGAGAGGAACAGAGACCCACAAAATGAATTCAGCATTTTTCTTTTTTCATAAACAGAAGAGGTTAAAGGGGATGTTTTTACATTTGCCTCAGCAGCAGGATTGACATTTCCCAAAGCAAAGAATGCTCCACCAAGTACAACGATTTTCTTCACCTTACTCGCAAATGAGCTATCGCGTTTGATGGCCTAAAAACGAGAAAAAAAACCTGTCATGTTTTAGACACAGATTTGAAGATTTCAAGATGAAAGAAAGGGATTCGTTGGTTCTTACTATTGCGAGGTTGGTTAGAGGTCCGAGCGCGAGAATGGTGACTTCACCAGGATACTCTGAGACCTTCTCAACTAGAAACTCAGCTGCACTTTTGTCACATTTCTTTCTACTCGGAAGAGGCACAGTGACATCTCCTAGCCCATTTTTACCGTGCACGAAATCAGCAACACGCGGAATCCCTCCCTGAATCAACACAACGAAGCCAGAAGTCGAGCTAAAGTCAACATATCAAAGATTTTAACAACTTCCATGGCATAAATTAGGTCACGGGAGGAGAGAAAGATTGTACCTTTAAGGGTTCTGAACTTCCTTCTGCAACGGGAACATCAGGGAAGCCAGCAATCTCACACTATTCTTTTGCATAACGAGCAAACGGAGAGAGAGAGATCACAGACACATTCCAAAACACTTTTCAAAGTGAAATCTGTACTAACTTAACTGATTGCATTGTACACATACCAGGAGTAAGGCGTTGCGTGTAGCATCTTGTGTTGAAACATTACCGAAGACAGTAGTCAATCCCAATATATCCAGCTTCGGTGTTTGAAACGCCATCATTATCGCCATGCTATCATCTAACCATACATATAATAACACAGCAATGTTATAACCATTTCTCAGATTCTCAAATCTACTTTCTTTTTGTATAACTTGAGCTGCTCCCTATTGATCTAAAAGCTGTAGGAAACTTGTTACTATAATCGAACAAGGACAAGTAAGCCTCAAAGAGCTTAAAGATCCAAACTTTGCAAACAATGAGCTCAGATAAACAGATTCTAGAAATCACCAGAACTCTTAATTCAATGGAATTGCTTAATGAGATCTCGACCGGGACAAATTCAAATTCTACTGTCACAGGAAAAAAATTAGAAAACTCTCATACTAATCATCAATATCCATTGACTAAATCTCATGTTCTCTCTCAAGCTAATCAGCTAATCAATTCACCATGAGAAGAGAAAAACAGAGAAGAAGCCTCACCGATTCCTGGATCGGTATCGATAATGAGCTTCTCACGCTTACAAGAGATGTCCAAAACGTCGCCGTTTGAGATCCCACCGTTGCAAGTCTCCATAGCAGAAGCCATCTCGACGGAGATTAATTTGATGATTTCTCAGCAAAAGATTAAACCCCAGCAAAGGAATTCTAAAAACCCACTGAAACTCTCCTTGTGGTGAACAGTTTCCTTTCCAGATTTATATATACGTATCAGATCAAAAAGGCCTGAGCTTTTCAGAATCTTGCACGAGAAAAATACCTCAAAAAGCCACAAACTTTTAAAAAGGAGGAAGAAGGAAGTGGGATCAGCTATGAGAATAAAAACAAAGATTTATGGAAAGAGAGAGGACGACGAATTGCTGAGTCGTCCAGCTAAGCTTTTCTTCTTATTTGTTTTTATTTTCTCCCTCTTTTTGTGGTGACAGAAAGATTATTTAGTTTCAATTTACTCAAATTCAATTATATCCTATAACCTTTTTTCTTGTTAAAAATACATTTAACCTTATTTTAAAAGCCACAATACTATAATTATCTTTCACGATAAACCCTTTTCAACTGTTTTTATTTCTTTAATAATCGTTCCAATTTGATCGGATTTCTCCGATATAACTAATTTTCGATTTTGTATATTTTTTCAAAGTTTGAAAATAATGGCTTGCTATAGTTTTTCTTTTCTTCAAAGTGTATTTTTCTTGATTAAAATGTAATTTTGTGGGGGTTAGACTTTGGACCATTTGGTGAAGAAAAACGTTTATCAGTTAAAAAGGAATCAAAAGAATAAATTTAAGGATCCCATAGAATAATAAGTAAGTTGGAATATAAAGAAATACAATTATTATTGTATTTGGAAGTTGGAAGGAAGAAACCTTTCATGGTCACATGCGCCAACTAAGCGTCAATTATTGTCACCAAACGACGCAATAATGATTTTGTTCACGCATCCTTCTTTCTTTCCATTACATTCTTCCATCGTTACAAATTTTATTTCGTAAATAAAGGCCCAACGTTTCTTGGGCCTAAAATGAAACTCGAACGTACATTTAAGCTTTTTTATTTTGTTTTAACATAATGACGTTTATACTAATGTTTAAATGCATGTATCTTAACGTAGTCTGACTTTTACTAATGTTTTAGTTTTAAGATTTAAAGCTATTTTGTTTGTATATTACAAATATTCGTTAAATTTATTCATTTGTTTTGTTAATGGTGGTAGGTAATATTTTGTTTGAAATATTACTTCGATTTTGTCATGTCAAAAGGAATGTATCTACACTTCATTCTTAGTCATTTTGTTCTTACGTCAACCCATTAAACGTAAAGGTTTATAAAGACTAAAGAGATAATTGACCAAGAAGTAGTCACCGTGGAATAAAAATAATAACCCCAATAATGGGTTAAGCAGACTTTACAAAAAAGAAGAATTAGTGGGTACATCGACTCTGAAAGCACCAAAAACATATATGCATGATATATGGGTATAAATTGTAATCCCTCAAAGAATAATCTAACGTTTTCTAATTAACAAAAACACTTGTTGATATAAAAATATAGTTAAACACTTATTTACATAATAAGAAAATCCGAACCGAAATTCTTGCCGACAAAAAAATCAATAATGAGGGTACATGTCAAAAGAACTCATCAACAAAAACAAACTGAAAGCTAAGTGTGAACATGAGATGGACGAGAATCTTGGCGGCCGAAAATGGGTTTATGCCAATTGTTAACCCCAACCTTCTCCATTATCTCTATTATTTTCCTCATTTTGTCATTATACATACTTAGAAATAAACAAAGTTTTTCGTCATATATAAACAATGTTGTTGGGATCAGTTGATAATGATGAATCCGACCTTCTCTTTTTTAACACGAGTTCCAATCAAACTCTGCTACTCCCTGTCGCCTGTCGAAATGGTTTTTCTTTGTGAGAGCCAAAAGGTTCGTAACAAAAATGGTTTAATTCACCTAAACATCGAATACGTGAACTCAAAAAGCTTACAAAGATCGACATGTGCACAGTCGATTCAATTGGATGCAACCCACGGTTCCTTAAGACCTTAACCAGTTTCTTTACGAAACTCAAAAAACCAAAAAAAATTATGACTCACAGTATATTTATCCATGTCACCTACTCATTACTAATTTTTATCATGGGGTTTTTGTGTCTTCTTAACTTTGTAACCTATGTGACTATGTCTAACGCAATACATACCACAACACACTCAAATAGTAAACAATTTAATAACCTGTTTTTCAGTGACACTAACCATGTTTTTACATAAAGTGCTTATTTATTTACTCAATGGACGAGACGATTCTCGCTAACGATCTCTATAAACAACAGATGAACGCAGACCAAAAATCTCCACTTAGATATTCTTGTAGTGGCATAATATATATAATATTATCATCTGACGCTTTTGTTTAAATAAAAATCCCTTAGAAGAAGCGATATGTCAGTCTAACCACACAAAAAAAAAAACATTAAGAACTAACTTTCCCTTAACTTCTAATAACTATTTTAGAAACATGACGATTTAAATTGGGAGAATATGATGATTGAGATCATCCTGTGATAAAGATACTAAGTCACCTTGACAGAGATTTGGATAGAATGCAACTTGCTATCAGTGGATTATAATAACAACAAAATGTAATAAAAAATAAAAACAAGTTTGGGCGAAATTGATTGTTGTTATGCCCATATGGAAGAAACGTTGGAGGGTATGTGTGTATCTGAATAATTTTCTTATAAAAGTGTAATGAAGAGGAGAGAGAAAGGATAAGGTAGAGAGAAGCTTATACTAGTGGACGGAGACAGAAGCTTAAGACTTCCACTTTGGCTCCTCTTCCAACCTGTCTTGTCACATCTTTTTCTCTGCACGCAATATTTTTATTTTCATTTTTGTAATTTCCCCCCATATACATTCCAACACATTTCACAAAATATATAAAGATTTTGACACATATCAATTCATTTTTATTCTTGATTTTATAGTTTGAATATCATCACTCCATTTCTTACAATGGATTTTTATGATAAATGTCTAATTTCTGAATATGGTTGCAGATTCCAAGTTTCCTTTTACCAAAGGTATCAACACGGTTTGAGCTATATATATATATAAATACTGGCACCACCACCAAACAAAAAGTAACAAACATTATAAAAAAAAATAAAAAATAAGACTAATTTTATTAAATTTCGTGCATTCATCATCATCATCTCGCCGTAGTATGCTGATAAATCTTTCTCTTCCTCTCTGCCCGTTTCACCTTTTATAGAAAAGTCAGTGAAACTTCTTCTTCCTTCTCCCCAAAAAACAGGTTAACAAACATCTCTCTCTCTTCCGCTTCTTCTTCTTCTTTTTATATATATATATTTTTTATTTTCCTCATTTCTTCTTCCTTTCTGTTTGGTTGCCGAGAAAACGCAGGAAAATTTTCTGCAGGCTCGGTGACCAGATTAATATTAACCTTTGTTGATCGTCATTTTAATTGTTCTCAGATTGTCAACGAACCCGATCGATCCATTTCTCGATTGTTTTCCTCCGAGATCTGTTGATAAAGCTTGCTTCGGGTAATTTTATAATTATGGCGGAAGAACATCGATGTCAGACGCCGGCGCCGGAAGGTCACCGTCTCTGTGTTAACAACTGCGGCTTCTTCGGAAGCTCAGCCACAATGAATCTCTGCTCGAATTGCTACGGCGATCTCTGCCTCGAGCAGCAACAGCAAGCCTCCATGAAATCAACCGTCGAATCCTCTCTCTCCGCCGTATCGACATCACCACCGTCGTCGGAGATTGAATCCATCTCCACGTCGTCCACGATCACACCCGTCCTCAAAAATTACGCCGCGGAATTACAAGTCCCGGCGACGGAGAAGCTGATCCCGCAGGCTCCGACGGCGACGGAGCAGCAGCAGCAGCCACCGCAACGGCCGAACCGGTGCACCGTGTGCAGGAAACGGGTCGGGTTAACCGGGTTTATTTGCCGGTGCGGGACGACTTTCTGTGGGACCCACAGGTATCCGGAGGTTCACGGATGCACGTTCGATTTCAAATCGGCGGGGCGCGAGGAGATCGCGAAGGCTAATCCGTTGGTCATAGCGGCGAAGCTCCAGAAAATATGATTTCATCGGACGGAGACGTTGACCGCTTCACCTCTCTCTCTCTCTCTCTCTCGCGTTTCTCAGAGAAAAAATATCACGATGCTCCTCGGTGGATCTCAGCCGTTCATCATGTTTAAGACATACTTTGTATTACGGACACGTGTTATTTGATTAGAGGTTGAGACAGTTTCATCATTCGTCTTTCAATTATTTTCCTTTTTCTTCCGAAAGAAATTAAGTTTTATATAATTGTGTGGCGCTTTTGCTTGTATAAAAAAAAGAAGATTTTCTTTTGGGATAGAAAGAAAATATATAAAATTGTGTCTCGCTTTTTTTAATTAGTTAAAATTGATTTGCAATCTATTACTAATAAAAGTTGATGCTAAATACATTAGTGTCCACATATAATATAATTTAAAAGTTCAATTCTACTAGTACACATCAGTATTGATAATTAATTATCTATCTACAAAATTAATTAGTTATAATATTAATAAAAAATATCAATAGTAATATATTTTTTAATAATGAAAAGAAAAACTATTTATCAATATGTTAATATCAAAAATAGTATATATCAACATCATCAATATAGTAAAAAGGAAAATTTGATACAAATATAAATAATAAACTTAAAAAAAATCATTTAATGAAAAGGAAAATATCAATATTATAAACTTGGATTTACTATATTGTAAACTATATTATATTACCATTTTCAAATAAAATTTGATAACCTATCTCTTAGAAAATATCAAATATTAACTTATTTTTCACAAAAACTTATTTTGTTAAATAAAATTATTTTCTAAAAATTTTGATAACTTATCTCTTAGAAAATATCAAATATGAAATTATTTTTCGCAAAAACTTATTTTGTTAAATAAAATTATTTTCTAAAAATTTTGATAACCTATCTCTTAGAAAATATCAAATATGAAAATATCAAAAATTATTTTTTGCAACTTGTCAATACAATTAAAATGAAAATTTATATCAAAAAGTTAAATTAACAAAAAAAGAGGACATTAACTTGATATTTATGCTATTTTTTATTTAACAAAATCAATATAAACAAAATACAAAAACTTAAGCAATACTAAAAAATTTTACTAACAAAATAAAGTTAAATATTTAGGCTAATGATTTAAGAAATCTATATTAAGAAATTAATTAACAAAAAAAAACAAAATAAAAATTAAGTTATACAAAATGCTAAATTTTTAAAAATCACATAAAAAGAAATTGACTTGATATGAGACTAACTACTTATGAAATCAATATAAAAATATTTAACTAACAAAAAAACAAAAAATAAATTTATGTCTTCAAAAATATCAATATTTTTAAAATAATTATGTATTAAAATAAAATATAAATAAATATCAAGAGAGGTAAATTATCAAAAGAAAAAGTTCTATAAAGAAAACCTAGCTTGATATTTGGACTAATATTTTAGAAAATTATCATAAACAAATTAACTAAAAAAACAAATAATGGTATAAGATTTTGAGAGAAGTCCACACAAAATTTAGAATGTCCAGTTATAGCATGTCGAAATAGCATTATAATTAAAATAAAAATTATTGTAAAAAATAAATTTTAAAGAGATTAAATTGATATATGCTACCTATTTGGAAAATCAATAACAAAGAGATTAATTAAAAATATATATATTAATAACAATGTGGTCTAAGGTACAAAAGATAAAAATAAAAGATAAAAACAGTAAAAATAATGCAAAGACTCCACACCACCGATTCCACAAGTTACAAAACTAAAATTATCAAATATTAGAATGTAAAAAAATAGATATCTATGAAAACTGAGTAAAAATATAAGCTAAAACTCTTAGAAGACATGATGGAGAAAGAATAAATGATTTTGCGTGATCATTGCAGCTTCCTAACAAAATTAAATGTGAATCAACATAAATCATGGATTATATATGCAGTGGTATACAACATTAATAAGACTTTCAATAAAAAAACTAAATATTTGAACACATAAACCTTTTAAAAAAAGAACTATAGAAATTCAATGGAAAACAGAAAAAATACCAAAATCTTAGTAAGAAAATCTTTTTCTAAATCAAATGTATAGGTACGTCAAAGTTGGATAATTCGATAGATGTCATTAGTATTATTGTACCTAATATTTTTTACAATCTTATAAATGAAAATAGGAGAAAATTACATATTATTTATTAAATTCTCTTATATAAATGAAAATTTTTATAAATATATTATAGTTTTGATAATTTAAAAGATAGTAGCCATAAAAAGAACTAAATCAAATTATTAATACAGACTCGTGCGTAGCGCGAGTTAAAAGCCTAGTATAATATATAAAAGTTGATGGCATAATGCATTGAGAGCGTCCACATGAGATTAAAAAAACTCGATCTGATTGGTCCACATCAGTATATTCATTAAATAAATAAAAGTGTTAAGTATGATTATGACAGAAAAACTTGATTTAATTGGTTCACATCAGCTTTTAAATCAAACCAAAAATTATTAAGTATAATTAAAACATTAAAAGTTAATTTAAAAAATTATGTCCAAAAATAAAAGTAAATTCAATCTGATTGATCCAAATCAACATATTTATTAAATCAGAAAATGTTAATATGTTTTAAAAATTTAAAAGTTAAATAAAAAATTAACAATTAACAAATACATATATAAAAAAGTAACAATTATCAATTATTAATTTTAAAAAATCTACAACAACTCGATTTAACAATTAAAACAATAAAAACTGAATAAAAATATAACATAAAACTCTTGGAAGACATGATGGAGAAGGAGAAAATGGTTTTGCATGATCACTACAGCTTCCTAACAAAATTAAATGTGAATCAACATGAATAATGGATTATATATACAGTTGTACACAACATCAATAAGACTTTCAATAGAAAAACTAAATATTTGAACATATAAACCTTAAAAAAAAAGAACTTTAGAAATTCTATGAATAGAAAATAATACCAAAATCTTAGCAAGATTATATTTTTCTAAATTAAATATATATGTACGTCAAAGTTGGATAATTTAATAGGTGTCATTGTTATTATTTTACCTAATAAATTTTAAAAATTTATAAATAAAAATAGGATAAATTACACATTATATATTAAATTCTTTTATATAAATGAAAATTTCTAGAAATATATATAATTAATAATTTTAAAGATAGTAGCTAAAAAAATAAATCAAAATATTAATACAGATTCGCGTATAGCGCAAGTTATATACCTCGTATTTATACAAATTCGCTTTTATCTTTGTTCAGAAAGACGGCTTCGTTGACATGAGGCCTAAAGTGTTATTTATTGTTAAGATGAAGTTTTGGGTTGGAACCCAATGGGCCTAAAGATTCAAAAGTACGAGCTGTGGTAAAGAGTAAAAATTAACTAAAAGTGGGGAGTTTATGGACAGGAAGTTTATGGCTTGAGATTAATCCTCTAAACAAACAATGGAGCTAGGTCCATACTCCTCCATAGGCTCATGGTCTGAGACTATTGAGTTATGTAAATTTGTCTTTGCCGTACTTATGTGGGAAAGAAAATCACGAATGTACGATATTGTAGTTTAAGATTGTGTGTGTACTAACAATCTAAGCTGCTTGTTGCTTATGGATTTTTCATATGTTTGATTAGTGAATTGAAGGATTTGATGTTTCATGGTACTTTTGAGTATCGGAATTAACCGGGTTCACTGAGCAAGTTGACAAAATATCGAATTCGTTAGAGCTCTTTCAAAGTCAATTTAAGTATATTGTATACATTGAAAGAGTCCTCAACTAGTTAAATTGAGTGTTTGACATATCGAACATTCAAAAACAATTATAAACCTACTAATGTAACATGTCTTTTCATATTTATACGACCATTGATCGATGAAGAAGGCTACTGTTTTCTCGTCAAATAGTTATTCTATTTGCGCTTATATTGGATAATATTTACAACTTTTTACAATTACTAAAAACAATATAAAATCTTTAGAACATATTTAATATCTTTATATCGTTATATGATTGTGACTACTTGATGAAGAAGACAACCAACCAAAAAAAGTTATATTTTATTTTCATGGTCACTTTTTTTTAAAAGTTATGTGTTACTATTAGGTGATATTTAGAAGTTTTGTATAACATCCAAGAACAAGATAAAATGAAAAGATTTTTCATATTAATTTAGTCAAATATACATGACCATTGGATGAAGAAGAATCAAAGCAATGAAAGAGTTCAATGTTTTCTTTAATCTGGTCAAAAAATTATATTTTTTTGTTCACATTTAGGTGATAGTTAGATTTTTGTTTATTTCAAAAATAGTAAAATATATAAACATAAGAATCATTATCCATTTATCAATTTGTAGTAGTTGTGGTTAAAAAAAGAAATAAACTCAACAAAATATACAATGGAAAATATATAAACAATTAGTGATGTTTTAATTAAATAAAAAGTAATCCCATCACCATTGATACAACCAGATTCCATTTGTTAAAAAAAAATTAAAAATATCCTGAAATTCCTTCTAATCACTTATAATTTGTAACAACAAATTTGCAAAATTTACTCAAATCCCAATTCCTTCTAAAATCTCCTTAAACTTAGTGTATATAAAAATTCTCTCAAATCATGCATTAATCCAAATCATTACGTTTATTTAAGTTAAGAAAAAAATATCTAAAACATGAAACCAGGAAATCAAAATGAGTATTAAACACGATTAATTAATTAATGGAAACCGCTAAATTTTTAATGGTACGCCAGATCTAACATCTTGAAACTCAACACAATCTCATCGCCTGTATATATTACATTCAAGCAGTTTCATACCTTTTCCATGCAACACATTACACACACATACATTGACAAAATATTCTATTTAATTCAATCCCGACCATGAACATAACCAAAACCACTCCTTGGTTTCTGCTTCTGTTGTGTCTGATTCTTCTAACAGGTTTGAAACATATACCTCTTTTTACTTTCAAACAAATTTCAGTTTGTTCATCTTGGTTAAGTGATGTCACGCTTAAAAAAATTTCGCCCAGTTAAAAATAAAATCTTGGTTTAGTATGCTCATTGATATTAATCTGATGATATAAGTTTATAAATTTCAAATCGGTCTAGATTACAAAAGGGTAAATGGATCGATCTCTCCATCCAGCGAGCAGCCACAAGAAGAGAGCATCATGTTTGGTTTCAAACCGAAAACGTTGTTTGTGTTCGGAGACTCGTACGCCGACACCGGAAACACACCTGCCACATTCGCCGCTTCATGGAGGTTTCCCTACGGAATCACTTTCCCGGGAAAGCCTGCCGGCCGATTTACTGATGGTCGTGTCTCAACTGATTATCTCGGTAAGAAACTTACGATATCTCTAATTGAATGTTACGTTACTTAATTTACACTTGCTTAAATTAAAGTTACGATATCTCTAATCGAATGTAAAATGTAAAATCGGTTACGATATACAGAAATATAAAACAGCGTTATTCCTTATTCATTTGATCACAAAAAACACACATGCCAAATCCCAAATCAATAATTCTCTAATTAGTATTGACTCGTATACATAATATCATGTAGCGAAGTATCTTGGACTTAGAACGCCGATTGCATACAAATGGAGAAGATTGGTACTACCAAGAAAAGTTGTGAAAAACGGAATAAATTTCGCATACGGTGGAGCCGGAGTGTTTGAGACGATGTTCAAAGTCGTCCCCAACGCGAGTGTGCAGATCAATTTCTTCGAACAACTTGTCCGGAAAAAAGTTTATTCTCAAGCTGATCTCAACTCTTCCGTCGCTCTCTTCAGCATCGTCGGCAACGACTACATTACTTACGACAGACTCAACGGCACCTCGCAGGTATTTTTATTAGAGGTTACGTATTATGATACAGTTCAATATATTGGTTATTAGCTTCGATTATCTTTGGTTTATCATTTAAGCTTTCTCTTGTACGTACACATGTTACGTTTATATGAGTATGTAACAAAACAAAACTCAGGGTCGTCCAGCATTGATAAGGAGAGTTGTGAGACATATTTTGTTGGATGTGAAGAAAATTAGGGACTTGGGAGTAAGAAAGGTGTGGGTGGCTCTATCGCCGCCGCAGAAATGCTTTCCGTCGCTAATTACTCCTAAAGGCTGCGACTCCAACGACACGTCCACGAACCTCCACAACAGTCTTCTCCGTGAAGGACTGAGAAAACTAAACGACGAGAGGAATGATAAAAGCTTCCTCGTGTTTGATCTCTACAATGCTTTTGTGAGCGTATTCAAGAACAAAGGAGTTCCAGGTACGTTAAGTTTGGTTTCTTATGTCCAAAAACATTCTCGAAACCTTTGACGAAGGCACGTTTTGTTTACGAATGTTTAATTTGTGCAGGAGTTTCGAAGTTTCCGGAGCCATTGAAGGCATGTTGTGTGGGATTGAAACGAGGCAACACTTGTGGAGATGTAGGCAAGAACGGTGAAAAGTTGTTCAGTCTTTGCAAAGATCCAAAGTCATTCTTTTTTTGGGACAATGTTCATATCACTGACCAAGGATGGCGTTCTGTATTTTCTCTTCTTCTACCTGATTCACAATATTGATTGTATACTAAAGATATTCAACAGTTTTATCATTAAAAGTGATACATGAGACTTATGAATCATAATGATAAAACTGTTGAATATCTTTAATGATACATGGATGTTTTCAGAACTTCAACTTCTATTGTATTAGTAGCTCAGTCATATTTTATAAAGCTATTAAAAAGATTCATTACATGAAACAAGTGTGTGTAACACATAAATTATAACTGAATAAGCTTTTAAAGATAGTATACAAGATGATCTTATTCATCTCATGTGTTACATATTTTCTTAATCTCAACTACACAAAAATTCGAACTTATAAAGCTATTTATATTTTAAAAGAATGGTATAGTGATCCATCAGATGCGGTGGGACATAATTTCTCCGGTGTCAATTCGTTTCGCTGTGACCAAACATCGCATGTGGTCTATAATTGTGTTTGTCTTGACTTTGTTGCTTCTACCATAACGTCATATAGTATTTTCGTAATTAGAATTTTGAGCATGCAGTCAAAACCAAATGGCAGAATTTTGAAAATTATTAAAAGGTCCAAAACTATAGAAACAGCATAAAGCCAAATTATAGGGGCGGGTTATTGGTAAAATGTAAAGTAACGGGACGATCTACTAAATTAGCCAAGATTCCAGGGACGGTATATAAAATTATTTTCTAAAGTCTTCTTCTTTTGTTTGATTCTTATTCTGACTTCACTTTTGTACCTTTCGGCTTCAATTTCAAGCTTTTTCCCTAAATTCTATTGCGTTGTTGAATCAATGAATCATCATCATTCCTGAAAATTCGGTCTCTTCGTCTCGCTTTCATCGGTTTTAATTTTTGTTGTTGCTCGGAAGCTTTATTTCTCCGATGAAATCTCCAGGGAAGCCGATGTCACCTTCTCCGACGGATACTTCAATGGCCATAGTGACTTTCGACAAGTCCACTACCCAGTACTCTTCGTCTCCATCGCCGCCACACTCGCTTGACCATTCCAGCGAATCGGAGAAGGACGAGAAACGTACACCCGAGAGTAGGAGGAACAAGATTCCGGCCAAGGAAGAAGCAAAGGCCGAGGAAACTCGATCTCCGATTGTGGTGGTTCACAGCCACAGTCACAGTCACAATCAGAATCCGTCTGTGAAAGAATTCTCTCCTCCCGTGGCGACGACGAGGAAGAGCGCGCGGGTTGGTTCCGGGAGAAGCAGCGGTCAGCGATCTGGAGCTGTTTCGGCGATTCTGAGGAGGTCGAAGAGGGAGGAGGTGGTAAAGTTTGCAGCTTTAGGGTTCCGGCTAGGTGAGTTCGTGCTGGCTTTGATTTCGTTCTCAGTCATGGCTGCTGATAGAACCAAAGGTTGGAGCGGAGATTCTTTCGATCGTTACAAGGAGTACAGGTATCTTCTTCTTCTTCTTCTCAGATAGTGTTGTTCTTGAATCTGGGGATTAGGGTTTAGTTTAGGGTTTAAGAGTTTTGAATTGTTCATGCTGAATCACCAGCTTTTTTGTTTAACGCTTGCTTAGTTGAATCTGTAACTTCTAAATTTTCTTTCTGAATCTTAATGTATGCACAAATCACATGAGAATTTGGTGAACATCTTAGTTTTGATGACCTTAAGCATCACTGTCTTTTTCAACATTGGTGTTTATTTATTGGATCATGAGGATTTATATTCAGTTTTTATTATTTGGCTGTCTTTCTCCACAACATTCGCAGTGAGTTTTTCGAATTTGATACCAAACTGCCATTATCTATCGTATGTAATATTCTGTCTGATGTGGTGACAGGTTTTGTCTGTCTGTGAACGTGGTTGCTTTTGTATATTCTGCTTTTCAAGCATGTGACTTAGCATACCATCTTGTCAAAGAGAAGCATTTGATTAGCCACCACCTTCGGCCTCTGTTTGAGTTCATCATGGATCAGGCAAAGTCAATTTAACTAAGTTTTGTTTTGTCTAGTTTCAAAAGTTCATGTTTGCAATTCACATCTACTTATAAAAAAGAAAAAGGTTTTTATGTTCTGAAAAAGAGTTTCTTTGTTTTTTTTTTTTGCAATCAGCTGCTTGCATATCTGCTTATATCTGCCTCGACCGCTGCAGTCACACGTGTCGACGACTGGGTTACAAACTGGGGAAAAGACGACTTCACGGAGATGGCGAGTGCCTCCATTGCTATGTCCTTCTTGGCTTTCTTTGCATTTGCTTGCAGTTCCCTTATATCAGGCTCTAACCTCTTTAACCAAGACTCTCTCTGATCCTCTCCCACACTTTTTTTTTTTGTATAGTTGTCATAGAACCCCGAAGAACACACTCCTTTGTGTCAATCTCGACTCTATATATGATTTTGGGAAATAAAAAAGATCATTTACATATCTTTAGCTTTGTAAATTTTTGTAGACATTATAAGGTTTCAAGAAACTGTAATAATATCTTTTGAGGTTAATAAGAGAGGCTTATAAACCCTTTTTTTTTTTTTCCAATTCTTCTGTTGCCAAAACTCAGCTTCCGGTTCTGTGAATTTTGAATATGGTTAAGGGTATTTTAGTCATTTAGGTTTTCTCAAACTTTGGAATTGGAGAAATCTCAGAGCGTCGATGAAAATGTAAACGGCTCTGCGCTTTCCTCTCCAAGAAAAGAGACTCAATTCTTCTCTACTCAAGAAAATTAGGGTTTTTTTTCTCTTTGTTCACCGATCAATGGTTGTTAGGAAGAGACTTCGTCGCGGAAGTGATTCCATCTTCTCCGACTCTGATTGCTCCGGATTCCGACACAGCCCCCAACCTCTGCCTTCGTCTCCTCTCGCGAGTAAGCGCGACGACGGCGTTTCCGGTACGGAGTCGATGCTCAGGAGAAGAAAGCAGCCGAAGAAGACGGCGAAGCCATTGGTATCTTCCTCTGGTTCGAAGATGATCTGGAGTAAATACGACGAACTCGTTATTCTTGGGGTTTGTAAAACCCTCTCTCTCTCTTTAATTGTCCTTCTCATTTATTTTCTTCTTCACTCTGTTTCTCACTTTATATACTCTGTTTTTTTGTTCTTATTCTTTGTGTGTGTGGAAAAGAGTATTGTAGACTATGAAAACGAAACCAAATTGAGCTACAGATCTGACCGGGATGGTTTCTACGGATACATCAAAGATTTCATAGAAGCAGACTTCTCTAAACAGCAGCTCATGGATAAGATCAGGAACTTGAACAAGAGATTTACAATTAACCAGGCGAGATCTAACGATGGGAAAGACGAACTTTCCTTTACTGATACTGACGACGACGAAATCTTCAAATTGTCAATGATCATATGGGGCACGAATGAAACAGAGCGTGCTTCTAATGAGGATATCGACCAAGCCAAGGTGAGTTACCATTTTAAAACATTAAAATTTTGATATTAGGAATGCGTAATTTGATCTTAGGTTCTTATTTCGAATTAGGATGTTCCTTATGAAAGGGTTGATGAGAATATAGACAAAGCAAAGGTAGCGAGTGTTTCTTCTGTTTCTGCCAAGCTCCTTATTACCATTTCGAGGCATAATTTGAAATTAGATATTGCGAATACCTTTGATCTTAGGTTCTTGTTCCGAATGAGGATGTGCCTTGTGTGGAGCATGAACGGGTTGATGAGAATATGGACAAAGAAAATAGAGTGAGTGTTTTTATTTTCTGTTCTTCCAAGCTCCATTATTACTTTCTCTAAGCATTAAGCAAATGATCTTTAGGACCATGATCTGAATAAGGACGTGCCTTGTGTGGAGCATGAACGGGTTGATGATAACATCGACCAAGCCAAGGTTAGTTAGTGTTTGATTATGTTCTACCAATCTCTTTTTCATTACCATCTCAGAACATTATGTGAAATGATGTCACAAAATGTGTAATGATCATTAGGTTCTTGATTCGAATAAGGATGTGCCTTGTGTGGAGCATGAGAGGGTTAGTGAGGATATTGACCAAGAAAAGGTAGCGAGTGTTTGTTCTGCTCTACCAAACTCGTTATTACTACATCAAAACATTATTTAAAAGTCTGATATTACTAATGTGTAATTGATTTTAAATTCTTGTTTTGTATAAGGACGTCCGTTACGCGGAGCCTGAACGAGTTAATGAGAATATGGATCAAGAAAATGTAGCGAGTGCCTGTTCTGTTCTACCAAGATCCTTATTACAATTTCAAAACGTTATGTAAAGTTTGATATTACTAATGCCTAACTGATCTTAAATTCTTCTTTTGTAATAAGGATGTGCCTTACGCGGAGCATGAACGCGTTAATGAGAACATCGACCAAGAACATGCAGTGAGTGTTTGTTCTGTTCAACCAAGCTCCTCATTACAATTTCGAAACATTATGTATAGTTTAATATTTACTAATGCGTAAATGATCTTAAATTCTTGTTTTTGAATAAGGATGTGCCTGACGCGGAGCATGAGCCCGTGAGTAACATAACTATGGAGACTGATAAAGGTGAGAAAGAGAAGAGTGAGGAGGAGTTATATGCTCTGCAGGATGCACTTGAGGCTACGACATTGTTCCAAAGTTTAGGTAGATATCAACAGAAGTATCTGCTTGGGAAGTTGAAAAAGCTTGGAGCTCAAAGAAGAAGAGAGCTTACTGATGAATGGAAGGCATTGCTTGCCGAGGAACTGAGTTTGTATTCCAAGAAACTGACTTTATCCGCAAAGCTTGCAGAGGCAGGAGTTTCTTCCTGACTCAAGAAAACTTTTTGGAATGATTTTTAGATGTTTTAGGTTTTTTTGCTACTAATGATTTTGCTATGTTTAAGCCATGTTTTGATTATATCGTTAGCGCATGCTAGAAAAGGCTGTGTGGCTTCTTTTGTCTTTAGAGTGTGACTGATGTTGTGTTAATTATTGAATGTTTCTGAAATGAATGTTAAACATTTGGGATCGTTTAGTTTCTATACGAAAACAGGAAACAAGAGCAATGTAAGTATTTGGTTAAGAGCGAATATGAAAGTAGAAAGAAATCTCTTAAGAGAGTTGAAGAGGAGGACTGAGAAATGTGCTTTTTAATTTTGTATTTTAACGATGTACACTCTGGTGGGGGTATTGGATTTAGAAATTGGATTGAATTGTAGAGAATTGAAAATTCTATTAAATGTCACTGTTATTTAATTATATATATTATCAATTTTTTAAATATCTGTGTTATTGGATTAAGGATTTTTATTCATTCTTTCAAAATCCTTTAAATACCATTGTTATTCAATATACTAATTCTCCAATTCTATTAAATATTTGTGTTATTCAATTTTGTAATAGTTTTGATTCTATTATCATTTGGAAAAAATTTTACATAATAATTGTAAAGAACCAATTCCTACCATTTTTATTCTGATTTTGATAGAATTGGTTTAAATTCCAACAAAACACTTTGAATTATTTAGAAATCAATTACTTTTGAATTCTGGTACATTCTACCACCCCCTCTGTTTCCTCATGTAAAGGGCTTCTCTTACTCCACTTGGGCCTCAACGCAAACCATAGCCCACCTCTCCAACTTGTGACGATGTCCAGCTCGGCTTTAGCTGAACCGAAGACTAAACCGAGTTAAATTGTGGCTCTTCACAAAAATGCAAATACTCGAATGCATAGACACAACTATACAGATTAGGAAAGTAAACTACGAAACTAAAATCGTAGAGATAGAAGAGATCCAAAGAGTCAAAGACCAAAGTAATCCTACCTTCTACAAACAAGTTAACAATACTTTTCATGTAATGTTAGATGACACACTTTATTTGTCGGAACATGCATGCAATTATACTTTTACTTTTACATTTGACTGATTATTGAACATATTCTTTTTGTTTTTGGGATTTTTTGAATGGTAATGTGGAATGATGATATGATTTTCAGCAAGCGAGATTTTTCGTTAAATCATAATGTGGAATGTCGTCCAAAAAGCTTTTGATAAACACAAAAATTAGATACGTAAAAAAACAAAACATTGGAAAAGCAACAAACACACATTATAAACCAAAAAAGCACATATCGGTCACTCGTTTATTTTCTGACACTTTTGTTCCCCAATAATCGATAGATTTGTCACATATATATAGGAGTAGACATCTAATTTTCGAAAGAAAAACAAAATTAAAAATATAACATGTGTGGTGCGAATACATTTTATCTACCCGTGCCTTAGCTTTTAATTTGTAGCTTCGAGCTTGTCTGGTTTGGGAACTATAGTCATTTAAGGTCCAATAACATTTTTCTTGCTTTCTCATCTGAGAAAACACAAAAACACATCACTTAGAACATTTCATACTAACAAAATTTGAAGGTTTTTATGGATTGCAATATAATAGATCCTTTACAATCTTTAACTTCAAGACTTCAATCTTTTTGCCATGTACCAAAGACCATAGACCAAATTATTCACGTGGAAAATTATCGAAAAGAGAGTGATGTGAAATGTAATAAAGATTACGGAAAGAAAATGAAAAAGGAAACGACGAATTTGGACGTAATTTTTCAGCGAAACATATGCTTTGGGGCCCCACATGGCCTTTCAACTTTATCATCACACAAAAACACACAACTCTTGTCCGAACCAAAATCCCCCCCACACAAAATAATTAAAAAGGACATTTTTATTCTCTCTGTGATTCTCTTCAAGCCCAAGCCTTTAGGTTTGTTTTTTTATTTGGGAGTCTCTATGAGTCTCTGGAACCTATTTGTCCCATTAATGTTCTTCGGTACACCTTTCTTCTCTTCTATCTAATATTTCTGGGCAATGAGCTTTTGCAATGTATAGTGTGGGGGTTGAGCTTTTCATTGTTTATACTTTTTGGATATGATGTAAATCACTTTCAATCTCTTGATGATATTGACATGTTCGATATTTTTGTTTGAGGTTGAATCTTCACTTCAGCTACTGTTTTTAGCATTCTACTTATTTTAGCTTCATGAGATCTGGGATCGAGACTGCTAATATATCTATATATATTTTTTTTTTTAATTTGATTTAAGTCTTGCTCTCGCTAGATTTGGTTTTACATATTTTTTATTCAGTTCTCTTTGTTCTTCATCTTTCTCTTTGATTGGGTTTTTTTGACTTAAATTTCTTTATCAGTGTAATTGATTGGTCCATCGCCATCTCCCAAAAAATGTGTTCTTTCTGTTTATTAAAGTATAAAGTATCTATCTTTACTTCTGTAAGGTTCATCATTTCAAGTCTATAACTATGATGACTCTCTTTACCTGTTCATTTCCTTTTTGGATCTTTAGCTTCCTTTTACTTCTTCCAGCTCCGTACTTTGGTCATTGCATTTCTCTGTTCATTTTCACTCAATAACCATTGCTCTATTGAAACAGAAGTTTTTTTTTTCCCTGTTACTCTTGGTTTGATTCTAATAATTGGTGATTGTTTCAGGGTGTTGTACTCGGATGTTTAGAATGGATCAAGAAATATGAGTCTCTCACACTTTGTCTTTCAGAACAAAGTCCTTACATGATCTCTATAGCACCGGTTTTATTTCTCAAGTACTTGTGATTGTGGTGTCTCAAGTCTGGTACTGATATCAACAATGAGAAGTTCCAATGTTTGAAATCTGTATTGATAAAGTCAAGTCATTGCAAAATGGGATCGTTCACGGGTGCTTGTGAAATTGTTGAGGAGAAGGATGTGGTGAGGTTAGCCAAACATTCTAACAGAGACATGGAGCGTCCTGCTGCACTAAAGCAAGGTTCTATGGAGTATGACATTGATAAGCTTTTCCAGTCTATATCTATAAAACCATCACCAAGTAGAGTGATGATGGGCTCTTCTTCTTTCCATCGTCTTGAGACGAGCTCAAGCGCTGGTCCGAGCAGAACCACGAGCCCTTCGAAGAAAAGTGCTATGAAAATGCCCTTTCCCATTGGAACCCCTCGATCACCAAGAGTTGGTCCCTCAGATTCAATCTCACTGAAGCAGGCACTGAGAGATCTTTGCATCTCAAAGGCATCAGAGATGGCTGCTCAGAAACGGTTATCAAAATCCGCAGCTGCATCTCCGAGGGTCTCTGAAGCAGACAGGATAAAGAGTCTCTACAGGCAAGTCTTGAATGAATCTGCAGGCAGGTCTGGTCTTCTTGTGGACAAGGGTAAGAGCTTGGTTGAAATATCTTTGACGCCTGTAGACGATATACCCAGCTCTTCTCAGAGTGTGCCTCAACGGTTTGATACCATTGAGACAGAGCCTTCTAACTCCATCTCTGAACCATCTCAGGCTGAGTTCCTTCTCCGTGTAAATGGAAACAGTTCGGGATTAAAGGCAGTGGGATATCAAATGCTTCATAAATCCAACACATCTGGATCTTCTCTCAGTTCTGGTAGTGGAGATTTTGAGATAGAGATAGATGAAAACGCTACAACTTCTCCTCCTGTGGTTATTGAAGATGTTTCGGAAGAGATAGACAATCATGTTACCTCGCCGCCTTCGTGTTCTGGCAGCAAAGTTGATGCTGAAGAGGAGCTAGACAAGAGCATCGTCTCATCAGCTCTGGACTCAGGGCTAGAAGGAAACTTGGATCAGGGAACTAGTTCAGGATCAGAGAACAGAAAATTGGTACTAACAAGAAACATCCCACGTCCCAAACCGCGGCCAAAAAGGAAGATTTTGCTTAAAAAGAAGTTAAGAATCGTTGTTGCCTCTGCTACAAAAATAGTCGAGAAAGCTGATGTTCCCTTAGAGCCTAGTGCGAGTCAACTTCTGTGCCAGAAATGCCATTGTGCGGTAAAGAGCACCAGCACTGAAAACAATCCTCCAACAAATGCAAGTCATAGCACTGAGAAATGCTCAGACGGTGTGAGCTCTCTCTCTAAAAACGCCTCTCCAAGCGATTACAGTGGCAAAGGTGTTGCGGATGAACAGAAAAGAGGGAATCCAACTTCCAACGAAAAGTTTGAATTCTCTTTGAGCTCAAAGGATAGCATAGGGGAATACAGCAGCAGCACAAGCATGAGTGAGGAGAGCAACCTGAGCAGGTTTAGCTGCGGCAATAAACCTCACATGTCGATGGATGTGCGATGGGAAGCAATTAAGCATGTTAAGTTGCAGTCTGGCTCTTTAGGACTCAGACATTTCAACCTTCTGAAAAAGCTTGGCTGTGGAGATATAGGAACGGTTTATCTTGCTGAGCTGGTTGGTACGAACTGCGTCTTTGCCATAAAGGTCATGGACAACGAGTTCTTGGCTCGAAGGAAAAAGACACCAAGGGCACAGGCGGAACGAGTAATCCTTAAGATGCTGGACCATCCTTTTCTGCCTACCTTGTATGCTCAGTTCACTTCAGATAACTTGTCGTGTCTGGTAATGGAGTATTGTCCCGGTGGTGATCTCCATGTCCTGAGGCAAAAACAGCTCAGTAGGTGTTTCCCTGAACCTGCAGCTAGGTGAGATTACTTCCACATTGTTGTTATGGATTTGTTATGATCGCACAAAGTATATCTAGCAAACTCGTCTGTTTGTTGTTCACAGGTTCTACGTAGCAGAAGTCCTCCTTGCGCTTGAGTATTTACACATGCTTGGTGTTATATACCGTGATTTGAAGCCAGAGAACATTCTGGTCCGAGAAGATGGTCACATCATGCTTACAGATTTCGACCTCTCACTCAGATGTGCGGTAAACCCAACTCTTCTCAGATCAAGTTCACCACCCGGGAAAGATCCGGCAAGGATGTCGGGTCCATACTACAACACATCAAACTGCATACAACCTCTATGCATAGAACCATCTTGTCGGGTCTCATGTTTCAGCCCTAGGCTCTCATCAACTCAAGCAAGAAACCCAAAGCCAAGAAAACCGAAAAGGCCTGATCTTTTGACACAACAGCAGTTCAGATCACTGCCTCAGCTTGTAGCTGAACCAACGGAAGCAAGGTCGAATTCGTTCGTGGGAACGCACGAGTACTTGGCCCCGGAGATCATTAAAGGAGAAGGACACGGTGCTGCAGTGGACTGGTGGACGTTCGGTGTCCTTCTCTATGAGCTCTTATACGGGAAGACACCTTTCAAAGGCTACGACAATGAGGAGACGTTGTCCAACGTCGTGTTTCAGAGCCTCAAGTTTCCTGATAGCCCGCTTGTGAGCTTCCAGGCAAAGGATTTGATCAGAAGGTTGCTGGTGAAGGATCCAGAGAGCCGTCTCGGGACAGAGCAAGGAGCTGCAGAGATTAAGAGGCATCACTTCTTTGAAGGATTGAATTGGGCTCTTATCCGCTGCGCCATACCGCCTGAGCTTCCGGATATCTATGAGAGTGGTGCAACGGAAGCAACTTCTCCTCTGGGAAATAGTAATAATGGGTATCTTGAATGTAAAGCCATCGGAGATCATCTTGAGTTCGAGTTGTTTTAGGTCTAATGTTGTAATCCATTTCCAGGTCCCCTTTGAACTTTGAAAAGGTTGAAAGCAAAAGCCCAAACAAGAAAGAAAAGCATACAGTTGAATAGCAAAAACTCAGGACTCAAAAAGTAAGCTAACCGATGAAGAAGATGACGAGAACGAACAAGAAGATAAGAAGGCATGAGTTTTGTTAAAATACCAAATTCTTTGGCAGCAAAACAAAACCTAACGACTCTTTGGTAATTTAAGTCTCTCTTGTGGAGCATAACATGATCAACTTGATAGGATGCTATGGGAGACCACATGGCAGAGGAAGAGAAGACACGTAAGAATTAGAAGAGAAGCTTTAGTATAAATAAGAAGTGTGCGTTTGTTATTCACGTTTTATGCAATTAGAAAGGAAATGATTGTATCACAGGGAAAGGAAACGGAAACAATCTGAGAGGAACGAGGTCTCAAGAGTGTGGGATTCCTTGGGACTCAAGATCGATGGAGACCTCAAGCAACGAGCATGTTTGAAGAGGAAACTCAAGAAATCTCTCTCTTCTGGTCTTCCCATGTACCATTTCATTCTGAAAGTTTCAAGACTTTTCAACAAACACTCAGGGATCGAACTCTGTTCATAGCTCCAGCTAATCGTCTCACTGGCGGTACAATATCCCTGAGAGTAAAAGAAAGAAAGACAAGTATAGTAAGATTACACGCTTTTTAAACCGGAAAAAGAATCTTGGAAGAAACTTACATGGACCGAGAGATTGAGCTTTCTATGATCGGAGCTCTATGTAAAGGCAGTTTCTTGTGAATGAAATCTCGATACCTCTGTAATTTAGACACTAGACGATTTGGAAGATCGACATGATTAAAGTACATGTGCACTGAACGATTGTTGTCGCGACTTAGGTTTTTGTAATGAATGTACTCGAGCTTAGGCACCCACATCCAAAAATGCTCCCATCGCTTACACAGAGCGCTAGTGGATACAGCAACTTTCGTCGGAGCAAACGATAGTATCTTAGTCACCAATTCATCAGGCAACTCACTGATCCTGTCCATGTCTTGCAACTGTTTCGAACAAAACAACAATTGGATTTTGTCTTTACCTACTTTTTCCGACCCTGAAACCAAGTAGTAGGCGGCGCTGAGTTTTTAAATCTACCGAGAAAAATAAAAAACTATTCTACAATTTTTTATATATAAGACTAAGAATGCAAACAATTTTTTATATATAAGAGTAAAAATTTAAAATAAAATTTTCTTATTATATAAAATTGTATGCATCAAAGTTAATAATTTATATAATTGTGACACATGTTAATTTAAATCGATAAAATTTTAATATATTTTTCAATTAAAATTAAAAAGGTAAAAATAACTAAAAAAATATCTATCAGTTTGTAAAAAAAAAAAACGTAAAATACTAACACTGAAAAATAAGGAAAAAATTATTAAAAAGAGAAAATAAAAAGTAAAGTTAATACAATAAAATATTACACTTTGAAAAAAGAATTATTTCAATTTAAACAAAGAAATAAACTAAAACATTAATTTAAAAAAAAAATACTACCAGCATTTCTATATAAACATATAAATATAAACAAATTAATATAAAATCTTTCATACTATTTTCACCAAATAAAATAATACTTTTAAAGTTTAATTTGGATCTTTTTGATTAAACGGCCTAAATCCATAGAAATCTTTATTTATAGTGGTAATAAAATAATAGCTATGAATTCATGAATTGTTACCAGATGAGATAAGACGTAAGAAGAGTAAGACAAAGATTTTATATTATTGTTGTCCAGATTTTATTGTTTAAATGAATGCAATTAGGCTTTGTAAAATACGAAAAGTAAAAACAGAAATGAAAAAGTTAGACCTTGGATCGAATCAGGAATTTTAAATATTATCATTTCTCATCAAATACCACTAACAAACATTGAATAATACGAAGGAAAGTTCTCATGCAATTTCTTAGATCATTGGTATATTTGACCCACAAAGAAATCAGTTGTTAAAGTAATGTACCATGTTATAATATTAATCACACAAAACATAGGAATTAATACACTTGAGAGAGTATAGCTTAATTTTCTTTTTTTGGGGTCAATGATGGTGAAAACAAATGAAACATGTTCATATTAGGAAAAGAGAAGTCAATTTAAATTAACTGTTAGTCTTCTCTCTTCCCTTATTCTTCTCTGCCGGCGCCAAATTTCTCCCGACGATGTTTCTCCGTCGAAGCGCCGTCGTCTGTATACTAGTCTTCGCCTTTGCAGCCTCCTCCCGAGTCGCAGCTCAGAACTCTTCGTGTCCTCTCGACTTTTCCGTCCTACAACCGTTCCAGGGACCGAGACCCGATGGCGACACCACCTGCCAGTACCTCCTCCAAGGACTACGTCTCCTCTACTCTAACCATCTCCGGCAGACTGGCTCCTTCCTCCCGCCACCCGATTCGGCTGCCTCTTGCTGGGCTGCTTTACAGTCCTCGATCGCCGGATTCCTCCCTCGCTTCGACGTCCGATCGAGATGTGGATTCCAGACGCCGTGGATCTCCCAGGGCTGCATGAACATCACCACCAGGTCTCAATTCGAATCCCTAATCCCTAATTCCACGCTGAGTACGGTTGTGATGCGATGCAACCTCTCTCTGGAGAGCAATACCCCTTGTGCCTCTTGCACACAGAGCCTGTCCGCGTTTCAATCCGATCTCACCGGACCTTCCATCGGAAATGTCTCCGATTGTGCAGCTTTCCCGTCGATTTACGCCGCCGCTTACGCCAACATCTACGGCCCCACCGATAAAGGTACCGCGAAATGCTTGTTTCAGCTCGATCTAGCTTCTAGCAGCTCCGGGAATAACGGGAAGAAGATGGTGAAGATACTAGTTCCGTTATCTGCCGCTGTGTTGCTCGTTGCCTCTGCTTGGCTTTTCTGGTACTACCGGAGGAAAAGGAAAGATTCGAATCGGAGAAAGATGAAGAAGCAGCGAGATAGTTTAGAAGCGGGGACTCGATCTAGGCTAGACTCCATGAGCGAGAGCACCACTCTGGTCAAATTCAGCTTCGAAGAGATCAAGAAAGCGACCAACAGTTTCTCGAGGGACAACATCATAGGCAGGGGAGGTTACGGGAACGTCTTCAAGGGCGTGTTGCACGACGGCACAGAGGTTGCTTTCAAGAGGTTCAAGAACTGTTCCGCCGGTGGCGACGCCAACTTCGCTCACGAAGTCGAGGTCATAGCGAGCATACGACACGTGAATCTTCTTGCCCTGAGAGGCTACTGCACGGCGACAACGCCGTACGAAGGTCACCAGAGGATCATAGTGTGTGATCTTGTGAGTAACGGTAGTCTCCACGACCATCTCTTTGGAGACTTGGGAACTCAGCTTGCTTGGCCTTTAAGGCAGAGGATCGCGCTTGGGATGGCGAGAGGACTTGCTTATCTACACTACGGCGCACAACCTTCGATCATCCACAGGGACATTAAAGCAAGCAACATTCTCTTGGACGAGAGGTTTGAGGCGAAAGTTGCTGACTTCGGGCTAGCCAAGTTCAACCCTGAAGGAATGACGCATATGAGCACGCGGGTCGCGGGAACGATGGGGTACGTAGCGCCGGAGTACGCGCTTTACGGGCAGTTGACTGAGAAGAGCGACGTGTACAGCTTCGGTGTGGTGCTTCTCGAGCTTCTGAGCAGGAGAAAAGCGATTGTGACGGACGAGGAAAGTCAGCCTGTGTCGGTGGCTGACTGGGCTTGGTCGCTGGTGAGAGAAGGGCAGACGCTGGACGTGGTGGAAGACGGGATGGCGGAGAAAGGATCTCCGGAGGTTTTGGAGAAGTATGTGCTTATAGCAGTGCTTTGTTCTCACCCTCAGCTACACGCGAGACCAACGATGGATCAAGTGGTGAAGATGCTGGAGAGTAACGAGTTCACTGTTATCTCTATACCTCAACGACCAATCCCTCTGGTGGCTTGTAGGGAGGAGATTGATCGGTCTGTTAGTAGCAGCAGCGGCTCCGGTAAGCTCACTAGCCCCACGGGATATCAGGCTTTCTCCTTTGGAGGTGATGGATCCCAACACAATCACAAATAAATCTTAGTTTCTATGTTTCTTTTTGGCTGCCAACTTGTGAATAGTGTTTAGTGTACATTCTTTTCATTCTTTGATGGTTCGGTCCAATAAATTCATCTGTTGTAATATCTTTTTTTTTATTAGCTGCCGCATGGCATACTAATATACATGTGTAATAGTATCTTTAGAGTCGAAGAAAAAGCTTTGGCACTTGCCACTTTCATCGATTCTCTCCGTTAAATTTATTAGATATATAGAGATATCTTACATATACGTGTATCTTGGTGTCCTTAACTAAAAAAGAAGTTGTACATATCTATTTTCTATTAGAGATATGATTCTCTTTGTTGGTTGCAATAGTAATGCATGCTGATCGCTCTATCTCGGTGATCTTCTTGGCAATGACAGCTAGAAGCTAAAAAGAGACCAACAAGACTGTTGTGTCCTTGCGAAAATGGAAACCTGTTTTGAGTTTTGGCATCATATGTGGATTTAAGTCCCTCTCTTAAAGTGAGAAAAATGTGTAAAAGAATGTAATGGAAAATGTTTAAGAAGTTCAGACCTTAAAAGATAGTTGTTTCTCCTTTGTAAGTTTCATGGCGGAGGTTTTCAATCAGATTAGAAGGGTTTTGTATTCTTCCAGCAACTTCGGGATATCATCCATACGCAACTGAGAATAGCAATAGACATGTCAGAGCATGTGTGGGAAACAAATAAGCCTGATGTTTGTAACAAGAAGAAAGTATGCAGCATTACCTCGGAAGAGCTTTTGATATGATAAAATGTTAAGGTCTTCATTCTGGGGAGGCCAAAGTCAGCAGATGTTAAGCTGTTCTGTGCACTGAGACACACCCGACCACAAGGATGGAAACAAACATGGGTCAAGGAAAAGGAAGAAGCAAATGTGAAAGCTCCATAACATGTAACTACATAAACAAGAACTGAATCCAAAATAATTGGCATGGGTGATAGAACTCACGTGTATTTTCGGTTAACCAGACGCTGATAATCTCGAAGTAAGGAACTAAGCTCTTTTAGTTGTAGAGTCATTGGAGTGGACTCTTTCCAATGTTGACGAACAGCTTGACTTGCCATCTTCTCATTGGGAAAACAAATTAGTACAAAGATAGCACAATCACACTCCCTGGAATAGACAGAGACGGAAGATCACCTGAATCATCATGGATGTTCGATCATCACCTACATCTTCCCCAATCAATCTTGTTCCTAATTCAACGAACTCTTGATCTTCTGACTCCTCGGGAATTTGAAGACGCAACACTGATGAAACAGATACACCCATTTTCTTTTGCAGTTCAACCATAGTGGATCCCTCTTGTCCCCTTTCCTGCCATCACCACACTCTCAGTGTTAAAAAAAAAAGTTGAAAAGCTAATCTGACTGCATCAGAGAAAAACACATAAGATGATATGAACTCCAATTACCTTATCTAATTCTCTCTCTGACTCTTTAATTTCAGGAGGATTTCCAATTTGAGGTACAGAAGATCTATTGGCTATTGGATCATCTGAGAAAAGAGAATAAGAAATAGAGGTGACCGTGAGGTTGTGGTGAAAGTGTAGAAGTTTTGAGTTCCACAACCATTGTCTTTCTCTAAAAGTACATCAGTACAAATAAGAATCAAATACCTTCGGGAACCAACCACCAAAGATCACCGAAGGTTAATTTTCCATCAAAGCCACCAAGTAAAAGATGACGAGCTCCAATACAAGTCATGGTATGGTAAGCTCGAGGAGGAGGAGGCTCATCATTGCTTATTGGTAAGCGCTTCCACTGAGCAGTTACTAGCATGTCAAAACAAAATAAAAAGTTAGCATAAATAATAACAAAGCAGAGCGAGAAAAATGATAAGTTACATCAGAGTTAATCATCTCGCTAGATTGTACTAATGGAAACCACTGAGGTGGATTTTGGATTTGCAGGTTTCTTGACAATTTTTAGTGCAGGAGGCAAATCAAATGAGAATAGCAAGCCAAAAATCTACCTCTGTCTAGGATTATAGTGTCATTATAATAGACATCATAGCGACTCAGCCATCCACCGGTTCCATGTCCCCCAAATAACAGAAGCTGCATAAATAAAAGTAATGATGTGAGTGATGTATGTCACGCGAACCCATCCATACACGGAAGCAAAAGCAAAATGAATAGCATCTTCACTATAGATCAGGGATAACAAGGAGTAAACAGAAGCTGAAAAAAAGACATACATAATGTCCTCCGGATGTAACTGTATGACCACATCGAGATGATGGTGCTTGGCCAGGAAGCTTTAGTTGGGTCCATCCTGGTGTTTCACGCTCTTTCTTCCACAACAAAGGTGAACCACAATAAGATCAGTAAAACAGAACATAAGAAACAAGACAAATTAAGAGGGTGCTCCTACAAGATTCAATGCACTTTTTATGAAGGTTAATCAAAAAATGAACCTTCATCTATCAGACCCTTCAGAGCCCACAAATCACCCATGATTGGGCCACCACCTCCTGTCAAAGATAACCATATCACACACCATAATTTCAGTTTCTTTGTATTGAATATGCCAAAAAAGTATCTAAACAAAGTATCGGTTTGGTATACCTCGGCCACCGAATACAAGCAACCGTTTCTCAACCATGGTGGCTGTATGACCACATCTAGGAGGTGGCAATGAGCCCGAAACCGACAGCTCCATCCATTCAAGGGACACTAATTGATACCACGAAAATTTACATTATAAGCAACTCAAAAACAAATTTATAGCAAAACTGAAGTAAACGAGAGAAACGAAGTTTTACTTGTGTCCATAACATATACATCTGACAGCCACTTTTTACCATCCCAGCCGCCACACCTGCCAATGATCTACGTTAAAATTAAAAACCAAACGTAAAAAAGGCTAATGAACATCTTAAAGTTTGGTACTCACAACACAATTTTCTGGTTCCCAATAGCAGCAGCTGCAGAGAAATCACGAGGCGTAGGTAAGTCGCCGAAGCTGGTCAGCTCTGACCACTGCCATATATCTGTGTCTAGAACCCAAAAGTCTCCCAACCTGAAATTGATTTATACAAAAATAAGCTATTCGTGATCCGTGAACACAGAATGTATAACCAGCTATACGCCATTGCGTACCTCTTGCCACCAGAACGCCCACCAAAGATGAACATATGGCAATCAATTGTGATGGCAACATGAAACGCGCGCGGCGTGGGACCCACTTGTCCTTCAGACTCGCTTCCGGTGCACTCTGGCTCGAACCAGAGTTTGTTTTCTAGCCGGCGTGATACAAAAAGAAGAAGCAATCATAAGACAGCACCATTTTCACAAGGCTGAATGTGAAACCATGTACTGATTTAACCATCTTTAAATGAAGCATCGGCGTAACCAAGGTAACACTACGCATTACAAGCAAAGCATGCCAGGACAATGACTCAGAAGAACAACGAACCAATCAAAAATCTAGGCTGAAATAATTTATAATCAAAGTACTGAAGTTTCTTGGGACGATTGATCTAAGAAAATTCCATTGGTAGAGAAGAACCAAAAATTGGGAAAGTAAGCTGCTCCGTATATCGGCATTGAAGAAAGTATGAAGCTTTTTACAAAAACAGAATCACCGATATCGCAAGATAAAGGGGTCAAAGGAGGATGATGATTACCAATATCATAAACAATTATGTCGTTGAGGAATTTCTTATCGACAAGACCGCCGAACACCACCACCATGGATTTTCCGACATTAACAGCTGTATGTCCACTGATTTAAAAAAAAAAAAATAGAGCAAGAAAATCAGCTGAATCGAATCGGATGGAATCGAGAAGAAGAATAGGAGAAGAGAAAATCACCTCCGCGGCTGTGGAGGAGTTCCGGTGAAATCGGAAGAGGAAGCTCGAACCCAGTGATGCATACGGTGGCGCTGAGGTCGGAAACACACGGATCACCGTTTTGGATACGCTCCAAGTGGACTTCTTCTCCAAAGTCAAATTTGCAGATCGAAACTACTCTTCTTTGTTCTAATGAGTGTCTTCAGTATCCGCCGATAGTAATCCAGACCGACTTCTGTTCATTAAACCATCAGTCTGGTTTATGCAATTGATCCCGAATTATGTCCGGTTTGGTAATGAAAGCCGAAACACCAGTGAGGATATACCCGGTTCATCCCGGTAAATAAAAAATTTGGAAGATTTTTGGTTGAGTCCGGTTCGGTTCTGGGATCTGTCATTGGAGTCGCACACACATCACACTCTGTCCCAAATTTGTTAACTTAACTTTATTCGCCGCCGATTATCTCGTTGTGCAAGAACGAACGGCACTAAGAAGCATGATGCTTGATGAATTCGTGATCCTCGTCGTGAATAATGATCAATCTCAACAAGACGAATCTTCTCCAAGTTCAGTGATTTCAATCTCAGCTTCGGAAATCGCATCATGGGATTTGTCAGAGATACTCTGCTACGGAAGTGTGAAAGTTCGAGCTCATCGAACTAGGCAAGTGTCATACTTTTCATCCCCAATCATCAAAATCTTCTCCGGCTCAAGTGATTCGAGCTCATCGGAACGATTTTGTCGAGTAACAGTGTAGTGATTCTTGGTTTTCGTGTTCTGTGCAGGCTCATTCAAGCATCCTCTTATTTCCATGGCCTTCTTAGTGGAAGCTTCAGGTATATTCTGCTTTATTTGTCTGTCTGTTTCTACTTTGTGTTGTGTGTGTAAGTATATTAGTTTTTGATAAAAGTGAAATTTTTATTGAAATTGGAAATTGTAACAGCGAAGCAGGCCTCGATCACATCTCTATCGAATGGAATCAAGAGACTTTCTTGAATCTGATGAGGTGTATATATGGTTGCGCCATTGATGTTACATCCAGTAGTTTCTTACCTCTATTCGACGTAAGCTCTGTGTATTAATCATCTGCTCTCTTTTGTTTTTTTTTGTGTGTGTGTGTGTGTGTGTGTGTTTCTCTCTTGTTACATGCTTTATTAGTTGAAGCTAATTATGAAAGTTTGAATTGGGCGAATATATAGGCTGCACTCTTTTTTGGAGTGGAGAGGCTTATCTCTAAATGCAAAAGCTGGCTTTCAATGTTGGCATCATCGAGTGACCCTGCAACACCGCAACTAGAATTGTCTGACCTTATTCAGATGTGGAGTTTCGGTCTCGAGCGTGGTTAGAATCTCGAGAATACCTTTTTAACAGTTGTAAAATTAGTTAACTTTTTCTGTGTCATTGTTGAAATTTGTGGTGTTGACATCATCATATCTCTTACACATGACTTGTGATACTTACAGCTGTAGACTTTCTCCCAGATCTCTGTGCAGCCTATCTTGCAAAGAATCTCGTATGTTGCTGAAATCAATCTCATCTGGCATTTAAGCATCTCTACTAACTATTTGTTTTTCTTTTTTAGTTTTTAATCACTTAGTCTTTAGCCTCTCAATGATAGAGAATGCTGACCTGTACTGTTGATTATTGATGAATTCATGAAATAAAATATTTAATATGTAAAGAAAGAAAAGTTGAATCTGTATTTTGCTACGATTAGCTATTTTAATGCAGATTATAATTCTTTTAGTTAGCTTGTTTCTCGATTTTGTCTGAAAGATCTAAGTTCTTATTGTAGTCTTGATGGCTAATAACTGATCCTTATGTCTTGTGCAGATGTTGGTGAAATCTGACAAGTATTTTCGAAATGTTCCACATGAGTTGTTGATGTGTTGCATTAAGCATCCTCACCTGACTGTACACAGGTTGGTTTGTACCCGTTTTCTATCTTATCTGATGCAAACATACCTTAGATTCTCACCTTTGGCCAAACTCTGACAGTGAGATGCATCTCGCTGATGCGCTTCTTGTTTGGCTTGATGCCGACAAAAGAATGTTCGACTTGTCAGAGAGTAGTAAGGATAACATAATCAACTTGATGGAACAGGTAATATTTAGGTCTGTTACCTATGCAGAGATGAATTTAACAAATACCAAAAACAAGTTAAAAGCTACGCCTTGAATCGAAATTTTTCTAAGCACTCTAGAAAGAAGAAAAAACTGGAATACAAACAATCTCTCTTTTAATACATGTTTAGCTTTCATGGAACTGTTCTCACTTTAGGTTGTTTCTGGTCAATTATGTTGCAGGTCCGTTTTAGTCTTTTGCCAATGAGGTTTATTGCAGGTAGTGTCATGCAAGATGTGTGTGATGTATCGCTTACTTGAACAACATAACAGAAATTCATTTAGTTAAGTTTGGTACCATATTTCAGGAAGAAGCAAGTCTCGTGGTTTCTCAAAGTTTGCTGATCAAAGCATTGAATTGGTTATTAAACTAATGAAAATGTCATCAAAATGCTTGGTTGATAGTCTACAAGATGGCCCTCCTACTGATCTTTTAGTTCGGGTGACCGAATACGCAGAGGTATTCTTAAATGAAGTTTTTAGCTAATCAATGTTCATATATTTGATGTCTTTGATTCATTTTGATAAATAGCTAATTATGTCTTTGTTCCCTGAATCAGAGATTGGACCTCTCAGGATGCACGCAGCTAAATGAAGCCATTCTGCTACTGTCTGTACTTCCAAGCTCATATTTCTCAAACCCCATGTGGAGAGAGAGTTTAAAAAGTTTCCTAACGAACACTGAACTGTTATCTCAAAAACTTTTACCAATCTTATGTTTTGAAACGGTGAAAGAGGTTGATATCTCCAAGTGTCAGAGGCTTGATTATAAAGTTGCTATCAAGTGCTTCTCCAAGTCATTCCCATCGTTAAGAAAACTGAGAGCAGCTTATCTCTTGAACATCAAGGTCTCCACTATGTTTCAACTTCTCCAGAGTTTTCCCCATCTTACTGAAGTTGATTTAACAGTTGATATCGTTCCTATAATACCGACTCAAGCATCAGTGTTTTACTCAAGTCCAGGCTTAGCTCAGACTCCACCTATCATGTCCTTAACAGCTGGAAGTAATTCCTTTGATTCTGGCTTAGGTCATGGTTCGCTCTCCAATCTCACAAGACTGACGCTGGAGGGTCGAAGTGATATATGTGGTTAGTCTTTTTGTTATTATTATTTTTTTTTTTTGCTACTTTTGTATATTTTTGTAGCTGATGCATCATTTTTTTCATTGTAACAGATACGGATCTAAGGAGCATCACTAGACTATGTGATTTATCATTATGTTACCTGAACATAAAAGGGTGTGCACTACTCTCAGATGCATGTATAGCATATGTTATACAGAGGTGTAAAAAGTTACGATCTCTCATAGTTTGCTATACCTCCTTTTCGGAGAATTCAGTTTTGGCACTATGCGCTAGTATCTCTATGATCAATGAGCATGTCGAATCAAATTCACTAGCATCCGATCTTGAGATGCTGCACATGAGTAAATGCGAGGGTGTGTATCTTTTTCTTCCATTTGAGGCTCTCTTTCAATGTAAAAGACCATGGATTCTAAGTTTCTAACATAAATTTACTGTTACATTTGCAGGAATTAGTGAGACATCTCTTCTGAACTTGATAACTCGGACACAGAAAATGAAGAGTCTTTGCTTGAGGGATACAAAAGTTTCAGACAGTGTGCTATGTGCATTCTCTGGCTCTTCCTTGGAAGCACTTGATATATCAAATACCACTGTGAGTCATTGATTCAGTAGAAATACATCTTACTTCCGCATTTCAAGTGATGCTTCGTCACCACTAATTCTTGGAGCGTTTTACAGATATCTAGTATGGCTCTTGCTCGTGTAATTAGCAAAAACCCTAATCTAAAAAGCCTTAAAGCCAGGGGGTGTACAAATCTGCTTCAAATACAGATTGATGGGAGAACTGACAATCTCTATCCGTTGTTTTCTAGCAAGGGAAGTGGATTTGAGGAGCTTGAGATTGGTTGGGGATTTTCTTATTTCTCTCTTGAGTCTTTGAGACCTTCGGTTTCGTTCCTGCGAGCTATAAGTGTGGGTTTGGGTGCTTCCTTAGGTGAAGATGCTTTAAAGCTTCTACCTTTGGTTTGTCCTTTGCTAGAGTCTATCGTCGTTTGCTTTCAGGTACTTCTGAGCTTGAAAGATAGTGAGTTCTCAATCTTAGAAACTTGAAAGATAAAGTGAGTTTTCAATCATTTCCCATTTTTGAACTGTTTTTTTTTTTTTTGGTTTGCCAGGATATATCTGATTCTGCCTTGACCAGTATCGTGACATCATTGAAACACCTACAAGAGCTAGCTTTGTCCTATTGTTTCGGTGACATATCACTTCAGAGTTTCAAGTTCTCTATGCCGAACCTGAGAAAACTAAGGCTTGAGAGGGTAACTCGCTGGATGACCAATGATGATTTATCTGTTCTCACGCAAAGCTGTCCGAACTTGACCGAGCTTTCGTTACTAGGATGTTTACAGCTAAATTCAGGTAACAAACTTACTTTGTTACTTGTGAAACAATTTACCTAACCTCATAATCTAGTGCCATTTCTTAATACATTGTTCTCACCTTTTGTTTTGATTTTTTACTTCTCAGATTCTCAACCTATCATCTCAGCTGGATGGCCAGGAATGATTTCTCTTCATCTAGAGGTGTGTTAAGACCTTTTTTAGATGTATATATCAATGTTTTAGTCATCCTCAAATATTATTTCATGTTAAGCTATAATCATCCACAAACCGGAACCTTTTAGAAGAACAGACACGACTATTTTAACTTAACCATGTTTGGGTAATAGGAATGTGGGAGAATAACAGAGAATGGTGTCGCTTCTCTCTACGGCTGCATTGCTCTTGAGGACCTTTTACTTCGCCACAACGTGAGTTCTCTTTTATATATCCTCACTCTTTTAGTGTTATGCCGCATCTCCCTCAAATAGAATTATAAAATCTTTGATATGTCGAACTTTTATGACGGTTCTGTTATAAATTCAGGGCTCTGGGATACAGAAAAGCTTCCTTCTCGATGCTGCTTTGAAAGTAAATTTTCAGGAACTCCATGCCTTTTTACTTAAAGAGAGTTAAATCTGTGTTGCATCACATTTTTTTTTCCTTATTAAATCTTCTCAACAATCAGTTTCCAATTCTTCGGCTTGTAACTTTGGACATGTGTGATGCAAAGGAAGGCAACTTCGATGTCCAAGAGGTAAAGTAATAAATAGCAGAGATAGTTAACTCAGTAGCTAAAGAACATTATATGAATACATTCTTTGTAGCTTTAAGATCGAAAACAACATTCACATGGCAAGATTCTTTGATATGTTTTGGATTTGGCAGGAGAAAGAAGAAGGTCGTTTCCTAAGCGTAGTGAAGATCAGTAGATGCAAGTCTCAGAGATGCGCTCTGGGAAGAGAGTTGGCTCCAGTGCATAGAGAGACGCTCGTTATGTTTTGGAATGGCCTAAACTTCACTAAAACTCTGCTCAAACAAAGGCTTTAGTTACCACACTCTACACTTTTATGTTGGTTTTTGAATTTGTTGATGTTTGTTGATAGATTTTGTTTTCGTGTTTAAGTCTGAGTGCGGTTTATAATTTAATTCGTGTTTCGGTGTAGTGTTCGTCTTATCCGAGATGGTGAGCAATTAAGAACAAACAAAAAAAGCTGATTAGAAATCACTAAAAAAATGGTCATTCCAGCTACAATGTTTAGTCAAGTACAATAATATTACACGATCGAGAGAGTTGACCTTTAGAATTTGAGTTTGATATTTTCTCATAAGTTAATTGATTTTTGTTTTTAATTTAAAAAAGAATGAGGTGACACACTTAACATCCGTTGAAAGTCAATTATATTATCAAGTCGTATTTTGTTTACTAATATAATAATATAAGGTCGTTTTTTCATGATTTTTTTTAAAAAAATGATTTTGGCCTTTTATACAGCACTAATATAATAATATATTATCATGTTTTGAGTTTGATATTTTCTTAAGATATTTTCATAAGTTAATTGATTTTTGTTTTTAATTTAAAAAAGAATGAGGTGACACACTTAACATCCGTTGAAAGTCAATTATATTATCAAACAGTATTTTTTATTAATATAATAATAAAAGGTCGTCTTTTTCATGATTTTTAAAAAATTGATTTTGGTCTTTTATATGTACAGCACAAAACATGTTTTTGTAAGAACGTGATTTTATACTTTTTAGAAGGGTTTCGGAGTACAAGAATTCAATTTTATTAAAAAGTCGGCCATTGGAGTAATAGCTTTTTATGGTGATGTCTCGTACCATTTTGGAGATGAGGTTTGTGGCCCTTCAAATCAATTTCGATTAATTAAGGTTAACCTACCTTATAAATGCAGATTAGTACTACAAATATTAAAAGGTCGCCGACTGCTACTAAGAACCTAACAGATCTTTTATACTACATTTCTGCATGGTTATCTTAAGGAGACTGTTTTCATGTTTGATTTTTTAATCAGGATGTTTGAGACTATATTTATTGAATACTCTCTCTGTTTTTTTTATATAAGATGTTTTAGAGATTGTTTTTTATTCAAAAATAGTTGATGTTTTTACATATCTATGCAAAAATTAATTGCATTTTTATTAATTTAAATTTTTGAATTTTGTACATTGCTTTTCTATTAGTTGAATTATTTTGGAATTGATGATAAAATATGTTTTGTTTTGGAAAAATACAAAATCAAATGATTTATTAATCAATGTGTAAAAACTTTAAACATTATATATATATATATATAAACGGAGGGAGTAATTATTAAGTATCTCCACGTGCACTATATAATTAATGTCTACATTAAAAAAAAAATGTATGTAAGAAACAGGATATATCACGCATATCCATAGTTTCGGATCTTCAGTTAAACAAATGAAGGTAACATAATTTCGTATCACTTGAACGCTGTATATATTCGCTTCGACTAATATAGGTCATCTGTTGATAATTTTAACGTGTGGTATAACGATCCCGTCCCTGCCTTAAAGCAGGTGAAGCATTGGCTTTAAACCATATATATTTTTAAAAATATTAGGCCACACTTTCAAATATTATTTCTAGCTTAGGTGGCCAACTAAGGAGAATTAAGGAGAAGTTTTCTCCACATTTCGGGTTTGAATGGTGTTGATACATATTTTACCACTTTCTTTTTTCTTTTTTTAATATAAATTTTTTATAAAAAAAAATTTGTGTTTTAGCCATCACATAAACTGTAAAATGTTTTTGTAAACACAAAATTTTGAAACTAAATCATTTAAAATTCTGAAAGTTTGATTTTTAATTTTGATAAATTGGATATTTCTTAAATTTTATATTTTTCTTATTATTGTCTTTTTCACACAATAGTCTCTATAATTATATTTTTTTTTAGTAATATGCTTCCAGACTCTAGTAAGCACAAGAAGACATGTTTTAATTTGTTATAATTATAAAATCTGGATCTTCTAAAGTTGATATGGCTTTTAGAAATGAGGTAAACGATAAATAACAATAAAACTGATTCTTATAAGACTGGTGAGAAAGAGGTGCATATGAAAGATAACAGAGAAAAAAAAACTCTTAAACAATAATAATAAGGGATAACTGCAAAAAACCCTTAAACTAAATTAATTTTGTAAAATAAACAAGAAAATGTAGCAATTTTTGGTGGTTTGATCTATTTTTGATGGTTTTACTTATTATAAAGAGCCACGTTTTTTTTTTTAAATAACATCATAAATATCTGGGACGGCACTGTATAACGTAATTTTATATTTTCCTATAAACAGTAAGAAGCCACTTTTTACATCGACTAAGTGAATTTTATAGCCAATTAAAGAAGGAAAAAAATAATATAAACAATATGGCGTTTTTAATACTAGAGAAATCTATATAATATATATAGACAGCCTTTATAAATACCAGTTAATTTAATATAATCTTGTATATTACAAGCTGAAGTATATAGGCTAACAATTTTTTAATATATGTCAAAAGACGGATATATATTGTCATCGTTACTTAATTAAAATGTCTAGATTAATCTAATTAAAAATTGATAATACCTTTAATATTTAATTAAAATATAAATAAATATATAAAATAAATATAAGAATGAAGACACATGATTATATGTATGTCTAAAATGAATTTGTTTCCCTTTTTTTGCTTTTGTGCATGCTCTTATTATTTAATGAAGAAAGTTGAAGTGAGCTCCAAATATTAAGATACAAGGTAGTGACCCACAAGATCATTGGCTGCTTTAGGTTATAACTATGGAATACAACTTTTTGTTAAATTTATGTTTATAAACATGCTCAATGACCCACAAGATCCCTAGCTGCTTTAGGTTATTAACTGTGGGATACAACTTTTTGTTAAATTTTTGTTTTATTCAAACATGACAAAAAAGAAAAGGGAAATTGGCTGATATAGTCATATCAAAGGTTATAATTCAGAAAATAACCATAGTAAAATAAGTGTTATTATATTTTTTACATATTCTACAATATATACTAAAAACCCCTTTGTTTAAAATAGAGTGAAAAATAATTGCTGACATTAGCAGTAGAAAATAAAAATAAAAAATTAAATGTATCTTCATCGCAAATGATAAATCGCACTTCAATATGTTATTGAAAAATAATAAACACAAACCATATTAGTTTATATTAAACACCACTAAAGTTACACTATATCGATTATTGTTTCCAATAACTTATTTTCCTATTTGAATATATAGTATATCTCTAATAACATATGGTTTACTACTGGACTATACTATATGTTCAGTATACAACAACACTACTATAATATAGTATGAGAGTTTTCGGTTATATATCATTTCGTCGATCATTATACTCTAAATTAAAAATAGTATAGTATGACAGTTACAATTATACTACTAGATTGCACATTTTCAAATAGTATAGAACTCACTAGTTATAGTATAGATGTGATAGTATAAGTTTCTACTACCCTATACGTCAAAAAATATATCGCAGTATATATTTTGCTTAAAACTGAAGGAGTGTATTGTAATTTCTCTGTGGGCCATGGTTATTTATCTAATTTTTTGAACAAGATAGCTATATTCTCTGATTCCTTCTCCAATATAGTTATTACACTAAAAAGCCCAAAAGGAAAAATGATTTTTTTTTAGCAAAATCAATTTATTTTAAAACATTAAAGTTCAATAGATAGAACCAACCCCACTCTCTCCCTGTCTAGACTAATGATGTAGGTCATAGATATTAGATAGCACTCCATGACTCCAAGAGCGTGATCCATACCTCTGTTTATTATTTGTAACGTGCAACAAAAGTTTTGAGTTATTGACAGGTCAAAAATGATGAATGTGCTCTGTTTTGACGTACAAATTCATGTAACCGTCCACATAAGTTTACTAGTAGTATGTAACCTAATGACGCTCTACACAGTTATTAGGGAAAAGAAAAGGATAATATAAAAATAAACTTGTCATAGGTGACGTTATGCATGAGCATGTGTGCGTGTATTATTAAATGACAAGAGATGTATAGGGCTGGATAATATTCCATAGACCATAATAAAAAAAACTTTGTAATTTTATTTTTTCTAAGCGCGGAGATGGAAATTTTAAGCTTTTAACTGTCTAGAATGCTAATCTCCCTACATGTTTATGTTACCCACCTAAAGTTATTTACAAATAATATTGTGGTCTAAATGCCATTCGAGAAGTATTCATAACTTTGTTTCGAAACGGGAATCAAACTCAAGACAGAAATTAAAGGGCTCATCATCATACTCATTTCCCATGCAAAATTAATTAAATCAGATGGATATAATATTTTAGTTTACTGTTAAGTTACCTAGTTCCTGCCATGTTTGGTTTAACTTATTATAAATGTTTTTCTTTCCAGATTATAGGTTGTGAATGTTCCAAAACTTGTTCTATGTATTGAGTGTTGAACAAATAAGATTAAACGAGATAGAACTTGAAAATAATTTTAAAAAATATTTGATCACCATTTTTGTTGAGACTTGAGCACATGGCTTTTCTGCTGCGAATTTTCTTTAGTAAACAAATAACGAAACATTTTGGGAACTCTCTAAATCTTTAATGCTTTGAATTTGATTATACTGGAGTAGACTAGTTTATTAATGATTGTGGTTATGATGACACTCATCATTATTAGTATTGTATTATACCCAAAAATAATGATACTTAAATGTATCAATGGATTGCATGGGGAATAGCCAAATGAAGACTGTTGTCATGTGATGAAAATCCCTTACTTCATGGGCTGCAGTATCTTTTGCGTTATCTCTTGACCGTCCGATCTTCTCATCCAAGCATGTGTGGTCATGTTCATTTCTGTTGATTACCAAACAATACATCTGTCTATAAATCGATTATAGATCGCCCAATGATTTTACTACAGTTAGTCTTAATTTTATTTACTCACCGGTTTCTCTAGTAAAATCTTACTATTTATTGCATATAGTAAATGGGATTGCACTATACTATCATTTTGTCTTTTTAGTTTTTATAGTATTAAATTTGAACTTCTATAACAAAAATAATAATCGTTCCAGTTCCAAAATATTTGCACGCATAGTCGCATACACAAAACAAAATTAAGTTCATCATTATCGAGTATTAATACGAATTTTTTTTATAAACATAAATTTCACTCATTCATTCGTTTATCTTAAAATACAAAATACGGATTCAATTCAAAGTTTGAAATCTTCAAAGATATGCTCTGTCCCGGCTTCGTTCATTGTATTTGTATCTTAAAATAGCTTTGATTGGTAATATTTATACAGATTACCGCTCAATTTCTATAAAAAAATCATATAACTTGTGATCGCATAACTTTGTTTACTTTCATGTCCTTGCAGTTGCAGTGTCATCCATATATGTATCTTATCATTGTGTTTGTGACAAGGAAAAATATATGATTTGTCGTGATCAATCCTAAATTAACTGGAGAATATACCATAGACGAAATCCAAAATACAGAATTAGAAACAATTTAAGCCAAAACCTTAGGCTATTTCCGATACCTTTCTATTATATTGGTTTGCTGACGAGTATATTTATATTTCACTATACTGCAAAAGATAAAAAAAAAAAATCAATACAAGTTTTATATATGAGTGTTTTTACCCATGAGAATTGATTCAAACTGCATCTATTAAGACGATGATGTAATAGGTCAAAACTGGTGTGCGACGAAAGCATTGCTCGAGGTACGATTTTTCAAGCCTGACACCTCCAACCGATTCAAGCTAATACATTGTTTAGGCAAACAGGGACAATCCTGAGAAATTGGGAGTTCAAAAAAAAAAAATTTATTAGATATAATTTTTAATATAATTATAAATATAAATTTTAATTTTAATTTTTTTATTATAACTAAAATAAAATTTAGAAACTTATTTTTTTAATATTAACAATTTAAAAAAAATTAAAATCAGAATAAATATTTCATTTGATTTAGTCCAAAATGAGCACTGTAGGCAAATTATAGTTCTTATTAGTCAAAAATATACATCAGACAACCGAACTGAACATTAGAATAAAAAAATGTAATTATATATATAGTCCATAATATTTTTGTTTTTTGTTTTTTAGCGCATATTATCTATATTATCATTTAGTTTAGACTAATGATGTTATTATTCTCCAATCATTTTGAGATAGTAAAAAGGCACTAATAATATTTTATAGCTAAATAGTTTTTTAAAATTTCAATTGTAAGCTAAATAGTTTCGAATTTTGAAAATATTATTTCTATTCATGATGTTAAATATTTGTTAGTTTAAGCAATTCTCTTTTCTCAAAAAAAAAATTTTATAACAATTTTCTTTTCTCATTTTGTCATATTTTATTAACTAAGATTATAATTGAACCGTCATCTCGTATTGTACCATTATCTCGCATTGGTATGTTTTTCGACTTCATAATGTTCATTCACTTTTGTCGTTTATCAGTGCAATTTGTTATTTGTTTACTGTTTTGTGTCACCAAACTACCTATGTAACTAGAATATCTTCATATTTTAGTTTATTTAAAACTATAGTATAAACTTGTGGTATAAAGTTTCAACAATAAATGTTGATTGAAAATGCCCAATCCTAATCACATGTTGTGCGCAAAGCCGCAAAGACTTTAGGACTTTGATTGATTTTCTTTCCCTTTTATAACGACTGATTTATTTTTCCAGATTATTATTTGATTTATGTATGACACAAGCAATTACATCACCAACACGTTCAGTCTGCACGTATGTTGTGTAACATATTTGAATAAGACCATTTACAAAAAGATCAATACAGAAAATTAATCAATTATCGATTTGTAAAAATTGTAACTCAAATCAAATGATGGAATCATCATTAATGGAAAAAGGCAATGAAATGTGCAACACACAAAAACGAGATGTGATATGTCCGCAAACATAATGGTGATCATATTAGAAAGATAATGGTGGTTATGGCATAATTAGCAGTGTCATTTACTTTTTATTTTTTAAAACCTTATCACAGATGCTATTTGTACTATTTACGATTAAAAATAATAATTCCACGGCACTTAAAAATAGTATATCAGACGATTTCTCAAAGCGATTTTACAACAAACAATTGTATATACCACAAAAAATAATAAAAGTAAAAGAAAGAAAATGTTCAAAAGTAAATAAATAAGAGTAAAGCTGTATATCTTTGAAAAATAAAAGTTTTGTGAATAAATAGTTAAAAGACAAAAAAATACAGGTCGCAATTTTTTATAACAGATATGGCAATTTCAGTTGACATTTTATAATTTCTGAACTTTTATATATAACGAATATAAATAATAGTATTATTATTTTATTGCTAAATCTAATATTCCATCTTCAAAACAGATGTTAAATGGAGAAAGAAATCCGCAAAAACTTCACCCGCCTCTTCTCTCCTCTCTCTTCTCTCTCTCTTCAGTCGCCACGTTTCTCTCTCCCATTCAATGCCGGACGGAAACGAATCGACCTGAGATTCCGAATCCGTCTCCTTTCCTCGTAACTCAAACCGGACGACTCGTCAACAGTGTCGGCGATGTTAGGACGAGACGAAGAACTGGCCCGTACTACGAACGGGAGAGGGAGTCTGGCCTCCACAAGTCACCGGAGTTTGGCCGGAGCTTCGAAAAGTTTCAGAGATGCGTTTGTTCCTCCGACGGACGAGGTTTTCGGGAGAAGCGACCGGAGGGAAGAAGACGACGTGGAGCTCCGGTGGGCGGCGCTTGAGAGACTGCCGACTTACGATAGACTGCGAAAAGGGATGTTGCCGCAACAAACGGCGGTCGACGGGAAGATTGGGCTGGAGGAAGTCGACCTCGCGAATCTCGCACCTAAGGAGAAGAAACATCTCATGGAAATGATTCTGAAATTCGTCGAGGAAGACAACGACAAGTTTCTCCGTCGACTGAGAGAAAGAACAGACAGGTAAGATTAACAAATTTTTTTTTTTAAAAAGTTTCTTTTTTTTGGTTATTAGGCTGACAAATTTGGATTTTTTATATATTTTATTTGCGAAAACAGAGTGGGAATCGAAGTTCCGAAGATTGAAGTAAGGTATGAGAATATATCAGTGGAAGGAGATGTGCGTAGTGCAAGCAGAGCTCTTCCTACTCTCTTCAACGTCACTTTGAATACAATTGAGGTTCGTTTTTTTGTCTTGATTTGATTCGTTTATTTGGTAACTTTGTCTTGTTCGATGTCGTTGTCTTGTTGAGAAAAAAAAATACGATTTAAGTTTCAGAAAAAGATGAAACCTAAATTTTACGGCTTTTTGCGGTCTTTGGCATAATTTATCTCCATTTTTGGGATGTAGTAATAGTATTGTCGGTCCAGAAATAAAATTTCTCTTTTATGTGTGTGTGAATGGTGGGTTTACTTTTCAGAAAATTTCTTCTTGTTGTTGATTTTTGATGCATTTATATAAACAATGACTAAAGCAGCTTAACTTAAAAGAATCTTATGTGATTTGTATGTTGTAGAGCATTCTTGGACTCTTCCACCTCCTTCCATCTAAAAAGAGGAAGATTCAGATACTCAAAAACATCACTGGCATTGTCAAACCATCAAGGTAAACACTATACTGAATGCTACAATGGTCTTTGCTATGTTATTATATGTTGGAGAATTCATTATTGTTGATCATCATTTGCAGGATGACCTTACTACTTGGTCCACCAAGTTCAGGGAAAACAACTTTGTTACAAGCTTTGGCTGGAAAGCTCGATGACACCCTCCAGGTTTGTTCTCTGTCATATATGTATACTCTTTAAATTTCTTGGCCTTATCATTATGTGACACATTAATGGCAAACAGATATCAGGGAGGATAACTTACTGTGGTCATGAGTTTGGCGAGTTTGTTCCTCAAAAGACGTGTGCTTACATTAGTCAGCACGACCTTCACTTTGGAGAGATGACTGTGAGAGAGACACTGGACTTCTCGGGACGATGTCTTGGCGTTGGGACTCGGTACCAGCTGCTTACTGAGCTCTCAAGGAGGGAGAGAGAAGCTGGAATAAAGCCAGACCCTGAAATTGATGCATTCATGAAATCCATCGCCATATCAGGCCAGGAGACTAGCTTGGTTACAGACTATGTACTTAAGGTACATCTCTTCTTGCGTTTTTCTTTATTACTAACAAAAGTGAGAAACAAATACTCTTCGAGCTCATGTTTTGTAAATGCCTCTTTTAACAGATACTTGGTCTTGACATCTGTGCTGACATACTCGTTGGGGATGTCATGAGACGTGGTGTGTCTGGTGGACAAAGGAAGCGTCTAACGACAGGTAATTAAAAACTACGAGTATTACATATATGTTCATGTTCACAACATATTTACAGTGTTCATAACTCGGATGGTTCTTGTCTAAACTGAGCAGGAGAGATGTTGGTCGGACCAGCGACAGCTCTATTCATGGATGAGATATCAACAGGGTTGGATAGTTCCACAACGTTCCAAATCTGCAAGTTCATGAGGCAATTAGTTCATATCTCGGATGTTACGATGATCATCTCGCTTCTACAACCTGCACCAGAGACATTTGAGCTCTTCGACGACATTATCCTGCTCTCAGAGGGTCAAGTTGTCTACCAGGGCCCAAGGGACAACGTTCTTGAGTTCTTTGAGTACACGGGGTTCCAGTGTCCTGAAAGAAAAGGTGTTGCAGATTTTCTTCAAGAAGTTACGTCTAAGAAAGACCAAGAACAGTATTGGAACAGGAGAGAACAGCCTTACAGCTATGTCTCAGTGAGTGATTTCTCAAGCGGATTCAACTCTTTTCACACAGGGCAACAACTTGCTTCAGATATCAGGGATCCTTACGACAAAGCTAAAACCCATCCTGCTGCACTGGTGACACAAAAGTACGGTATATCAAACCGGGAGCTGTTCAAGGCATGCTTTGATAGAGAATGGCTGCTCATGAAACGAAACTCCTTTGTCTATGTGTTCAAGACCGTCCAGATTACCATCATGTCCTTGATCGCCATGACGGTCTATTTCAGGACAGAGATGCACGTAGGCACGGTGCCAGATGGTCAAAAGTTTTTTGGTGCTCTGTTTTTCAGCTTGATCAATGTGATGTTTAATGGAATGGCTGAACTAGCATTCACGGTGATGAGGCTCCCGGTTTTCTACAAGCAGAGGGACTTCTTGTTCTATCCTCCGTGGGCTTTCGCCTTACCAGCTTGGCTTCTGAAGATTCCGTTGTCTCTTATCGAATCAGGAATATGGATCGTTCTTACATACTACACCATCGGTTTCGCTCCTTCTGCTGCAAGGTAATATCACTAAGGAACTTTCTTTATATTCTTATATTTGTCATTTCTCTTGAGCTAACTAAACTTGTGCCATTAGGTTTTTCCGGCAGTTGCTTGCATACTTCTGTGTGAACCAGATGGCCCTTTCATTGTTTAGATTCCTTGGAGCCGTTGGAAGAACAGAAGTAATCTCCAACTCGGCCGGGACCTTCACATTGCTTATTGTATTTGTTCTTGGAGGCTTCATTATTGCTAAAGGTAAGCAGATGAGAAACAGTTCCATTATAGTTTCATCTTGATATCAATTTTCAGCTTCTCTCTCTATCTCTGTGTGATTGTTATGTGAAGAACATATTATATATTCTTCTTTTTCACAGATGATATCCCGTCATGGTTGACTTGGGCCTATTATATATCCCCAATGATGTATGGACAGACTGCTATTGTCATGAATGAGTTTCTGGATGAACGATGGGGCGCGGTAAGCTTTTCACAAACTTCTCGTCTGATTTGACTTCTCTCTTTTCCCACCTTAATGATGCAAAATCTTGTTATGTTACATGATGCAGCCCAACACTGATACTCGCATCGACGCCAAAACAGTAGGAGAAGTCCTCCTAAAGAGCCGAGGCTTCTTTACAGAGCCATATTGGTTTTGGATCTGTATCGTGGCTCTACTTGGGTTTTCTTTGTTGTTCAATCTCTTTTACATAATAGCCTTGATGTATCTGAACCGTAAGTGCTCTTGTTTCCAAACTTCCCGGCTATCACAGAGTTTAGACGAGTATCATTGACAAGATCTTGGAAAAATTGTTTCTTTCAGCTCTCGGTAACTCCAAAGCTACAGTTGTGGAAGAAAGTAAAAACAAACAGAAAGGGAATAACCGTGGAGTAGAAGGTGAAAATCTTTCCTTTTTGGTTGTTCTGTCTCTTCTTCACAGTAGACCATGTGCCCAAAGACTCCGCGTCTTGTTTCTGACTCTTCTGTGAAGCTGCAGGTTCTCTTGTGGAACTCAATAGTCGTTCAAGTAATGGGCCAAAGAGAGGAATGGTTTTACCTTTCCAGCCACTTTCTCTTGCATTCAACAATGTGAACTACTACGTGGACATGCCTGCAGTAAGTAAACTGCGTCTCATTATACTTTAGACTTAAACCAAATTCAATGTTTCATTCTGTTGCTTCCCTTAAAAATATTGCAGGAAATGAAGGCTCAAGGAGTTGAAGGCGATCGCCTACAGTTACTAAGAGAAGTTGGTGGAGCTTTCAGGCCAGGCATATTGACTGCATTGGTCGGTGTAAGTGGTGCGGGCAAGACAACCTTAATGGATGTCTTGGCCGGGAGGAAAACAGGTGGCTACGTGGAAGGGAGTATTAGCATATCTGGTTACCCAAAGAACCAAGCAACATTTGCTCGGGTCACTGGTTACTGTGAACAGAACGATATACATTCTCCACATGTGACCGTTTACGAATCCCTCATTTATTCAGCCTGGCTTCGTCTCTCCGCCGATATAGATGCCAAAGCACGAGAGGTAAGTAATTACAATGCATAAAGTTTCACTTCCTTTTTCTCATAATCGTTAGCAAGATTTTTATAAACTGGTAGTACCCTCTTGATAGATGTTTGTTGAAGAAGTGATGGAGTTGGTGGAGCTAAAACCTCTAAGAAACTCTATAGTTGGTCTCCCTGGAGTAGATGGTCTTTCAACAGAACAGAGGAAGAGGCTCACTATTGCAGTTGAATTGGTAGCTAACCCATCTATAATCTTCATGGACGAGCCTACATCTGGTCTTGACGCAAGAGCTGCAGCCATTGTTATGCGTACTGTTAGAAACACCGTTGATACAGGGAGAACTGTTGTTTGTACCATTCACCAGCCCAGCATCGACATTTTCGAATCCTTTGATGAGGTTTTGCCTCCAGAACTCTCTGCTCTTGCGGTCCCAAAACCAGAACAAAACTAATGATCATCTTTGGTTTAATGCAGCTTCTGTTGATGAAACGAGGAGGCCAAGTTATATATGCTGGAAGCTTAGGGCATCACTCACAAAAACTCATTGAATACTTTGAGGTTTTTTTTTATTTTCATCTCTTGGTCATATGATGAATCTTTGGTGTTATGTATCCATGGAAGTAAATTATAGCTAGAATCCTAATACTTGCAGGCAGTTGAAGGGGTTCCAAAGATCAAGGAAGGATTTAATCCTGCGACGTGGATGCTTGACGTAACCACTCCATCAATGGAGTCACAGTTGAAAATGGACTTTGCTAAAATATTCACTAACTCCTCTCTTTCTCGGTATGTTAAAGAAAAATGCTTACTACTAGACCAGAGTGTTGTTAGTTTAGTTACATTGTTGTGTTCTTAACTTAATCCTCGATGTGTTTACTCAGGAGAAATCAGGAAGTCATCAAAGAGCTTAGTACTCCACCACCAGGATCAAACGATCTCTACTTCCCAACCAAGTACTCGCAACCGTTTTCAACTCAAACCAAAGCTTGCTTCTGGAAACAGTACTGGTCTTACTGGAGACATCCTCAGTACAATGCCATCCGGTTTCTCATGACAACAGTCATTGGTGTCTTGTTTGGTCTTATTTTCTGGCAAACAGGAACCAAAATGTAAGCCTTCTTTTTTTCTTTCTCTCAGAGTTTTCCTCTATTCCATTACTAAACATGAAGAATTCATCAAAAAAAAAAAAAAAAAAAACAGAGAAAAAGAACAAGACTTGAATAATTTCTTTGGAGCAATGTACGCTGCTGTTTTCTTCCTCGGTGCCACAAACGCTGCAACAGTTCAACCCGCAATCGCCATTGAGAGAACAGTGTTCTACCGCGAAAGAGCAGCTGGAATGTACTCAGCTATTCCCTATGCTATTTCTCAGGTATAGCCAAAACCGTTCTAATATATCTTTCTATAGCAGAACTTTAACCAAAAGAAGCTTAAACGAACTTCAAAAATGGTGCAGGTGGCTGTAGAAATCATCTACAACGCTCTACAAACCGGAGTCTACACGCTAATCCTTTACTCAATGATAGGATACGACTGGACTGTGGCCAAATTCCTCTGGTTCTACTACTACATGCTCACGAGCTTCATCTACTTCACGCTATACGGTATGATGCTTGTGGCCTTGACACCAAACTATCAAGTCGCTGGAATCTGCATGTCCTTCTTCCTCAGTCTCTGGAATCTCTTCTCCGGTTTCCTCATCCCTAGACCGGTAAAATCATTAACCAACTTACGTTTGACAATAACCAACACAATTAGTGTTTTTTAAGGAGATTTACTAACTTTAAGCTTAAAAAAATCGCAGCAAATACCGATATGGTGGAGATGGTACTACTGGGCAACACCAGTGGCTTGGACACTGTACGGAATCATCACGTCTCAAGTAGGAGACAGGGATCCGATGGTGCAGATCGCTGGTGTTGGAGACACGAGTCTCAAAACGTTGCTCAAAGATGGGTTCGGGTTCGAACATGACTTCCTACCTGTTGTAGCCGCTGTCCACATCGTATGGATCCTGCTCTTTGTCTTTGTGTTTGCTTATGGTATCAAGTTCCTCAACTTTCAAAGAAGGTGAAGAATCCTTTTGTAGAATAGAGTTGAATTAGATTAGTGTTGCAAGTTGTTGAATTCATGTAAATTTTCTTTGAATTATATATATATATATATATATATATCCTTTTGTATTATTTTGTTTCCAAGTTACAAATGATACTTTAATATGATTTTTTTCTTTTTTTAGAATGATTAATACCTATTGGGTATATTCTATATTCTCTAATGATTCTCATGGGAATGGTCTTTTGTGTGAGTTTTGGACTCATCTCAAGGAAAAAGTTTTACAACTTTTTCGGTTACTAGTCTGGATTTGATAGATCCAACAATAATTGTTAGGACTTTTTTTTTTGGTAATTATAATTGTTAGGACTTTGTAAGAAGTAATGCTTTTAATCAACATGATTTAGGTTATTAATGGTTAAAAGATGCAATTATTGAGAAATTGAGATACTACTTTCTAGTTTCAAAATGCTTGTGATTTTGTGAAGAAGACGACGACCAGAGACGCTAGATGGGTCCCATCTAAATATCTGACATCATACACGTGGCACAGTATGCTCCGTCCCTAATGAGCTTCGTGTGATTTTGATTAATTTTCTGAACTTTTTATTTTTGTCGTTTAGTGTTTTTGTTTAGTTAAATTTATTTTTTTCTCTTTTTTTAGATTTTATTCCTTTCAGCTTTTCGCTCCTCACTCTCTCCTAAGTGCCTCTGCAAAACTCTCTCTCTCTTTCTCTCTCCCTCGCAATGGTTTACACGATTTCAGGCGTACGTTTCCCTCATCTTCCATCGATTAAAAACTCGTCTCTCCCCAGTTTCAATGACGATCGGAGAAGCAACGCCGTTTCGTTTTCTCTGAGGAAGGACTCTCGTTCTTCTGGTACTGCTCCTTCTCTTGTTTCCTTTTTTTTTTTCTAATCTCCGTGTGTCTCCTTCTACGGCACGGGTTTCGAGATTAGTGATTTTCATGGAGTCAATGTGTAGATTTTCGTTTTTTGTATCCTGGGGATTTTTCGGTTCATCGAACGTCCTTTTGCATTCTGTGATTTGGTGCAGAATTTAAAATTGAGGAAGTTTACTAGATGATGAGATTTCTTGGGTTTCTACAATGGAAGGTTTAGATATGTTCGTCACTGAAATTTTGGTGGAATTAGGAACTTTGGTTTATGAGATGGAGTTTCGACTTAAAAGACGAGCTTTGCATCCAGAGATTTCCCATTTCGATGGTTTTCTATAATGTTTGTTCAGATCAAGAAGTTTGATCACTGCGGAAATGTATTGTTACTGTTGTGATTGCTATGTGGATTGATACGTATCTTCATTTGAGGTGCCTGGTTATGTTTTATAAATATGAATTTGATTTTGCTAATTTATTAGGGAAGATATTTGCTCGGAAGCCATCCTATGACTCTGAATCTTCTTCTCTAGCTACCACTGCATCTGAGAAGCTCGGTGGCCATCAGAGTGATAGCTCTTCACCTGTCACTGATCAAGTAGAATCTCCGGAAACTGTCTCTGGAGATACTCAGGTTTGTTGTCATCTACTCGGTTTTCTACTACTATGTTGACTGCTAGTTAGTGTGTATGATCACAAATGACGTTGAAGTAATGGTGTGATGAGACATAATCATGAAAATAATGAAAGGAATCAGTCATGTGGACCAATTGTGAACACGTGATTGTTTGGGTAAATGGATCTTTCCTACAAAATGAAATCGTATAGAAGTTGAACTTGAATCAAATTCTATCAGTTTTAGTTTCCTGTGTATGCATCTGTGCTATGATTCAAGAATCTCTCATAAAACGTGTCTGACTCTTGGATGATATTCTTCTTTCATATGCACTTTCGTTGTTTCTTGCATTTTCTTGCTTATGTTAGAATACGTTTCTACCCTCTACTGTTCTCAAACGTTTATTATTAGGTACATGACGATGTAGAGGCCCAGAAAATTGAGACGGAGGGACAAGATCAAGCTTCTGAACTTTCTACATCTGGAGGCCAGAATTATAAAGCAAACATTGCAACTATGTCAGAGTCTCTCGTCCAAGAAGTTGGACAGAGGAGGATTCCACCTCCGGGAGATGGGAAGAAGATATATGACATTGATCCTATGTTGAAGAGCTATAATGGTCATCTTGATTATCGGTAAACCATATATTATAAACGTTAACTTGTCTGCAGAGAGTTAAAGTCTCTCATAATCGTTTTCCTCACCAAACTAGTAAACAATGAATTTATAATTTTACTGGCGCAACGTGAAAGTTTTATGCCATCTTGATATTTATCCTTCTCCTGGCTTGAAAAAATTGATTTTATATGTCATCTTGATGGCATCTTGATTTTCATCCTCTCCTAGCTTAAAAAACTTCTGTGTATATTATTTGGTATGTTCTAATCACCCAGCATGCCGGTGCAGATATGGGCAGTACAAAAAACTGCGTGAAGAAATCGACAAGAATGAAGGTGGTCTAGAGGCATTTTCTCGTGGTTATGAAATATTTGGCTTCACTCGAAGGTAAAGCAGTGAATTATAATTAGTTAACACTCTACAGATAGTTGGTATTGCAGTTGCTAATTACTTCACTCTTTTATTAGCACCACTGGGATCACTTACCGAGAATGGGCACCGGGAGCTAAGGTTTGTTTCATCTCAGTTGTCTACCTAATAATTGGATTTTTAATGAGCTTGGTTTATTTTTGTGCCGTCATTAGAATTTCAGAATCTGCCTTTATAAGTCAAATGCACCTTTTCATGCCTGTGAAGTGAATTAAATCTGGTGTAAAATCATGGACTAAAACTCATGTACTCCCACATGAGTTTCTATGAACTGTTGGGGTCCCAGATTTCAGAACTGGTCAAGTGATTTTGTATGTAGTATAAGAATGAATGTTCAGCCTGGGCGATCTCAAGTATGAAAGTAGAGTAATGCCTTATTGTTGTGATATCCGTTTGTTCCTTTGCATTCTGTTCCATGCATGTTTCTGCACCTGATTGAACATCTAGATTACTGTTTTTTTCTAACAAGTTATTTGGCTGTCTTTTTCCTTTTCAGGCAGCATCACTGATTGGAGATTTTAATAACTGGAATTCTAAAGCTGATGTCATGACTCGGGTATTTTGACCTTCATTGTTTAATCTTTCATCTAGACTAGTTGTTAAATTGTACTTACAACCTTCAGCGATTCTTGTTGGCAGCATACTTTCTCTGTTATCTGTTCCTTTATGGAATTTTGATCTAAGACAGTTTTTTCACTGGTATTTGAGCAGAACGACTTTGGTGTGTGGGAAATATTCCTGCCCAATGATGCTGATGGCTCGCCAGCAATTCCCCATGGGTCCCGCGTGAAGGTGACATTTATTGTTTAGATGAATAAAAAACTCTTTCCAGTACAACTTACTGCTGCTACGCATTCTCTATATCAATTTCAGGAGGAATCCACATCCCATTCCTCATTTATTTGGAATTAGCAGAAAATATATAGAAAGAATTGGTTACAACACACAACTTCACAGCTTATAATTATTTCATGATGTTCCAAGTGAACTTCTAGAGTTATGATATTTGAGTGCGAATCCAATGATCTTGTGCGAAAATAAGTATTTAAGGAGAATTAGTAGTGTGCTAGATGATGTAACCTTTTGGAAAAGAATACAAAGTTGTCAGCTTTGTAACTCTTTCCATAAATTTTATTTTTGTCATGCATTTGTAGATTCGCATGGATACCCCATCTGGAATTAAAGACTCCATTCCAGCTTGGATCAAGTACTCTGTCCAGCCACCAGGCGAGATTCCATACAATGGAGTATATTATGACCCTGCTGAGGAGGTACAAACCAGTACTTGTTATGGTGTTTTCTAGAGATGATCTAAACTCTTTCAAGATGTAGATATCCAAGAGAAAAACATCACATTTAGTATTTAACTCATGTGGTTTCATATATATCTCGCTTTCTGGTCCTGTGATTTCGTTAAAGGCCTAAAGAGTACTCCATTGTTTCAGGAGAAATATGTGTTCAAACACCCTCGTCCAAAGAAACCCACATCACTGCGGATATATGAATCACATGTTGGAATGAGTAGTACGGTCAGTTTCTTTATTCATTTCTCGGAATTGTAATCACTACAATAAGTGATAAAATATCACTGACAGAAGTAGAAGTGATGCAGACTGCAAAAACTACATTCGATGTCTGGACAGTTTTTGTATTTGCTAGACTTCGTTGCTTGTTGAGATAGTGGAAAGTTTGGTCTAGGCACATAAAGAGAATTTGGGGACTAGTCTTTTTGAACAGGAGGACTATCATTGTTGCTTGTTGGCTCAGACATCTTAGTGAATGTATAGTTTCAATATAAGAATGCAAAAAATTTAGAGCTCCTACTTCGTTCCAGTTCCTTGAATGCAGAAGACTTTCACTTTTGACAATATGTTAATGAGTAACGTATCTTTTATCTGCAGGAACCAATGATAAATACATATGCCAACTTTAGAGATGATGTACTTCCCCGTATAAAAAAGCTAGGCTATAATGCTGTTCAGATAATGGCCATTCAGGAGCATTCCTACTATGCCAGCTTTGGGTATCTTCCTCTCCAAGATATAGCTTGTCTATCTACCTATCATCACGCATTCCTGTTAAAACCTTTTGCTCATCTTGATGAATGAGCATGTGATTTTGCTACGTGCAATGCAGGTATCATGTGACAAACTTTTTCGCTCCTAGCAGTCGCTTTGGAACACCTGATGACCTTAAATCTTTGATAGACAAAGCTCATGAGCTGGGTCTAGTTGTTCTGATGGATATTGTGCACAGGTATTGGCCACCCGTTAATAAACTTCTTTAGAATCATCTTTCATCATATTTATTTTATCGTGGAACTAATTGAAAATTAACATGAAAAAATGGATAATTGTCATTGTCTTAAATTAAACCAGCCATGCATCAAAAAACACACTGGATGGCCTGAACATGTTTGATGGCACTGATGGTCAGTATTTCCACTCTGGTACGCGGGGTTACCACTGGATGTGGGATTCTCGTCTTTTCAATTACGGAAGCTGGGAGGTATGTGTCTCTCCCTACAGTCGATATTGCGACATTAATGGGAAAGTCTTTTAGAGTAGTGGATACGGCATTAATGTTTTTTCCTTGTCAATTTAGGTGCTTCGGTATCTTCTGTCCAACGCGAGATGGTGGCTAGAAGAATACAAGTTTGATGGGTTCAGATTTGATGGCGTGACATCCATGATGTACACTCACCATGGATTACAGGTGATATTTTTGTATGGGACAAATTTTGTTTGTTAGGTTCAATATATGATGATAGTAACTATCCTTAACGCATCGGTATCATACAAATATGCTCATGCCAAATATGTGGCAGGTCGAATTTACTGGGAATTACAATGATTACTTTGGATATTCTACCGATGTTGACGCCGTGGTCTATCTAATGCTGGTGAACGATCTGATTCATGGGTTATACCCTGAGGCTATTGTTGTCGGCGAAGATGTAAGTGATATGCACTTTCATTCAGTGATAGTAAAGTATCCTTGACACTTATCTTCCGTTCTCTCAACTGGTTTTGTTACAGGTTAGTGGGATGCCAGCTTTTTGCATTCCTGTCCAAGACGGTGGTGTGGGTTTTGACTACCGTCTGCACATGGCTGTGGCTGATAAATGGATTGAGCTTCTCAAGTATGTCAACAGGAAGTCTTGGCCTTTCAATAAGACTGATGGAGGCTTTCTTATATCATGTTGAGCTGATTTCGTGTGTTGTAATTTTCTTTAGGAAGAGAGACGAGGATTGGCAAGTTGGTGATATAGTTTTCACGCTTACCAACAGGAGGTGGGGAGAGAAATGTGTCGTCTATGCGGAAAGTCATGATCAAGCTCTTGTTGGTGACAAAACGATTGCGTTCTGGCTTATGGACAAGGTACCAAAGGAGGATAGCTAACATCTTACTGTCTTGGAGCTCTCTAGTCAGGTTGTATTCAGATAGATTGTTCTGATTTGATTGACCTGATTCTGTAGGACATGTATGATTTCATGGCCGTGGATAGACAGGCCACTCCACGTGTAGACCGTGGGATCGCCTTACACAAAATGATCCGTCTCATTACGATGGGGTTAGGTGGAGAAGGATACCTCAATTTCATGGGAAACGAGTTTGGACACCCTGAATGGATCGACTTCCCGAGGACTGACCAGCACCTTCCTGATGGCAGAGTCATCCCTGGGAATAACGGTAGTTATGATAAATGCCGACGTAGGTTTGATCTGGGAGATGCAGAATATCTTAGATACCATGGACTGCAGGAGTTTGATCGGGCAATGCAACATCTCGAGGAGACGTATGGTTTCATGACTTCGGAGCACCAGTACATATCGCGCAAGGATGAAGGAGACAGAGTCATCGTCTTCGAGAGAGGTAACTTGGTCTTTGTCTTCAACTTCCACTGGACCAACAGTTACTCTGACTACCGTATCGGTTGCTCTGTCCCCGGAAAGTACAAGATCGTTTTGGACTCTGACGACTCTTTATTCGGAGGCTTCAATCGGCTAGATGATTCCGCCGAGTTCTTCACCTCTGTAAGCCAATCAACTAAACGAGAACAAAAAATGAAAACTCTTTCTTCAAAATCATTACAAATAATGTGACAAATTGTAAATGCAGGATGGAAAGTACGATGATAGGCCCTGTTCCTTCATGGTGTATGCGCCGTGCAGAACCGCTGTAGTTTACGCTGCAGTTAAGGGTGATGAAGTAAAGGGTGACGAAGATTCTTCCTTAGTGCCCATAAGCCTTGTGCCCGAAGATGTCTAGGAAGAGAAGAGCGTCCTAGTTTTACCTACTGTAAGCTTCTTTGTACTATAACGTCTTATCTCCATTTCCTTTATAATTTCAGTTGCAGCGTCATAATAACTTTAAAAGGAAATAAAAGTCGCAGCACTTCTATATTTTCTCAAGCTTGATATACTTCATCACATATTCTACTTGTTTAAGATATGAGAATTCCAAAAAACACATAAATCTTTGAGGGCAAAATCTGCAGTGAAGGGTTACAGAAACAGAATTTGCTTAAAGAAAAAGTGGGGAAGAGGACGACAAAAGCCTCCCCTCTTTATACAGCGAAAATTTGAATAAAACCCCTCCCAAAACAAAACAGTAATAAAACCGCAATGGTGTGTTGTTGGTTTTACACTGTTCAATGAAAGGCTTGTGTAGAGACACCGAGCTGATGAAGAACACTGGTAGGAGAAGACGAGGAGGAAGATCTCAGCGCTTCCGCCAACGGTCCGCCCATGTGGTGGTGGTTGTGGTGGGTGCCTCCACCGCTCCACCAGCTCATGTTTTGCTGGTCCCTCCCATTGTTGTTGCTCCTAGCTTCCACTTCGTTGCCGGTGGACAGCTTCAGAGAGACGTCTGAGGAAGAGTTTCCAGGCATGGAGATGGAGAGACAAGTGGCTGAGCTCATGGGGCTTGAACTATTGCCGGCTTCAGAGCGAGGCCAGTCGTCAAAGAAGTGCCTCAGGATGTGGCCTCCGTCTGATCTGTTGTTGCCGAATCCATTATGGGACTCGTACGGCCTCTTGTTGTTGCTTTCTTGCTTCATCTCGGAACAACTGTTAACAGAATCCACATCTCATGATTTGAGTCACAGTAGTGAAAGAGAGATCAAAACCCATAAAAAGCAAAACAGAGCACAAAGCAAAATAGGGTCAACAACAAAATAATAGGAAACTTTATATCGTTTTTAGGCTTTAAAAGCACCTTTTAATGCAGGGTTTTTTTAAGAATTGATTAAGTAGTTCATAGCAATAGATTATTAATTAATGAGTCTTGTTGTATCATGTGATGTGTGTGGATAGGGGAGGTGGGTGCAGAAGAATCTAAAAGCTTTAACTTTTGTGCAAGATATGAGACATATATGGGTCAGCTTTCACTAAGGTCCTACCATTTCACTGTTATGTATCCCTCTCTCTTTCTAATATCTCTGTTTGAAAAGTCTCACACCTAAGCTTCAAATAATAAGATTCTATCAAATCCAATTGTATCATTGTCTCTCAACAGCAAAATAGGAGATATTTTTTTTTTTCACAGAGAAATCATGGCAACAAACAAACAAAAAAACCCTAAAAAATGATAAGGTTGTGTCTCTCAGTTTCCAACATTACCCCTCTCTCCACGACATCACTTCACATTCAGTGTATGAAACAATATTGAACATACAAACCCAAGTTGTGTATCCATCATTTAGTTCATAGTTAGAAATAGCAGAATCAGTTTAGCTCTTTCCTCTTAACTCTTCCAAGGTGAAAATCAATTGCAAGATAGATAAATTTTGACTCATTATATTATTCAAAACAACTGTCTCAAGTGTCAACCAAAATCTCATTGGCTTGAAAACTAAAGAAAAGAGAAAAGTCAATGTGCTTCGACCAACAAGATCAACAGACAGAAAAACAGAGTCTTTTATTACCTTTGACTAAGGTGGAGAAGTTCAGACGAAGAATTGGAAGAGCCAGAGAAGAAGAAACAAGAAGAACCGCCTTGCCCCACTTCCTCACCGCCACCAAAAGAAAAAGAAGACGACGTTGCCGTGGGTGGTGCGGCTGCGGCTGAGGCGGTAGCAGCCATGGAAGTGGTGGTGGTGGTGGCAGTGACGGTGGGAGTTTCCACAGGCTTTCTTGAACGGTTGCGGCCACGGTGCATGTGGCGCTCGCAATACTTGTGGCCGGTGAAGACGTCCCTTGAACATCTCCACTTCTTCCCGTCCGTTCTCCTGCACCTCCCTGGCTCAGGATCCATCGCCGCCCTCCCCAAATACCCTGTTTTTTTTCATTTCACAGATCAGATCAAGAACAGAGATTCTATAAACTACTTTCTAACAAAGTATATAGATCTCCAATGAGTATCAGAGTTTGGATTATATTAGATTCAAAACTAGCAAAACAAGATTATACTAAGTCGGAAGTCTGAATCTTGGGAACACAAAGTCCAACAACAACACATAACACATGCATCCCATTTCTAAAAGAGATAAACTTTCTCTTGAAACAAGGAGAAGTGAAATGAAAGAAAGCATATTCCTACAATGAAACCAAGAGAGAGAGACTCACAAGCAGGCTGATAATGAGGGAGGTGTTGAAAAGGGTGATGAAGAAAGTAGGAAGGAGATAGATGTAGAAGACTTTTCTTGATGGGTAAAAGGAGCTCTTGAGGAACAGCAGCTCCAGCCAACATGTACCTGTAGATCAGCGCCTGTAGTTCAAGCTCTTGCCACTGTGCCCAGCTAAAGAAGCTCCCCATCTCTACAAACCCAACATCAAAATCAACAACACACATATCACTAATTTGACTACATGACTGAAAAGTCCAAATCTTTCTCAAGAAATAGGCGGCGAAGAAAAAGACTCACTGGGGAACCTGGAAGAGGAATCAGGAGACAAAGAGGAGAGTTTAGAAGAGGTAGGCTCAGGGGCAAAGAGAGGCAGAGCAGAAGAAGCTGCAGTGTGGGATTGAATCTGATCGAAGACATGTTTTGGTATCTTAGCTGCAGAAGGTTGTTCTTCTGACTCTGTCTGCTGCTGCTGGTTTCTCCATTGTTTCAGCTGCAAATCCATGGCAGAGAGAGAGAGAGAGTGTGTGTTGGCTGCTTTTGGGATAAATGGATTTTTCACCTTCTTTTTTTTTTTGTTTCCAGGGTCTGATTTAATAGCTATGGCAACAATAGCAAAGTCTTGTTGGGGTTGTGAAGAGCAAAAGAAGAAAGGAACAACTTTTTGCCCTCTAAGAAAAAAAGCTTTGTTCTTTGCAGTCAGTTTCTGTATCTGAGCTTCTTCTGCAGAGAGAGAGAGAGAGAGAGAGGACAGAGGTGAGGAAAGAGGTTTTTATTAGGGCACTTGAGGCTTGAGAGAAAAAGACAGTGAGACAAGACAGATGGGGGAGGAAACTATACAGTAAAAAGACTAGAGAGACCAAATATATATAACTTTATTAATTGGGTTCACAAATCTTCCATTAATCTCAGATTATTAAACTAAGGTTTCTGTAGTATTAATATAATACAAAAGGAAGTCAGAAAACCCAGAAAGAACCACTCTGCAAGATGAAGATGGAGAGATAATAACCTGCAGTTTTTCTGTCTCGCTGCCTTGGAAATACCACTTGCATATGTATCTCTATTTAATAATTAGATATTCCGTTTTAATTAATTTATTGAGAAAACAAAAGCCTACGAAGGGGATATTTAACCACATATCTGATGTACAAGAGATTTTGTCCGAAGATTAATTAATGAGTGAGAGCGTTACGTCTAAATAATTTGCATTTGCATTTGCATTGCTGACAAAACCGAACTTACTTTAAATGTCTGTTAGTAAATTTCGTTAAATTCCTATGAAGTAATCATACGGCACTGAATGTACTTTCCACTCTATTTTTATTTTATTTTTAACACTTTAAATTTCGTACCCTCGTCCATACACATCTAGAGACCTTTATATGGTAACGTTAACTTGATGGAATCGGCTAAATTCGTGGTGGAATGAATTGAAAACATATTATTCGACATGACTAATAATAATAAAAAATGGTTGAAAAAGAAAATGAAAAAACTTGCCTGTAGAATGGACTAGTTAAAAAGAATTTTACATTATCAAAAAAAAAACTAATTTGTTTTCTAGAAACTGCGTCCATTTGAATTACTATGTAACTGGTTAGATATGTCAGTTACTCTTTTCGCAGTTACCATTTTTTTTGGCAAACTTTTTGGTTCAGTTTATTATTTCTTGGTTTGTCAACGGTTTGATTTTGTTTTCTATTCAATTTTGTATACAGTTGAGGGGTTTGATTTAGGGTTTACATTCGGTTCGAGTCCAATAAAAATTTCAGAAACTCAATGGAAGTGGAGAGAGAGAGGTAATAATGAGAAAAGAGAAGCAGGTGGGCTGTGTCAGTAAGTGTAAAAAGCATAAAAGTGAGTTAACAAGTGGGTGGTGAGGGTTTCTCTCCTTCTTCTTCTTTTGGCTATGACTCATCTTTGATTTGACTACTCATAGTACTCTCTCTCCCTTTTTATTTTCACTTTTACTCTTTCTATTTTTACCATTTTAACCTCGCAAATCCTACTCAAATTTCCCTCACACCCAAATAAATGTTAAAAGTTTTTTATAAATTCTTTCAAACCCCACGTATATAGTGTGTGGTTCATTCCATTGGGGGCTTACTTACATTTTTCACTTTTTTAGAATTTATCTTATAATGGAGCAAATAAGATTATGTAAAATATGACGACATACTAATAATGTATTTTTTTTTGTTAAAGACGTAATAATAATATAGCAGATCAATTGTTTTCCATTCTATAAAGTAAAATTGTAAGAAATACTATAAAAGTTCGGCAAGGGAAGGGTTTTTTGTTTTCTTACGTCGGCAAAAGAAGTTTATCTCGTACTTTGCTTTAAATCTATTGATTTCAGAAATCGTGATTCCATAATTTATTTTATAAGTTAAACTGAGAAACGATTGTAGTAATAGTACAACAAATATGAAACGAAATCGTAAGATATAAATTTTTGAGGAAGAAGGACAGAGAATAAGAAGGAAGAGGCAAAGGAGGGCGAGAGTTCACATGTCCAAGAGAAGACAAATACGTTTTCCTGACACAATCTGTCAGACCAAATTATTTTATTTTTTTTAAGTTTAGTAAATTTTTATGTATATTTGTTTTGTTTTGTTGTATGAGAAAGAAACGTATATTATGTCAGGAAGGGTCAGACACCGTCCACGTGGGTCCCATTTTTCCTTTGGAGAAAAAATATTTATTATTTTTTGTAGTAAAAGGCAAGTCACGCCGGCACGCGAGGCCTCACGTGATCCCACGTGCTTTATTATTCCCTCTCTCTTATGCTTCCCTATTTCTTTTCCTTTTTAGTATGGTAAAGAATTTTTTATTTTTTTCTTTCTGTCAAAGAAATTACCGAATCATCTTTTTATTTTTTTGCAAATTGTGTTTTCTCACGTGTTTGATATTTGCGAATGACGAATCTAGACGCCTGCGAAACATTTTTAGCGGTCCACTCTTACTTTCATATACAACATATATAAAATTACGTGATTGGAAATATTATTGTAGGATGTTACGCACATTTCATAAGCATATGCCTAGATTTGTAAATGTAACTTCTTATTTCGGTATTGGTTATGTAAATCTAACCACTAACCCCAAAAAAAGACCACTACCAAACTTGGACCGGAACATGCTTTTTAATAATTTGAAGAAGAAGAAAAAGAATTAAAAGGAAAAAGGAGAGAATAGATCTTTCTAGTGAGAGCACACACACACACAACACAATGACACAAGGTATCTAAGAGCATGACCGCACGTGTCAACATGCAGAGATCAAACATGCGATCTTTTTGATAGTATATGCTATTATTTATACGTTAAAAAAATTCAAAAGAATCCAATGTAAAGACTACTTTGCCTTCATGTCATGCCAATCTCTCTATATATCTATTTTAATCAGTATTACTACTAAACAAGTTGTTTTCAATAAGATCAACCATCTAGTGGGCCTACTTGAGGGTTATATAAATCGAAATTGTCATGTGAACTTATTCCAAAAGAATATTAATTTTGTTTTCTTTTGTCTACAAAGAGGTTATGCGCATTAGACTCGTATTTCCTTCAGATTAGAAATCAGAGCAGGTTAATTAGTTTACTTTCTTGCAGCCAATTTTGAACATAAAACCTCGAAGCGTATTTTGTTTGGAAAGATTCCTTATATACACCAATAAAGTTACATTATATTGAGTTAAAGAAACATTGATTCGAGCTGTAAAATTTACGAATACTGTGGTTCAAAAATGGAAATTATATTGCTTTGACGTCGAACTGTGGCATGTCGTTTAGTCGTTATATAATACGGTATGATAAAACCAGGTGGTAAAAGCTTATTTCGGTGTAAAACCATATGAGCTGGACCGGCTTTAACCGAACTTATCCTTTTGACAAAAAAAAATTTGGGTTTTGAGAGTAAAGATCGATAATGAATGAGTGTAGTTATTTTTGGGCCCACAAATAGAGATATGAGCCTTAACGTGTAAAGCCTAAGGTTTCTTAATGGGCTTACAATATAGTCCAATCTCTTACATAAACTTCACTGTTGGTGCTAATTCTTTCCACCTTTCGTATGATTTTCTTCTTTTCTGGTAAAACCTTGAGTATTTTTTTCTCATGACTAGATATATAACTTGCGAGTCTGTATTTATATTTTGATTTAACTTTTTTTAAGTACTATCTTTAAAATTATTAAAAATATAATATATTTATAGAAATTTTCATTTGTATAAGAGAATTTAATATATAATATGTAATTTATCTTATTTTTATTTATAAATTTAAAAAAACTATTAAGTAAAATAATAACAATGACACCTATCAAATTATTCAATTTTGACGTACATATATATTTGATTTAAAGAAATATAATCTTGTTAAGATTTTGGTATTAGTTTATATTTTCCATAGAATTTCTATAGTTCTTTTTTTCTTGAAGGTTCCGTTTATGTGTTCAAATATTTAGTTTTTTATTGAAAGTCTTATTGATGTTGTGTACCAGTACATATATAATTCATGATTCATGTTGATTCGCATTTAATTTTGTTAGGAAGCTGTAATGATCATGCAAAATTATTTTTCTTTCTCCATCATGTCTTCCAAGAGTTTTATGTTATATTTTTATTCAGTTTTCATTGTTTTAATTGTTAAATCGAGTTACTGTAGATTTTTTTAAATTGATAATTGATAATGATTACTTTTTTATACATGTATTGTTAATTGTTAATTTTTTTATTTAACTTTTAAAATTTTAAAATTTTAAACCATATTAACATTTTCTGATTTAATAAATATGTTGATTTGGATCAATCAAATTGAATTTACTTTTTTTGTTGGACATAATTTATTAAATTAACTTTTAATATTTTTATTATACTTAATAATTTTTGGTTTGATTTAAAAGCTAATGTGAACCAATTAAATCAAGTTTTTTCGTCATAATCATATTTAACATTTTTTATTTAATGAATATGGCAATGTGGACCAATCATATCAAGTTTTTTAATCTTGTGTGGACGCCCTCAATGCACTGTGTCATCAATTTTTATATATTATATGATGAGTTCTACAATGAAGGCTTAATTTTAAGGATAATTAGTCTAACTTGGTCCGCCACCAATCTCTAACTACATATATAATCATTCTTAATTAAAAACCCTTTTTTTAAATATCCAGATCATTATATTCATATTTGTTCATAGCTTTTTATAATTCCTTTGTTTGAATGTTTGGAAGTTTCTGTTTGGTTCCTTCCATGGCCGAATTCTTCGACCTAGTTTAATCAATCTTGTCTTTTCTTTTAAGAATATTGTGTTTACATAGTCACGAAAACAAACACTACAAAATTTTAGATTTGTTTAATTTGAATATATAAATATGCTCACTTCATCAAACGGTTATGGTTTTCTCTCCAAGTGGTGGATCATTGGGTATTACTATGTTTCTATATTTTTTTTCCTTTTATCTCGTGAAAACAGTTAATAAGCAACTCAGTGTCGGTTCAACATCCGCTTAAGCTTCAGTAATAAAATAAATATTTGATAAGTTATCATTACATTTAGAGTTAGCTATGATGTTTTTTTTTACCATAATTAACTTTGTTGTACTCATTAGAGAGTTTCCATTGCCTTCGAATCTAAAGTTTATATGCATGTGGTGATGCAACTAGGAATGATGTCACTAATTTGTTAGAGGGAGTATAACTTCTTTTTTAAGCGGTGACTTAAGGATTCGTTATAAGAAGTGTATTATGTAGATGTTATTTAATTTAACACTTGTTCATATTGTATGTACATTTTCAGATTGTCTTGATATTAGAAATCGAGGTCCTATGTTTTGAATATTTGAAACCGACAAAGCTGTTTGTTCTTAACTTGAGAAAAGACAAACAAAATCAATATATTTTGCACATACGGTTGGTTAGGATTGGGTGGCACTTTGGTATTTCGTTCGGTCATTTCATTGGCTTTCTCTATATTTGTAACCTATTTATATATATAAATCAAACAGTCTGTTTATTGACATAATACATTCCGTAGCAAAACAGCAATACTTAGACTATATGGTTTACTAACTAGTGTTCTTATTTTATGCATTTTACACGTTGTTGTTTTTGTTTTCTAGTATTCCGTATATGTATATCAGATTTTCTTCTTGGGACTTATTTTAGATAAAGAAAACAATATTTAATTACTCGTACTCTTATAGATTCAGTGAAGTTCGAAAACCTTTTACTCGGTGCAGTGATAATTTGAGTGTGTGTGATATTGCGGACATTTGGCCCATGATCAAGAACTTCGCATCTCTTATAAATATATATACTTGCATCTCCAGTACTACCACATTCTTGGTTCCACTAACGATGAATTAGAAGAGTGAAGATAGACCCAAATGCACCTAAAAACTTCTCGACACGATAATAGAACACAAGCCCCGCAAAAAAAGATTACAATATGGATTAAAAATAAGACAAATAGTGGCTATAATTCAAACGACTTATCTAGTTATAAATTTACTATCTGTATGTGACCATCTTGAATTGAGCCATAGATAATATATGGCTAAGCGTTAGTAGCTATTGGTCAAGTGTCAACACGTTTTTTTTTTCAAAAATGTTCATCATGTATTTTATTTGTTCATTCTTTGGAAATTTACAATAGTACAACTTTTTATGATTTATTTTCTAAAACTAGCATTAAATTAATATAGTCTAATTAAATAATCATCTACTTTAACAAGCAATCACCCGGACAGCAGCCTTGGCTATTCAAATACCTCCTGGAAGGCTTAGATGTTCTTAAGCCAAATCATCAAAACAAATAGAATTTCTCGCAAAGACTAAACGTGAAGATGACTCAGAGCAACTTAAAAGAGGGAGCCGGAGCCGCGGCAATGGGAGAGCCTCCTCTGACCAACGAAATGATGTTTCATAGGAGCCTGAGCACGAGCAGCTGTTTGTCAAAGGAAGACGAGGAGATGACTCGTACAGCGCTTTCAGCGTTTAAAGCTAAAGAGAGTGAGATCGAGAAGAGGAAGATGGAGGTTCGTGAACGTGTCCAGGCTCAACTGGGTCGGGTCGAAGAAGAAACCCGACGTCTCGCCACAATCCGCGAGGTTTCTTTTTAATAGTAGTTCGTTTCTTGATATAGCTAGTGTGTGACGTTATGCTGTGTCGGGTGTGTAATGAATGATGATGGTTTTTTTGGACAGGAGCTTGAATCTCTTGCAGATCCCATGAGGAAGGAAGTTTTGATGGTCCGTAAGAAGATTGATAGCGTTTACAAAGAGCTCAGACCATTAGGTTACTCTGTTCAAAAGAAGGTAAAATTTTTTATTTTATTTTTATGACTGGTTCGATTTTTTTCCGGCTTAGCAATCACCAAACTAAAAACCCTAAACCGGAGAATGTTATTTTGTTTTCGTAATGGGAATAAAACAGCAAAGGGAATACAAAGAAGCAGTTGATGCATTCAACGAGAAGAATTTGGAGAAAATTCAGCTGATCAACAAACTTATGGAGGTCAGTTTCCTACTCATATCTAAGTTTAATATGATTCATCAATTTGTATTTTTGTAGAAACTGTGTCTAATTTTATTACTGAGGAGATTGAACAGATGGCTGGAGAAAGCGAGAATCTGAGGTTGACAAAGCTCGAGGAACTGAGCAAGAGCATTTAGTCAATGTCACAGCACATGACAAAGATGAATCAATCAAAAAACTATTTGTTTTTTGGGTCTTGAAATTTTGTGTGAACTGGTGATGTATCTTCCTCTTTCTTTTGTAAGATGTGATATTTGTGGTTTTTTTGTAATTTATAGATATTGGGGTTGTATGTAAAAAGATTTTATTCTTACAAATGTCTAAATAATATCTGTTTTCATATGATTTTACTTATGTTTGATAATAACGTCTTTCACCCATGCACGCAAACAAACGAATTTGTCTTGTTTAACTTTAGTTTCCTTTTTGGGTTTAAGTTAACTTTATATTCTTTTCTAACATCGGTTTAAGTTTAACTTTTGTTTGAGATGATGATGAATTAATATATAGATACTAACATAGCCTATAAACAATTATTTCAGTTTTAATGTTTTGTGAACGATGGCAATTATATTCTCTCATGCAATTGCAGCAATTCTTATCGATAAATACATACACATAGTTCCAAAATTATTCGTTTCATCTCTCAAGCGGAAATGTTAGGCTTTCTGTGAAAATAGGCCTTCATCAATTCTAGCCACTTACGCTCGACGACAAAAATTTCTTACTAATATAGCCCAACCCAATCGATTGCTTAGCTTTATCCATGTAAAACCTCTATAAATTAATATTCGATAAATTAATAATTATTATAAATTAATAATTTTTGCTGATTCCAAATTGGATCAGTGTAAAAATTAACAAAATTTGATAAAATAATAAGATAATAATTTTTTAAAAATTTATATATTAAAATATAGTCCCAATAATTAGATAAATTAATAATTATACATTTAAGCATATATAAATAATATAATATAGTAAAATATAATTATATTATTGTTTCAAGTTTATAAAAACTGTTTGACTTATTTTCCAAATTCACTGATATGATATTTTTTGAATAAATTTTATATTATTGGAAATATGTTTTTGTTTTTTGACAAATATTTTAAATTTGAACTAAAATATCTCTCTATAAATTAATAAAATATTAATTTCTTGATAAATTTATAGAAGTTTTGTATCCAATTATATAACCTTGGTTAAGGCCCATCAAATGCTTTTCAGCTATCCATACCCACTAACTTTGATGGGCATGTGATTATGCCCAAATTACTTCCATCTTTCAATATTTTTTGTGTGTGGCAATTATATATACCAGAAGGCATAATTTCAGATCGTTTTTAATTAAAAAGTTGTATACTCTCCATCGTCCATATGAGTTACTTGCTTGGGATTATTTTGATTAATGTACGTGTAGTGTGTTGTGTGTCTCTAGTGATAATATATTTAGATTTGACAGGCAAATTGAAATAAAAGTCTTTCATGTCTGTGGACGTAATAGCTTTGGTCAAGTCAATGATTCAATGGCAGCATATAAGACTAAATTCTCAATGACTTCTAGACCCAAAAAAAACATTTATCAGAACAAAAAAAAAATCCGTTTTAAAACTTACCGTCGAATTCTTAGCATAAAAATCTTATTAAGGAACTCGATTAAATTATGTTTTTGATGAGATGGAAAGTGGTTGAAGTTATTGTATAAAGCTTAAGAGGATTTGATGAGTCTTCTTTGCTTTGTATGTACAGCTATGACGTTTATATTGTTTAATCCAAATAAAAGTGATTGGTTTAGAATTTGATTTTAAGATATTTTTGTTTCGGGTGGGTGGTATACTAAAGATTCATTTAAATATCTCTATCAAGAGAATATTTTACATTGGATTATAATATTATAAACTACATGTATGCTAAAAAAAAGTACAATTAATGTTGTACATATGATTGGTTGGATATGGTTGTCACTTGGCAGTTAGGTCATTTTCTTAGCTTTGGTTATTTAAATAAATAAATAAAAACAGTCTGTAATACCAAAATTGTATTCCAAAATATCTAAAGGTTTAAAATATATATTGTAATTCTTATTGTATGCATTGGCACATTTCTGCTTTTGCTTTACAGGCAGCCCCTCTTCTTTCCTGAAGATAGTATTTCAATTCCAATTAATAAAAAAAATACAAGTCCATATTGACAAAATAATATTTACAAACAATAAATAATCGATTCCTTAAAAAACGGTCGTACTACGAGAAAAAAAAAACACACAAATACAGAAGACAATTAATTAATATGATTACATAGAAGATTAGGTTAATGATGTAATTTAAACGCTGTACGTAATTATTTAAAATCAAACACCTTTACCAAAGACCACCGAAACCCACTAAGAATCCAGCAAACAAATCACCCAAAACACACGCCTCCGCCATTAAAACACCTCTCTGAGAAAAAAAGCTTTCAGCAAATCTCTAAACCCCCTAAAATCAGCAAAAATAGGGTTAATCGAAGAGCCCCACCGTAATTCCACTGAGGATTCGAGCTCCTGCTTTGGTTTAAGGAAGAAGAACAGCAAAAACCAGAGAGAGAAGCCGAAGATGACTCAGACCAACGCCGGAGCTGGAACCGGAGCCGCCGCAGCAACGGAGACTCCTCAGCCTCAGCCGCAGAGCAACGAGATGGTTTTGCACACTGGAAGCTTGAGTTTCAGCAGCCATATGTCGAGAGAGGACGAGGAGATGACTCGCTCTGCGCTCTCTGCGTTCAGGGCTAAAGAGGATGAGATTGAGAAGAGGAAGATGGAAGTTCGCGAACGGATCCAGGCTCAGTTGGGTCGGGTCGAGGAAGAAACCCGACGCCTCTCCACTATTCGTGAGGTTTGATTTTGCTCTCTCTCTTCTTTCAAAACTAGTGGAATTGTCTTGTAGGATATAGTAAAACCTTAGAAAAAGTTTCGATTTTACGTATCTCTTTGTCTGTTTAGAGATTATATGTTGCTTCTCTGTTTAGGGTTGTTTTCAAGATCTAGGATTTGGTCAACTGAGAAGAAATGTTTCGACTTTTTGTTCTTTTTTGGGAATGAACAGTTGATTTCATGGGATTATGTTCTGTTTTCAATTCAAAGATGGTGAGATTTTGTTTGTTTCTTGTACAGGAGCTTGAGTCTATGGCAGATCCTATGAGGAAGGAAGTCTCTGTGGTTCGTAAGAAGATTGATAGTGTGAACAAAGAACTCAAACCTTTAGGTTCCACTGTTCAAAAGAAGGTAAGAACACACTCTTCGATTCGAATATTGATTGCATCGTTTGGTTTTTAGCATCATCTAATCCATCATAACTCCAAGAAACGTTTTGAAAGTGATATACACACCAAAGTTTTGATCTTTAGGGCAAAACCAATTGAATCTCTAAAACTTTTAACAATTGAATATGTGCATTTGTGAAGAGACTGAACAAAAGATGTCTTTTTTTGGGGTGATGAAACGAAACAGGAAAGGGAATACAAAGAAGCACTTGATACATTCAACGAGAAGAACAGAGAGAAAGTGCAGCTGATCACCAAACTCATGGAGGTTAGTTCCGAGCTCTCATCTAAGTTTTGTATATTTACAGAGAGAACGGGAACAAACCGGAGCTTCTTTATTTTATTTTATTATCGCTTGTTATACATAAATGGTGTTTGGTTTTCTTCCTTGGGGAGATGGAACAGTTGGTAGGAGAAAGCGAGAAGTTGAGGATGAAGAAGCTGGAGGAGCTGAGCAAGAGCATAGAAACAGTGTGAACCTGTGTTTTGAAGAACTAATTGGGTTTAGGGATGGTCGTTGGTTCTTTGTGTGTGATGATGATGTACCTAGTTTAAGTTTTTCATTTTTGTAAGATGTGTGATGATTGTGGGTGTATTTCTTTTGTTAGGTTTGAACAAAATCTTTGGGGTTGGTTTTGTAAAATTTGTGGCTTCTCTTATTTTTGATTAACCAAATTAGGGAGAGTGGGAAAATGGGGAGATTCTTAGGATACTGAAAACTCATCACAGTGAATTTTTTTTTTTCTTCTTTCTTTTCTGTTCTTTTCTCTGTATGATGCATTTGTCTTTTTTCTTTTTTTTGTTCCAAGAATTTAATTTATTTTATTTCAAATTGTTTCCGCTTTTAAGAAAAGTCTATCGTTTGCAAAGAAAGGAAAAGTGTATCTCGCGTGCGCTTTTGAATCTAAAAGCTGTCGGAACGTAGAATACTATACTTCCCATTAACAATAACAGGAAAAATTATACTCAAATTTTCATATTTGGCTTAATTTTCCAATAAACAGTAAAGCTAACTGCATCAATTTTCCAATAAGCCAAATTGTTATGTTTGCCTTTGAATCCTCTCTCTCTTTTTAACCATGGCCCAAAATGCAAACGAGCATTTGTTAGTGAGAACTGAGATTAATCGGTTTGATAATAAGTTTTGGATTCTCTACAAGAAGAGTCTGATATGGGTCATGCATGCTGGCACTTTATTGAAAACTCGAAGTATGGTTTTGTTTTATGTCGAATTATTTAGAAAGGCACGTATAATCATTGTCGAAAGAAACCTTAATTGGCCCATAGGATTCTAAACGACTTTTCATGAGCTTATGTTTTGGTATTAGAAAGGTAATCACAAAACAAAACATGTTTGTAAGTTGTAACGGATAGTTTTGTTTTGTTTCAGCGGCATACTTTGAGAGTGGAAAGTTTACTGGAACTAGTGAATCTTCCATCTCCTATGGCCCTCGAGCCACATTGCACTCTTAGCCCACTTTGAGAGTGCGTGCATGCCTAAGACTTAAGTTAATAACCCACACAAGGGACAACTGCCTAGAAATATAGTTTTCACTCAGTTTGTAACCATTCTAGACATAAGATGGGAGATGTGATTGATAGACGCATATTAGCCCTTCACTCCAAGAGCCCTCCATTTTGAATAGGAGGAGTACATTACACAAAAAACATTTAGCAACAAATCATTACATAGTTGGATTTGGGAAATTTGTTGGGTCCATGTTAACCCTTTTCTCTCTCATTTTTGATCCTCACTTGTACAAAAGAACAATGGTTTTGAGACTCTTTCTTTTTTATAACTCAAATTATGTATTTCACCTTGAGACGATTGTTAGTATACTGGAGAAAAAATCACTATAATTTTGGACCCAGTTGTAAGACCACTTGTTTATAGGTATACCGATTTAATAATTGAAACCTTTTTTTTTGTTGCAAAAGGGTTTTTTGATAGTAGAACTTTTAATATAGCATGTACTGTTCTTTTTCAAATACTCCACTAACTACGGAGATGGTACAAGATTTTGTTGCTCTTTCTTCTTTTCGAAATCAACTGGAAAATTCTATGCCGAATTTTTGGAATACGTAGAAAACTTCATTCTATTTATATGCCACTTGTTATTCTTTTACCTTCATCAAGTTAGTATTGCGTTATTTTATAACTTCGCACACGAAAAAAGGGTAACAGAGAAAATCTCAAAATCAGCGTCAATCCAATATCATGAGACAATAATGATAAAAACAATGAAATAAGACAAGTGATTTATTCGATATACCGACCTTTTTTTTTTTTTTTTTGCTTTATTTGGAGGGCGAGGATATCCGCATACTGAATTCGCCTGGCTCTGCCTTTTAAATATATATTATTAATTTGTATTTTTTTTTTGCATTTTTTGCTTTTTTCATTTTTCATATTTTCATTTTTGTATTGTCTTGTTGTATTTGGTACATTGTGTAAACAAGACAATAAACATCAAAACAAGATTGGCGTGCAAGTTTGCGCATTTGTTTATCATTAATTTAGAACATAAAAGTGTACGCAACAGAATGTAAACTTTGATATTTGTCATGTTTTGTGATCACAAATCCCTTTCTTGTTTGTTTTCTTAACAATTTAAACAAATGATAAACCAGATTTTTCTTTAAAAGACTTATGACACTTTGCATTATTTACAGAATGGTGGAAAATTAAAATCTAGATAATATAAAAGAAAAGTGATTCAAAGGAGAAAATTTCTTGAGAAGGCATAACTTAGATTATTTTTTTGTCGCTAAACGAGTGATATTTATTACTTTTTTTACCTGTAAACGGCTTAAGTAATTTAATTTTTTTAATATTGTGTTGCCACATAATTAAAGTTCAAAGTTTTATTTGGTTCCATGTCGAATTTGTTTAGAAAGGCCACGTACACTCATGTGGAAAGGCGCCTAAACGAGTCTCATGACCTTATGCTTTGTCTGCCTCTAATTTATTGACGATTTGGCTGCTACGTTAATGGCAATTCTCTCTTCCATACAAACTTTTTCACTGGTTTCTTTTTTTCTGACACTTCAAACATTTCCACTATTATTCTAAGAACAAAATAAAAAGTTATCATGAGATGGTAGGAACTTGGAACAAAACCAGTATCGTTTCTATGTATCTTTCTTGGTAACGACAAAACTCTTACAAGTAATCTATACTCCTGTGCATGAGGTTATGAAGATGTAATAATTTGAAATGTGGACCAAAATTAAACTTCAAGACATGGATTCATATATGTTTAACAATGTGTTTGGACTATGCAATAAATAAGACTGCCTGACTCTAGTGTCTACATATATAGTTTAGGCGATAATGCGTCTAGTGAATAATTCCCAAAACAGGTTAACTAGGCGATGGTAATTAATTTTCACCGAACTAAAGTTTTTGTTATAAGTTGAAACTATACTATTTAATATCTAGATGTACGTACTCAATCCCAAATCTACTTCCAGTATTGTATTACAACATCCATTGTATCGTTTGTTAATGCAATAAGCAATACTAACATATTCGCCAATGTCTTTCTCTATGTACTAATGAGATTTTAATTAAAATATGTTTTTTAAATACCACATTAAGAATGCATGAAAAAGAGAAAACAGTGCAATGGTCCCAATCTCATGGTAAAACAAAATTTGAGGAACGAGGGATAAGGTACATTGAATTTGAATTGAGTGACGGTATTTCATTCATTTAAAACTCATCAAAATTGTTGTCACTCAATATTAATGGCTACATAAATACATTAAATTCTAGCATTTTTGAGAATATATTTAACATTTCATTTGCAATGATAAGAGCTTACACGTTGAGTGTTTGAGGTTTCTATTAGTGATTTTGTTAAGATCATTACAAACAGCCACCAATTTCAACAATCGTTAAGAAAGTAATGAAACTCTGTTCAATTCGATTTCATTCAAAAGATAACACAAGTATAAAAGAAAATTAAGTACACAATCAAGATTAGATAATGCGAGAATAACTAAAAAACATAGTGGGTTTGCAGATCAAGTACATCTACAGTGGTTATTAACAGTTACAAAAGTGGGTTTCCAAATAATTTCAAAATAAAGTTGATCTCTCGAATGGGAGCCATATATTTATTATAAATAGTATGTGTGCATTTATTTTATCCACGTTTTAATGACAACCGTTGTTTTTTGGTTAAAAATCCGTCGACCATCGTATTATGTTATCTTGTATTTTATTTTTGGTTATATTATGTTATCTTGTATAAATAAAAAGAAGAGTACGACGCCATTTGCGTGAATGTGAAGCATATTATCAAAGGTATCATGCTCACGAAATTGCGTTTGTAAATTTTGTTGTCGTATGCATATGTATGTGTTGTTAATTTCTAGTAATAAATAATTTACGTGTCTACGTATATAAGACAGTATTGATGATATCTAAAATGATGTTGACAATACATGCTCGACTTTGACATTCTCCTAGAAGAGTAATATATGTTGATAGAACCGTTGAACATATCAAAACGATCTAAGCCTTCTGCAAAGGCGGATACTATAACTTTTCATCGCTCGTGTGCTAAGGTTTGAAATTTTGAATACTAAATCCGACCTTAAATGCAAATAATATAGTCATTAGGTCAAACAATGAATCTGAAGAGTAAGCACCACACAACTCAACATACGTTCAAATTTTTTGATAGTTTTTGGTTTTTTGTTATTTAGTAAATAATAATTAGAGTTGCCATTGTATATTGAGAAATTCGATATCTAATCAATCTATTTGTTAAAATTTGCTATATTTAAGCTCTTTTTTCACAAATCACATAGTAATTTTTTTAAACCTCACTTAGCTTTGATTTCAGTTATGATAAGACATATGCAACAAATAATTCGTTTATTATCCAAACAGATTAACCTATAAACACAAATATTGTAACTTTTGCTTACAAACAACTAATTAAGTTTTACGTAAACCTGCAATGAACTACATACTTATTAAAATATCGTATTTTTATACAGATTGTGTCATGCAATATTTAAATAAGTACATACATAAACAAAATCCGTCGGTATATTCATAAATTGACATTTCATAGTACGACTGGGGAAATATATTAGTTTATTGGTCGATGCACAGTTTTGTCATAACAATAAAATTAGTTAAAAGACAAAACAGACATATACGGTGTCGTTTTACGCTCCACGCGTTCATCAAAATCTTTTTGTCTGCTGCATGCTCAGATGAAAAAAAGGGCCGTAGATTTTGGCTTATTAACAAATAATTAAGCAGAATAATCAGCTGTTTACTTTATTTAATTCAGCTTTATTACTTGTTCACCTTGTAGTATATTTCAAGTGGATTAGGTTAGTATTAAATCTTAGTAGAGATGGGGGCATCCGAGAACAAACAGTGTCCCTACAAGCTGCTCTTCCTAGCTAATTGTTTATTTTAATATTTAATACTGATTACCAAATTGCAATTAATTATTTTTCTATATAAGTGGTGATAATTAGTGGACTTCGCTTTTTATGGAAAAATCATTCATATTGAGACAACAACAACAATAAAAAACAATTAATCAACTTATTATTTAAACACACAGATTTGTCAATAATTGGAGAATAGATATGAGTGGGTGAACAGTAAAACCAATTATATAACAACATATATGATTCCACAACCTCTCTTTAAATCATTTTTTTTTCAAAATTCAAGCAAAACCTAAACAATATATAAACAGTAGTGCCACATGAAATTACAGGTCGACCATAGTGAAAATATCAACATTGTATACTACATATAAATATATAAACCTAAAGTCCACAGATGCTGAGAATTTAATTAAAGGGAGTACCCAGCTGTAAAGCCTACAACTTTTCTATCTCATTTATGGTGCGAACCTTTATTTGTCCTGCCCAATGCATTTTTTTATAGTAAGTAGTAATATTTTCCATTTGTATAATTTCAATTTTCAAGGAGAAAATAATTCGATGTGTATACGCATATTATTTTTATGTATATTAGCAAATTTTCACGTGTGGACAATATACGAGTATACAAACGCTACGTAGGACAAATTAGTCGTTGGATTAGTAGTTGCCAACAGTCGCGTTAATTAATAAATTAGTATTCTACTCTCTTTTTTTTCTTGTGTTTGTTAGGGTCAAGATAATATAGAAATTTATAAAATTAATCATGGATATATTACGACAAATTTTTTTGGATCTGTTAGTCGAAATTATATGAAGCCGACATAAAATATGTCCTAATTTTAATTGTCATCAATATCCGATCTATAAATAATATAATAGTTGTGATACAGTTGATTTGTTTTAATTTATACTATAGGTATAATTTTCTTTTCTTGATTTCAACATCGTCAAATAAGTTAACATTCCGACCACTATTATTTGAAATTTCTTTAAAAAAATAACTAACAATAGATTTCGTGCTATGCCCGGAAACGTTAAATACAAGAACATGGGGTGTTCTTTCTTATTAATTGTCAATCACTAAATCAGATATCCAGATTAGGAATTACGTCAAGTGCCCAATCAGATTGTTATCATTTAAACTATATCTTATTGCTTTCAAATGCAACTAATTAACGTCAGTCCGTTTATATATATAAAAACAGCATCTAATTATTATTATTTTTTTTCCCGAACATAGTATTTAATTAAACTGAGTTTCTTTCACTATGGAGTATGGACTTCGATATTCATACTACTAAAAATAAATCACTTAACTTTTGAAATTCTGTTTGAACTATATTCCGGTAGATTAAACCTCGTACCAAATCCAAGCTAAAGTTAGATAGTTCAATACCACAGAAACATGTTTTGGTGGCAACAACATTTGGTTCCAGTTTAGTGTTTCTTAGGGGAAAAATAAAATACAATACGTATGGATTTAAAAATCTAGTCATAAATCTAATATAGTACAGAAAGTAACTTTACAGTGAAGAAAAGTTTTGTAAATTGTGATTTTTGGTTTATCGATGCTACAACTTCAAGCCAGATAGTCATGCAAAAATAAGAGCAAACCAGCATTTCGTCTTCCTACAAGCAGGTGGACCGAACGTACATTAATCATCATGACCACAGTTATGTTCTTTCATGATGAGAAATTGATTGTGCTTACATAAATCGAGTGCATGGGCACATTACAATCAAATCAAGGTGAAAATTACAGCTCAATCGAATTTCTCTGGCTGATAGAAAAAAAATTACATAAAAATATCAGAATCCTACAATTAGTCCACAAATAGAACTCTTTAATTTTTACACGTAAACTCTAATTTTTTCAGGAGTTTTTTGAAGGCCCACTCTGATAATAATATGTTAACTAAACTTTCTTTAACAAAACAAAATTACCGTTGCAGAAAGACACATGTCAATTCTAATTCAATATATATATGAAGAAAGAATATAAAGACGAAAACTTTTATTTTTTTTATTATTTTTCAAGATGCTAGGAAATAGCCAAATCCAAGCATTGACTCTTTATCCAATGTCTTACCCTTTGTCTATAACTGTTCCTCATCCTTCACTCTCTCTCTATCTCTCTCTTCTTATAAGAAAGAGCAAAAAGCTTCCTTCGTTTTACTATTTTCATGATTCTGAATTCCACACAAAGAGAGGGAGAGAGAGAGAGAGAGAGAGAGAGAGAGAGTGCACAAACAAAAGTTTAAAGTAAATTTTGTCTCCATGGCTGCTGAGAAGAAGAAGAACAAGAAGCATTTACATGAGCTTCTTGAAGATGACCAAGAGCCTTTTCATCTCAACCATTACATCGCCGACCTTCGATCTCAGATGGGTTACTCTGATTTGCGTGTCAAGAAGCGAAAGTCTGAAAACGCAGCCGTTTTACCTCCTGGTTTCTTCTCCTGCGAGCGTTCTTGTTTCTTCGCGGCTCATAGCAAATCTCCCGACCCGAGAAAGTCTCCTCTCTTTGAGCTCCGTTCTCCGGCGAAGAAGAAGACCCGTGACGGTCGAGTTTTCCTCCATATTCCGGCGAGAACCGCCGCAATTCTACTGGAAGCGGCGGCGAGGATTCAAAAACAGCAGTCGGAGAAGGCTAATAAGATCAATAACAAAGGTCGGAACAGAGGAAACGCGTTCGGGATGTTCGGGTCCGTTTTGAAGCGGTTGACGAACCGTAAAGCGAAACCGCGTTTGGATAACACAGATGGACACGCGATTTCCTCGGAACGCGGGTCCGAACCGACGAGTAGCAGTAGCAGCCGGCGAGAGCGTTTCGTGGACATTGGCGATAAGTGCTTTTGTGAGAGCCCTTTTCATTTCGTCCTCCATACAACTCCCTTGTCTTCCGGTCACCGGACTCCTCATTTCACGTCGACGGCTACTTCTCCGGCGCGACGCAGTACAGAGGTTTGTCTTAATCTCTCAGTTAATTATCTTTATTTAACTAATTAAAGCGTAAAGTAATAGGACAATTATGAAAATAGTATAAATTTTATATCAGGTTAGCAAAGCACTCTAAATTCTTAAACCATAAACTCCAAACTTATACTCTAAAAACAATCTTAAATTCTAAAAAAAAAAATTTAATTCAAAATCCTAAATCATAACTCTTCAAATTTTAATTTTGAACGGTTTCAAAAAAATGGTTTATTTCTTTAGTTTTGAATTTTGTATCACATATTATTTCTTTAATTATTCGTAATTACTCCACCACTAATTAATATATAATAGTAATAAATTACCAGACAGTAAAAAAAGTAAAAAAAACATTCTATGGAAAATCTGAAAAAAACATCTTCTGATTAGAGCAGAGACACATGGCCGGCTGAAAATTTTCTGTTTGATATGACTGAATCATGTAAGTTTTTCAGGAGTACGGTAAATATGCTTTTACTCTAGAATGACTAATATGGCCCTATCTTCGACTGAAACACCTGTCGTAGAGCTTCGATATGGTGGAGGTCTTTATGTCATTTTACATATCCCCACTATGACGATTATTGCATCTCACTAGCTAGTTCATCAACTTCAAAGTATTCAAACCAATTTTAATTTTCTACCAAATTACCAAAAACACATTTTCTACCTTTTTAATCAGTAGGTTAAGTCTTAAATGTAAAGCAAACCTTTCGTGTTAGCTAGTCTTAGAAAAAGTGAGTACAAAGGTTTTGTTAAAAAAGTTACAATCTTTTTAGGGAAGTATTAACTTGTATGTTTACAATATTTAGAAGAAAAATTTACCCTACTTGTGGTTGTACTAGTATGAACAAAATGCCTAGTAAATAAAAAAAGAAGTAAAGAATTAATAGATAGCCTAAAACACAACCTTCACGGATGTAAATTTGAATTGCTAAAATTAGTTGTGATAAAAAGCCAGAAATAGTAAGAGACAAAAAATGGTGAAACCGAAAGTGTGTTTAATGAGTTGTAACAGGACGAAGATAGCGATGAGACAGAGAGCTTAGAGAAAGTGAGAGGACAAGAAGAAGAAGATAAAGAAGAGGAAGACAAGGAACAATGTAGCCCCGTCTCTGTACTTGATCCTCTTGAGGAAGAGGAGGACGACGAGGACCACCAACAACGAGAGCCTGGCCATCTCAATCTCCTCTCGTGCAGCTTTGAAGTTGTACAACGTGAGTAACCAATCGACCATCACATCACATGGGTTGAAAACATAACTTAAAAAAATTGGTCCCCGTGTCTTTTTAGGAGTTTTGAAATTGTTGTGTGTTTGGACTAAACAGGGGCGAAAAGACGGCTACTCAAGAAGCTTCGTAGATTCGAGAAGCTAGCGGGGCTGGATCCGGTAGATCTCGAAGGGAAGATGTCGGAAGAAGAAGAAGAAGAAGAGGAAGACGATAACATGAGGGTTTATGATTCGGATGAAGAATATGATGACGTGGATGATGCCATTTCACGAGAGAGCGGCTCCACGGAAGAGGAGAGGAGGAAGAAGAATGATGAGAGGCAGAAGAAGTGGAGGATGATGAATGCATGCAGAGTAGGGTTGGGAGCGGAGGAGGACGTGGACGAGGTGGTGCGGAAAGATATGAGAGAGGAGGCCGGAGAATGGACAAGACACGGTGGAGAAGTGGAAGAGGCCGTGTCCGATCTCGAGCTCTCTATCTTCTTCTTCTTGATTGAAGAATTTTCCCACGAACTTGTGTCTTCTTCATGAAACAAATAATGAATTTTATTAGAGACAAGAATATCAATAGATTTTTAGATATCTTTGACTTGATAAACTGAATTAACAACCTCTATAAGACAAAAAAAGAGAATCATTAATTTGAAATGTCCAAAAGCTACTATGATATTTACTAAATAAATTATTAAATTCACTAGAAAATTTAATCATTTCATTAAGGTTAATTTTGTCTTATTATCAAACTGTTAACAAATGCATTAAATTAAATTAAATTAAATTATATTAGTTTGTTAATAGAAAATACCAATTAATTATATCTACTACTAATAAAATTCAAATTAATTTAATTTCGAAAATTATTTTAAAATCTTTCATAATATCTTAACATAATTACCACATATATATAACATGAATAACTAATATAATTATATATATTATATTATAATCAATTTTTTCTCTATATTATTAAAAGAAAATCACTACTTTAAAAATATTTAAAAGGTATTACAATATTTACTAAATGTGACAATTTATAGTCAATAATGAATATATAATCAATATTTTCTGGTTATATATGGTTTGTTAATGATTTTTTTTTTTTGCGGAAAAACATGGATTTGCGGATTTGACAAACACAATTTTGTAGATTTTACAGGTTTTACAAGTTTTAGGCGATTTTATAAGTTTTAGCGGAAAATATATTTTTACGAGAAAATGCTGGTTTGACAAGAAATGTGCTTTTATAGATTTAGCAGAAACACATGATTTTAGAAATTTGGTCGTAGATCACGATTTTGCAGATTTAGAGGAATTACAGGAAAACACGGGTTTGCAGAATGCGACTAACGCAATTAGGCGGATTTATGAGTTTTACAGATTTTAACGAGAATATGTATAGGAAAATGCGGATTTATGCGTTTGGAAACTCGATTTTGCAGGTTTGGCATAAACACACGAGTTTAGAAATTTGGTCGTAAAACACGATTTTACGAATTTTACAATTTTTTAAAAAACACAGGTTTGTGGATTTGATGGAAAATGTGATTTTGCGAGGTTTTGATGGAAAAAATATAACTTTATGGATTTTATTGAAAATGCAGGTTTGCAGGTTTAATGAGAAGCGCAATTTTACAAGTTTAACAAAAATACATAATTTTAGAAATTTGGTCGTAGAATACGGTTCTATGGTATTGGGAAAAAATATAATTTTGTTTTTTTTTTTAAATGTGGTTTACAGTTTTTGCAGGAAAATATGGTTTGATGGAAAATGCTATTTTTATAATTTCTACGAAAATTCCTGATTTTGGTAAAACAACATGATTTTACAATTTTTGCAGGAAAATACGGATTTTAATTTTGATAGAAAACTCTGATTTTATGGTTTTGACAAAAAAAATTTGATTTTATGCTTTAAATTAAAGGGTGTTTTAGTTTTTTAATTTTTGAGATTCAAATGATGCATCCAAACTCAATTTTTTAAATATCTTACATATACAAATTTGAAATATTATAGATTTTGTATCCAAATATACTATCTATATACTGATTTAAAACTATTTTAAAAAATAATATTTGAACAGTTGCATCCAAATAAGTATCGGGATGCAAAAACAAACAAAATCTAAGTAAATATTGAAATCTTATTTACAAACAAATAATTTTTTTCTTGCATTATAAAATAATATTTAAAAATATTTGTTACAAAACTTAACAGAAAATTATTTAATCAAAATATATTTTTTTTTATAAAATCAGACCTAAAAACAAAAGTTTAATATAACCCAATTTTTGTTATAGTCTAAAAATATTTTATTAAAATAAACTCGCGCACACGTCTAAAATCTAGTATAACACTAATCCTGGGTTCTCTTGTCACTTTGGACGCTTCTAAAAAATGTCACACGTCACAACGTCAATCTTCTTATTAAACCATACCAATCTTCGTTCTCGTTTTTTTTTTTGCAAAAACTTAATTTTTTTTATTTGGTAGTCAATATTTTTTTTTGACATTACTGATTAATCCAGAAAAGGAAAATGTGTATTTATGGGAAACAATTGAATTCGTTTTAAATAGGCTCGTTTATCGTATTATGTAATACGAATGAGTCTTTTGTGGATCGTTTCTCGTATTATCAGTTTATCACGGTTGTACAACCGTGAATTTGTGATTTATTTATAGCTATACATAGTAAAGTTTCACGAACCATGTTGAAATTTCTGCCATAGTATGTAAAAGTCGGTGATATCACAGGAATCGAATAACAATTGGTGGACAATCTTTCGACAACTTGATCACCGGAACCATCGACTTTTGCGCGCGAGAAGAGCATCAGCGATACGATGGTAAATGTTTAATTTAACGAGGTTCATCGACCCTCCAAATGTGTTCTGCATTAAGGCCTAATGACAATGAATGATGTTCTTTTTTTGGTGCAAGACAATGAATGATGTTCTATCATACTGCTGGGCCACAAATTACACAGTAGTTCATTTAGGCCCAACTTATATGAAACAAACGCTGTGAGAGTCTAAAGAACATTAAATTATATGCACCTAAAAAAATGTAATAATGATAGTTAGAGAGGGTTGGAGGAGTTTAACGGCCTCTCTTCTAACCGCATACATGAGGAAGTCCAAACAGTTCAAAAAATAACGAAGAAGGACGATTAAAAGGATAATAACATGATCGATCCGAGAGACTTGGAGCCCCGGCCCGGATAGCCAAATATTTCTTATAAACACCTTTTTCGTACCCATTGTAAAAAGGAGAATTTTTAGAAAGATAAGTTTATCTTCTACCTTCATTTAAAACAATTATATTAAAAATTTTATCAAGATCCTTCTGAGTTGATAAAGCGCCTTATTTCTTTCTGTTCTACCGATATCTGTACTTATTCCGACTAGTTTTGTGCCTTATTGACTTGAGCTTGGAGAGTAATCGAAAAAGCAAACCCTTTCCATTTCACTGTACTATGTTTCCTTATTCTTCTCTGCAGGTTGACCTATCCACAGAGTTCGAATTTCCTTAGAAGACTTATCCGCCTATCAAAATAAACATTCTGAAATTTACTCCCAAACACACACTATTTACATCTATTTACATGTAAACCATGTATCCAGAATCGTACCTCACGTCTTATCAAAAAATCATTTGCCCCACCCCCTCCCCCCAACATATACAATTTTTTAGGACTTTTACTTGTAAAAAATTATTATATGTCAAAGTGGTTTAATTATTTGTGTTTTAGGTTTTAAGGAATCAAGTTCAACTTTTTGTTGATAAAATTTTATATGACTTATTATTATGAGTTTTACCAAAATTTAGATTTCAAATCAGAAAAATTCTAAATTTCAAATATTTTCTCTTTTGTTGATTATTAATTTTAACATTTTTCACATATTTTATTTATTGTTTATTTATCTAAATGAACAAAAATGATTCATTGCTTTTACATTTTATTATCCTAATGTCTTATATTAATAATATCTATATACTATATTTTTTATGATAATAATCATTTTATATAGTACACATTTCAATCACTACTGTTTCGATTAATTTTTTTAAAAAATTATAACATTAGCAAAATATATTATTTATATCTTATTTTTAATATCTTTTATATTATCCAATAAAAATTTATAAGTATGTTTTGTTGTTTTGTTGCATTTATCAAACATGATAAATAATTATCTTCTTCTGATGTAAATTGGTAGATTAAGATTAATGAAATTTAAAGTTTGCATTAAAATAACATAACAATCCAAAACGACGAAAACCAAATGATCCTTGTTTCATATCAACTTAATATTAATTAATATATATAGAGTTTTAAAAAGGTTTAAATGATTATGATCGCATAAATCAATTAGGTTAGTTAAAATATTAGTAGGTCAAACAATCAAATTAAAATTAGTTCAATGAGATAATTATGATTTTTTTTCTTTATTTTAGTTACTTTTTTTAGTAAACTGTATATTTTTATGATATAAGTTGAATTTAAAAATCTAGATTTTAAAAAAAAAAAACCAATTAAAAATTAGATTATATTAATTTGTTAATTTTATTAAGGATATTAAAGTAAATTCTCATAAGGAACAAAAGACAATCAACCATTATAACTTTCAACCACAATCCAACTTGCTTTTCAATTAATAATATGATTATAAACAAATGTATAATATTATGAAACCCAAAAACAAAAAATTATTTTATATTTATAATTAATTTTTTTTTTTTTAAAAAAAACAAATTATATCCGGTTTAACCTCTTTAGATACTAGGCACGACACTGCATGCATCATATGAGTTTGCCTGTTTTCCTTACGGAAATATTTTGATTTTGGGTCACCTCTGAGTCTTTTTTTTGTTAGGCATTTCTTATTTTATGGCTAATTAAATTTTCTTAAAAGCATTTGTAAGGAAATTCTATTCTGAGTTTGATAGAACCAGAACTGTTACGTGTCAAACTTCGACCGGACAAACCTTGGACCGTCCTAATTAGGACCACAAATGTTCGTTGTTTTTGACTGATTTTTTGATGCTTTAACAAAAGAAGAAGAAGAAAAAGTTGGGTTGACTTGATATTCATGTCTCACCGAACTATCATTCTATAATCTAAACGTTTTTACTAATTTGTCACTGTATTACTTCTTAGCATATTATATATTTACTTTTTTTGTTAAAGGGCTTCCATATATTATATATTATATATTTACTTGAATATAATAATGTTCATGTGAGATTCTTATTTAATTTCGAGCGCGCATATGTATAATATAAATGTACAATAATACAAAAAGTTACTATTATGTATTTCTTCAAAGAAATTTCGGAGCAACGAAAGATCAAGAATAGTCAAGTTGTGACTACTAACTAAATCTCCATTGGAAAATACAAATCAAACTTTAAAACAATTGTGGACCATCAATAGCAAAATACCAAGAAATTTCGGAGCAACGAAAGATCATGGATAGTCAAGTCGTGACTACTAATTAAATCTCCATTGGAAAATACAAATAAAACTTTAAAATAATTATGGACCATCAATAGCAAATTACCAATCACAAAGACTCTTCTAGTTACAAAACTACCGTTGTCAAAAAAAAGAGCTACAAAACTACCCCTGCGCTCACTTATTTTATAAATAAATCTTCTTCATCAGTTTCACGACATTAAAAATGGTGGACGCGACGATGCAACCGCCTTATGCCTACATACACGACGGAGGAGAAAGCCTCCTCAAGATCCGCATTGAGAGTATGCATAAGAAGCTGAAGGAGCCACCACGTTTGCTCAGCTCAGCCGCCGGAAAACCAACTTGCTCAATCTTCCGAGTACCTCAGAGCATGATCGATTGTAACGGCAGATGCTATGAGCCACGAGTGGTCTCGGTGGGACCGTACCACCGAGGCCAAACGCACCTTCGAATGATCGAAGAACACAAATGGCATTACTTAAACGCTCTTGTCACTCGAACCCACCAAACAAAATCCTTAACCCTCGAGGATTACATGAGGTGTGTGAAGAGCGTCGAGAAAGAGGCGAGAGAGTGTTACTCCGAGTCAATCCTAATGGACTCGGAAGAGTTCAATGAGATGATGGTTCTTGACGGTTGTTTCATTCTTGAGCTGTTTCGTAAAGTCAGCGGACTTGTTCCTTTCGAACTTGACGATCCAATCGTGACCATGGCTTGGGTTCTTCCTTTTTTCAACAGAGACTTCCTCCGTCTTGAGAATCAAATACCTTTCTTCGTTCTCGAATCTTTGTTCGATCTCACCAGAGGGGATAACGAAAAAGAGACCAACGCTTCTTTACCGTCTCTGGCTTTTGTGTTTTTCAACGACATGATGACCAGAACAAAGGAAGATCTCGCGAGACTCAAAGACCTAGGAGCCAAACACCTCCTCGACCTTGTCCGGTCAAGCCTGCTACCGAACAGTGAGCTTCACGCGCTCCCGAAAACAAATCCGGCGAACAAGAAGACGCCGCTCTACATCATCCAGAACATCTCAAAGCTCCGGGTATCCGGGGTCCAGATCCGGGAGCTAAAAAACGCAGAGAGCTTCCTCGTTGTGAGATTCAGACACGGCACGATCGAGATGCCGTGCATCACCGTAGACGATTTCATGAGCAGCTTCTTACAGAACTGCGTGGCTTACGAGCAGTGCCACGTGGCGTGCTCGAAGCATTTCACGACGTACGCGACGCTACTAGACTGTCTGATAACCACTCACGGAGACGTTGAGTATCTATGCGACCAGAACATCATAGAGAACTATTTCGGAACACAAGCAGAGGTTGCTGAATTCGTGAACAGTCTAGGCAAAGACGTTGTGTTCGACATAAGAGAGTGTTACCTCAGCGAGTTGTTTAACGAGGTGAATGAGTATTACACCAGTAGTTGGCGCGTAGAATGGGCTGTTTTCAAATTCTTTTATTTTAGTTCTCAAGAACCTTGGTATTTTATCTCTGCTTTTGCTGCTTTAATCCTTTTGATCTTGGCTGCTATTCAAACTATTTACACTGTTGTCCAGGCCTATCAAAGATAAATAATAAATTCAATTTTAGTTATTGGTATGATTAAAAGACTTAATTCAATGGATTAGAATTATAGTAGTATTTTAATTCAATTGATTAGAATTATAGTAGTATTTAAATTCGATTGATTAGAATTATAGTAGTATTATATTAGTGAAGTTAGTATATTGTTCCCTTATTTTACCTACAAACAATAATTTGTGTTGTGTCCAAACAATCTATAGTATTCTCGTAATGAATTTTATTGGAGACAAGAATATGAGTAGATTTTTAGATATCTTTGACTTGATAAACTGAATTAACAGACCTCTATAACATTACGTTGAATAAACAAACTAAAACCTCCATAACATTATTTCTGGATTTTGATGTCACTTTTGAACGCTTCTAAAAATCGTCACACGTCAAAACAACCATACCAACCAATCTTCGTTGAATGTTCTTTTTGGTTTTTTTTTTTTTTTTTTTTTTTTTTTGACATTACTGATTGATCTTATGAGTTTACCTATTTTCCTTACGGAAATGTTTTGATTTTGGTTCACCTCTGATTATTTTATGTGTTAGGCATTTCTTATTTTATGGCTAATTTTCTTATAGGCACAAGGAATTTTTGTTCTGAGTTTGATAGAACAAGAACTATTACGTTCTTCGATCGGACAAGCCTTGGACCGTCCTAATAAGGACCACAAATGTGTGTTTTGTTTTTGTCAGATTCTTTGATGTTTTCCTGTCGTAATTCATGTTTTGTAGATACAGAATAAATTGAGGTTGCTTAAACGAAAGAAGAAAAAGTTGGCTTAACTTGAAATTCATGTCTCACCGAACTATACAATTTGTAATTTAAACTTTTTTACTAATTTATCACTGTATTGAAGCATCTGCATACATAGCAGTTTCTTGATAAATCTTTTAAAAAATAATTTAAAATGAATATTAAGAACACCAATATCGGTGAACTTGATTAACGAAGCTCTTAAAAGTTTTTTATTATTAAAAGAAAAAAAATTTGATTTTTTTTATTTAAAAAAAAAGTAAAAGCCACGTGGCGAGTGAAAGTTGATTCTGTGGCAAAGTCTTGTGCCATGTCATTTTAATTTTTTTTTCTTTAGAACCTTCTCACCATTAATCATGCTCTAAATGCTCTAAGACCATGTGCTATGTTAAAATTCTTAATTTGAGTATCTAAACATTAAAAAAATCATTATTTTCTCTCTTATAATTTTTTAAATAAAATGAACAAATAATAGTTTCTTAAATTCTCTATATAAAACCTAATTTTCAATTTTTTTTGAATAATTTAATACTAAAATATTACTTAAAATACCTCAATTGAACATACTCTTCTATGTATAATTTTTAATAATATAATAAGATTTGAGTCTCTCAAGATTTAAAAGAACTAAATTTTACCATCTGAATTCAATCTATCTCGTTTCTTTTTAGTTTATATCTGAGTTGTTTAACAGAAGATGTTCCCACCGAGTTTAAAAGTAATTCTATTGTCCCAAAACAAAAATATACACATTGAAGGATCAAGAAATGGATCCACGTCTGAACGTTTCCTCACGAACGAATTAACTTTCATTTTGATGTAGTATATATGTTGAGTCATATGTATGATCGCAACATGGTACGTACAACAGCATTTCAACTGTATATTATTTTATTTTTTGAACAAGGTTTTTCAACTGTAATATACCAACTGATACTTTCTAGTATATTGCATATCTTCTAGATTATGAGCGTATATATCTAAATGTAAAATAGTACTAGTTTTTAAAAGAAATTGTGGAGCGGCGAAAGATCATTGGATGGACAAGTCATGACTACTAAATAAATATTCATTGGAATATACAAATCAAACTTTAAAATTATCATGGACCAACCTCGATTATGTGACGATCCATCAAGTGGACCAGGAATAGAGAAATACCAATCACAAACTCTTTTAGTTCCATAACTACCCTTCACTAACTTATTTTATAGCTAATAATTCTTCTTCATCAGTTTCACACCAAGAAAAATGGTGGACTCGGCGGAGCAACCGCCTTATACCTCTGTACACGACGGAGGAGAAAGGCTCCTCAAGATCCGCATTGAGAGGATGCATGAGAAGCTGAAGGAGCCACCGCGGTTGCTTAGCTCGGCCGCCGGAAAACCAACTTGCTCGATCTTCCGAGTACCTCAGAGCATGATCGATTGTAACGGCAGATGCTATGGGCCGCGAGTGGTTTCGGTGGGACCGTACCACCGTGGCCAAATGCACCTCCGAATGATCGAAGAACACAAATGGCATTACCTAAACGCTCTTGTTACTCGAACCCACCAAACAAAATCCTTAACCCTAGAGGATTACATGAGGAGCGTGAAGAGCGTCGAGAAAGAGGCGAGAGAGTGCTACTCCGAGTCAATCCACATGGACTCGGACGAGTTCAACGAGATGATGGTTCTTGACGGTTGTTTCATTCTTGAGCTGTTTCGTAAAGTCAGCAGACTTGTTCCTTTCGAACTTGACGATCCACTCGTGACCATGGCTTGGGTTCTTCCTTTCTTCTACAGAGATTTCCTCCGTCTTGAGAATCAAATCCCTTTCTTCGTTCTCGAATCTTTGTTCGATCTCACAAGAGGAAATAACGAAAAAGAGACCAACGCTTCTCTGCCGTCTCTGGCTTTTGCGTTTTTCAACAACACGATGCACAGAACGAAGGAAGATCTCGCGAGATTCAAAGACCTAAGAGCCAAACACCTCCTCGACCTCGTCCGGTCAAGCCTCATCCCGGAGAGCGAGATTCACGCGCCGCCGGTAACAAACCCGGCAAAGAAGAAGACGCCGCCCAACATCATCCAGAGCATCTCGAAGCTCCGGCGAGCCGGGATCAAGATCCGGGAGCTAAAAGACGCAGAGAGCTTCCTCGTTGTGAGATTCAGGCACGGCGCGATCGAGATGCCGAGCATCACCGTCGACGATTTCATGAGCAGCTTCTTACAGAACTGCGTGGCGTACGAGCAGTGCCACGTGGCGTGTTCGAAGCATTTCACGACGTACGCGACGCTGCTAGACTGTCTGATGAACACTCACAGAGACGTTGAGTATCTATGCGACCACAACATCATAGAGAACTATTTCGGAACAGAAGCAGAGGTTGCTGGATTCGTGAACAGTCTAGGCACAGACGTTGCGTTCGACATAAGAGAGTGTTACCTCAAAGAGTTGTTTGAACAAGTGAATGAGTATTACAAGAGTAACTGGCACGTGGAATGGGCTGGTTTCAAGTACACTTATTTTAGTTCTCCTTGGTCTTTTATCTCTGCTCTTGCTGCTTTTGTTCTTCTGGTCTTGTCTGTTGTTCAAACTATTTACACTGTTCTCCAGGCGTATCAAAGATAAATTTTAAACTCAATTTCATTAATTGCAACAACTCAACTCTTATCTATTGGTATGATTGAATGACGTAATGCAACTGATGAGGATAATATTATTACGTACAATAATTTGTTTGTTAGAAGTTTGTGTCCAGACGATCTAATATATTCTCGTCATAAATAAATTGTGTGGACATGGATGGTATCATATTTTCCCTAGGATTTTTTTCTTCTTAAAATACGAGATTGCTTGTAGATAACTATTAGTATTAATGACAACTATTCTAGAAATAATTATATAGAAGGTTTTAATTTTTAAACAAATACGATATTGTTTGATAGCATGACGGTAGGAAATGGTCAATTCAATAGAAATGTCAATAAACCTCAATGCTTCGTGGATCAGTATATTCCACGTGACAGCTCAGGCTTCGTTGTCAAAGTAATTAGCAAAACCCTTTGAGTGTTGAAAACTCTTTGGTCTAATGGTTAACCAAATATTTAATGTCTTGATACATAGTAAGATTTTCGTAAAATACAATTTATCGAGATCATGTGTGTTACAAGTAAATGTCTACCATGGGTGTGGTCAAATATACTATAGATAGTTAGATACATCCGTTGTAAATGCTAAATTATTACTATAATATATTAAATTTTTCTAAACACATGAAAATGTATATATTTAAATGTTTACACACTTTAAAATTGGCGAAAGAAAACCGTGCGAAGGAGGCAAAACAAAATTAACAAAACGAGTACTGAAAGACTTTCAGAATATTCAACGTCTTGAAGAAGTAACTGTGTTTGATATTTCTCTTTGCCAAGTCTCTCGAAGAAGATTTGAAGAAGCTTTAAAAAAAACAAAGGTCTCTCCAAGAAGACTCGGTCGTCGATTTCTTCTGTTTTACTTCTTCTTCGAACCATGTCTTCATCCCCTCACTTCATATATAAATACCTAACTAATCACATAATCGAATATACATTTACACAACATATTATATTGATCAATAACCAAAGAAAAAAAACCGATCACTTCATTTCTCTTCTTATATCGCTTTCAAGATCGTACATTTCGTGAATCATTCTCGGTACACGAACACAGCTATGAGCGAGAAAACGTCGTTCTCTAAATCTTGCAGACGAGAAAACATTCAAATGCTAAAAGAGCTTCAAGGGATGTCTGGAGATCAGGAGTGTTCTAAGCTTGACAGGCGCACTAATACTTACACGACACGTTCCCGAGGGGGCAGTCTAGTCGAGGATTTCAAGGAGAAGCTTGAGAGGTTCAAAATACGTACAGTTAACATCTTGGTGGGAGGAGATGATGACGAACAGAAGAAATAAAATGTTTAGAAATTTATTCATTCATTTTTCTAACTAATTCATTTTTTTGTTCGAATTTTTTAAAATGTTTTTTTTTAAATATCTAACTAATTCATTTCTCTTTTTTGGGTCACACAAATCTTGTGGGCTACATGGGTGGTTTTAATTTCAAAAAGCCCATATAACCTTTCGTATGTGTATGAATCAATTTCGTCAATACAAAGTGTTCTAAGTGTTGTTACCCTTATACAAAGCTGGTTTTCTTTGTTTTCGAACTCTTATATGTACAAATTCGAATGGGTTGCGTAGTTGACAAACATCTCCAGTGTTCGAAAACAAGTTCAAAACTTCAAGAATTCAATTCTATATATCATCAATATGCATAAATATTAGTATCAATTTCTATTGTTTTAATATATTTCAATTCTTTATTTTTTTGTAAATTGTAAGTCAAGCAAAAGTTATTTTCGTTTCAGTACATCGTTTGTATATACAACTTAATATTTGGTATATACAACTTAAATTATACTATCCCAATCAATGTTGGATAGTCTATCTGATCAAAATAAAGTAAAAAGACTTTAATTTTCTAAGTAGTCAAATTAAAAAGTAAAATTACAAGATAAAAAAAATCAGCAAGCTTATGATTCGATTAAGACTCGTATGTAACATAACCAACTTGTGTGTAATCCTCACCAAACCCATTTACCTATTTTTCTTCATTTTTCCAAGCATTGTTTGAAAATATTTCTTCAATCCTTTGGCTAAAGAATTTCAAGAAGAACCTACTAACGAAACCGTATAATAACTTAATCGAATCCTGGATCTAAAAACCTAGGTTTTTAACAACCTAGTTACTCCTTAGAATTACTTACATTTTTCTTGGAATTTCTTATTTTTTTTTATAATAAAATTTATTTCTATCCTTACAAGCGCATGCTGTAAGTTACTTCTTAGAACTTACGTTTTTTTTTCATCAACCTTTCTATGCTGAAATTAAACTATATCGAAATCTAAGCTAACATATTCGAGATATAATGTGGTGTCTAAATATATGTTACAACTAGGATTATTCCATGGCATCGACCACTATGTGATTTAATTTTTCGTGTAAAAAAACCCTGGAATTGTGTAAAACTAGTTACATACTTAGTGTCAAATTAGCGTTAGAGTATATGATTTGTAGTCTATATCAAACAATATTAAAGGCCAGGACTTACAAAAATTTGTCCATCAGTAAAATAAACAAATGAGTGTCAGTCATGGCATTGACTTTGATTACATTTGCAATAATAGGAGACTAGATTATAATGTAAGACAATATTTTAAAGAAACCAAAACTTTAATACAGTTTCGACCTTATGTTACGGTCTTAACGGAGCCTAACAATGCATGCAATGCATCAATAGACACCATATCTTTATTTCATCCGTACATGCATATATAAAAAAAAAACACACAAAATCACATATTTATATATATGGTTAACTTGTTATATCAAGGAAAATTCCACAAGTAGTCGTCTGCTCCGGTGTAACCACCGGCGTCGGAATAGTCAGCATCAAAGGTTGGTTGATGAGGCGGGCTAAGAAGCATTCCTTCAGCCATATTCATGAGCACATTAGGCATGTCGAATATCAAATCCTCATCCATGAATCCATTCATATTTGTATTCTCATAACTACCATTCATCATCATCATGTTACTGTGAGCCGCACCGCTTGTTTCGCTGCTGTTATTATTAGCCATTACAATCGCATCCCTAGCAGCGCCGAAAGCAGCAGCGGCTGAAGCGGCTGCGGCTTGGATGTCTCCTGGAGACATGGAGGCTGGGATAGGCAAAGAGGAAACTGAGTTTGGGAAGTTGAGCTCAGTTTGACTTCCCTTGAGAGCTAGAGCTGCCACGTCGTAGGCTATTGCCGCCATTTCGGGTGTCGGGAATGTTCCTAACCAGATACGGTTAGGTTTTCTCGGCTCACGGATCTCAGAAACCCATTTGCTTGAGTTCCTTCGTTGTCTCACTCCCCTGTACAAAGGGTGGCGACCGCCATTGTCTGTCGAGGTTCCAGGCATGTTGATATTTGATAATAAGAATTAGGGTTTTGAGTAGAGAGGAGTGGTGAGTTTGATGATGAAGGAGAGGAGGAGATCGTAGCCATTTTATATGGGGGGAGTTAAGTTAGTTGAAGAGTGAAGTAGTGAAGAGTGAAGAGAATAGAGTGAAGAAAGTGCAAACCAGTTATGGATGAAGAGATTAGGGTTTGTGAGGGATTGATCACAGCTCGGAGATGATGAAGGTAAAGCTGTAAAGAAAGCTTTTTAATTGCTCCTCTGGTTGGAAATCGCGTTTTTTTGGGTGGTGGCCAAATAAGTCGTACATGTATATATGTTTCTATCTAAATTGGTCGTTTTCACCATCACAGGTTCATGACTATACATGTTTTCTCATGATCTTGACATCACTTACTACTTATTTTTAGTTGCGATAAACCGATCGGTGAATACTGCTTCAATGTGGCAGCTTGGTTACAAAAATATGTCATATAGTTTTATGTAATTCGAGACGTACATATAGTTTTATAGTTTTATGTTAATTCTACTGAACAAAGTCATGTAGTTTACAAACCAGCGGTGAAGCTGAGTAAATAATGTTTTTGGGGTGAAGCTGAGTAAATAATGTTTTTGGACACGTACTTTTTGGTTAAAAGAAAATTTAGTGTGATTTACATGCGGTGAAACTATGTTGCATATTCATTTATTTCGCTATATGTATACTAACTCCATGTCTATTTTATAATTACGACTTCTTCAATTAAATTCATAATATATTTTTAATGTGTATATATGTATTTCCTATATATTGCTTACTTTGAGGTTAATGGTATTTCATAATAGAAATGAATATAGAGTTGACTTGGTGAGGGATATTTATATAATCATCATCCAAAAGTCTAGCTCTTAGAAATGCTAAGAGCTACTTAGTGTGTGATCTCTCTGTTTAGGTCAATTGCTTTGTGAGGCTTTGTCACTCCACTAAACATTAATATATAGTAATTGATTTTTCTAGATTTTTCCCAATGAAACTTGTCAAATCGATTAAGGTAAGAGATCCATTTCAGCTATCGATATACCGTGGAATATTTGTCCGCATCAACCATACTGTATAATTATATCTTCACCTAACTAAATCAAGATAATTCTACCATGTACTCTATTGGTGTGTGCCGGTTGCCACTTGATCTACAAGGCTGTCATATATCTATGCGAAACTTTATGACATCTGATCAAACTTTTTCTAATGATGTAAATTAAGTTATTTAACAACAAGCCAGGCCTGAATCAACTATTGGCCCGAGTAAGTTTTTGTGTATTTTGATAATAAAATTTACACATATATGTCAATCAAGCTGCCTAACTCGAAACAGTCCAGTCTGATTCATATATATTAGTTGTAATCCTAGGAGCTATGAACCTAAATGGTATAGGCTCAAATGTTCATTTAAAGTATCTCTTTTTTTATGAAAATTATAGAGAAAATAACTAAAACTAATGATAAAAAATGTCTATCGTTTCAGGCATCTCCAGTGTACACTCTCAAAAGTCGAGTGTATTACTAAAGCAGTCGGTAAATCCGTTCTACAGAAGAAAAAAAAAAATAGTGGCAATGTCAAATGATCCCAACCTACAAGTTTGCAATTAGCTCAATATTCCACCTGTTACAACATATAATACACCAAAACAACTATACAATTTGTTTGTGAAATTTCTAGATCATTATAATATTCTATTTTAAATAATAATTTTGTTTTTTGCTAAACTCAGTTTTGACAATAATTATTGTTAGATTCAGAAATTCTTAAACAAAAATTCTTAAACAAAAGAAAATTTCACGTCAACCTAGCAAGAACTTAGTTTTACTTATCTAATAACTTTTTAGTTTTACTTATCTAATAACGTTGAAGTTATAAAATAAATCAAAAATAATTTAAAAACTCAACAAGTTTAACTGTGGATTCTGCTGACAAAATAAATTCTTTCAGATCCAAACCAAAGGTTTCCTTAATGATCAGCTTGAAAGAAGGCTTTACTTTTTCATAAACCGTCTCTGCAATGGAACAAACTCTATCTCACTTAGTAATAAAAGTTTTGAGATTATCGCAATCAGATTTTGTAATAAACTCTATCTCGCTAAGTTGCCTAGCCTTCTTGTTTATCTCTTTATTCGTTGTAATACCAAGCTTTTTCACTTTCAAAATAGAGTTCTCACAAGCTCTTCCTTGAGATAATGCCTAAAAAATAAGCAAATAGGTAGAGATCTCAGTCGGATGTTTGGAAAAAAATTGTTATTACGTTAGTTTTCGTATAGCTTTTGAACGGTCATTGAACAAAAACCATTGTCCAATGCACTAAGCATAGGCAAACCAAACGCAAGACATACTGATTTTTTACTTTTCATTGGGAACCAAACGCAAACCATCTTATTAATTTTCAGTTTTTTTTTTAAACAAAAAAAAATCTATTAATAATTAGTAAAAAATGTGTCAAGCAAACATGGCCCGTGTACTTGTTGCAAAAATTTACCGAGTTGTGAGCCCGCCAAATTTCGTTAATCTTTTCAACTTATTGGGTACGGCCGCTTAGATATGATTATTTGCCACTAGACATTAGAAAACACATACTCCCTCTATTTCACCAAAAGTGTCATTAAAAATAAAAAAAAAACTTATAATTATCTGTTATATCTTTTATTTATACACTAAATCATTTTTTCTTTATAATTAGTAAACTAAAATAGTAAAAATAAAACTGTATAATTAGTAAACTAAAATAATAAAAATAAAACTGACAATTAATTTAAAATTTTGCATTGAAAACTTAAAATTACACTTATTATGTAACAAAAAAAGAATGATAAAATGATATTTTTTATAAAACAGAGAGAGTAATAAACTGTAGAACTGCTTTCAAAATCCCAACATAATATTTCATTATACAAAAAAAGGTTTCACAAGAACAGACACCTCAGAAAACAAGAACCAATAAGATAATTCCCGATTATTATTAAGATATAGAACACAAACACAAACGATTAATTTATGAAAACTACGAATCCTTTTAGCCACATTCCTCAGTACTTGTAATCCTTAACATGAAGGCTCTCTGCTGCACCTTCACCGAGCTGAGCATCACCTTTGTAGGCACCAAGTGTAGCCTCAGAGTTAGCCTTGCACCTAACCAAGAACGCATCTTGCGCCTTCTTCACATTCTCCTCTTTCCCTCCCCACGTCTTGAGCGTGCTCTGCTGCAACGCCCTTCCGAACGAAAACGACAGCGACCAAGGCTTCTTCGTCTTCAGCTGGTTCATCGCGTTCAGGTTTCTCGTCGCCTCTTCCTCGCTCTGTCCTCCCGACAAGAACACTATGGCCGGAACAGCCGCTGGCACGGTTCTCTGAAGGGCACGGACGGTGTGCTCTGCGATCACCTCTGGTGCAACCTTGGCGCTCTCTGATCCCGGAGTCACCATGTTTGGTTTCAAGAGCGTTCCTTCGAGGAGGACATGGTGGTCGCTCAGGGCCTTGTAGCAAGCCGCGAGGACACGCTCTGTCACCGCCGCACACTTGTGGATGTCGTGAGACCCGTCGACGAGGATCTCAGGCTCCACGATCGGCACAAGACCGTTCTCTTGGCAAATGACGGCGTACCTAGCCAATCCATAAGCGTTCTCGTGGATAGCTAGCTCCGATGGCTCGTTCTGACCAATCTTAAGCACCGCACGCCACTTGGCGAAACGAGCACCGGCCTCGTAGTACTTCTTGCAACGCTCACCAAGACCATCAAGACCCTGCGTGGTCGTCTCACCGTTGGTTCCGGCGAGCTCAACGGTACCCTTGTCAACCTTAATACCGGGCAAAACTCCTCCTTCCTTCAGTATATCCACAAAAGGTGTCCCTGTGCACACACACACACAATGAAAGATCCAAAATCAGAGACGAACCCACAAAGAAACGATACACAGTGAGAGAGAGAGAGAGAGAGAGAGAACACAGAGTTTCAAGTTACCATTAGAGCTCTTCTGGTAGAGAGTTTCTTCAAAGAGGATGACACCACTGAGGCAAGGAAGAGCGCCTGGAGTAGTGAAGAGAAGCTCACGGAGAGCTCTCCTGTTCGACTCAACGTTCTCGACGTTGATGCTCGAGAGACGCTTCCCAATGGTACCCGTTGATTCATCTGCCGCGAGGATACCTTTTCCAGGTGTGCCGATGTAGGCAGCGTTTGCGATCAGCTCATCTGCGAGGTTCAAAATTTGGACGCATAAACACAGATCGCACAAATAACAAGAACGATTGGCGATTACGAACCCAATCAACCAGATTTTGCAGAAAAATTATTGGATCAAAAACTTGTGAGTGATGAATAAACCTCAAAACGTTAAACCCTAACTCCTAAAACCCGAATCTCAAACTTTGTAAATACTGATCTATCGATTTGATTAGCGTAAACAGATACTCTACAACCTCTCGTATGAATAGAGTGGACTAGATCCGTACCACTTCGAACAAAAACGATGAAGTTACTTCAAATCAGGCGGAAAATAACGAAATGGAAACGAATCGTGCACAAAATTGATAAACAGATCACAGCGAGAGAGAGATGAGGTCTTACCGGCGAATTTGCTGGTGAAGGAAGACATGATTTGCAGAATTCGATGGAGAAAATTGGATAAAGAGAAAGAGATGGGTGAAGAGGAAAGTGGGTTTTTGTTTTTATAGTGTGGGGAGTGATGGGAAGGTTCGAGAATGATTTTTACTTGAGGAGGTGAAGATTTTTTGGGCTCTTCTCCAAGTAAAATGCTTTCAGCCGTTGGATTGTTTCGATGGCAGTTTTACCGTGGGAAGTTACTGTTTTAACCCTTTGTAATGTCCTTCAGAGGTAACTTCTACTAGATTCTCTTCTATTTTTAGAGGGTGACTTCTCGGCCCATTGGATCCCGATAACTGAGGCAATACCATTTTATTCAAAAAAAACAACCGAAACCGGAAAACCGTGTGTCGTGTCTGAAGGATAAGACTAAAATGTAATTCTAGAAAAGTTGATTATTAAGAGACACAAAAATAGATCTTTGTGTTATTATATTTATTGAATATTTTCATTACATATATGATATTTTATGATGTTTAAAATCTTTTTTTCTATGATTTTATCAATTTTTTCCAAGTTTTTATGCAAGATTTTTTAAATCTATTTGACTATCAGTTGAATTATTGTTGGTAGATACTAAGTATTTTACCTGCGCTATGCTGTGTGATTTTTTTCTAAATTTTGTATATATTTTTAATATAATAAATTATTTTTATAATGTAAATGAGTATTATATTTTTTTAGCTTAAGTTATGTATTTATATGTTTTAAATCTGAATAAACATTATATATATATATATATATATATATTTTTCAAAATTATAATTTGCTATTAAATTTAGTTAGCTAACTAATTATAAATGTATATATAGAAATAAAATATATAAGAATAAAGTAATATATTTTTAGTATCTTCATATTAATGGCAAATGTAATCTATTTTCTCCAATAAATTGCTACATGATCCTCCTTTGTAATTATATAAAGCAAAATATCATTTAAAAAAAAGATTTATTAATTAATATAATTATTTTAAATTATAAAATTTATTTATTTATCAAATATTTTATTATAAACATATGTTTCTAAAACTACTAAACTGTAATCAATTTTCTTCATATCAAAACTATTGTTATTGCTTTAGAATTAAATATAAAATTATGTTTGAACTCTTAAAATATCATTTTAGTTAAGGTTAAATAATTTAATTTTGGTTACTGTAAACATACTTTAACTTGAAAATTTAGCACAGAGAAATTTCATCTTCTTACAAAAATCGAAAAATCGTATTTCCCGTCAAAACAAAAAAAATCTTTATTTTCCCATTAAACTGAGAAATCGGCTATTCCCGCCAAAACCAAAAAATTTATTTTCTCGTCAAACCTAAAATTTTATTTTTCCGCGAGAACCTGTGTTTTTTCACCAAAGCCGAGAAATTACGTTTCTTTACAAAACCCAAAAAATTTCATCTTCCTGTACAAACAAAAAAAAAATTTGTATTTTCCCGCCAAAATCGAAAAATTTATTTTTCTTGCGAAAACTGAGAAATTGTCTATTCCTACCAAAAAAAAAAAATCATTTTTTCGTCAAGCCCAAAATCACACTTTCCTACAAAAACAAATAAACTACAATTTCCCGCGAAAACCAAAAATTGCATTATCTCCCGTAAAATTGTGTTTTTCCGCGAAAACTAAGAAATTGTTATGTTTTATCGGTTCAAATTTTTGCTGATGTGTGAGCTTCTTATAACATAAGGCTTTTTGCGTTGTTGTCATGGAAACATAGTTGATGCTGAGTCTACACTTTTTCAATAATATAAGTCTATGTCAAACAAACAAATAGCTAGATTTTTTTTATTATTTATTTGTTGTTATTTATTATTTGGATTTGGTTTTAGCAAAAAAAAAGAAAACAATGATTTTTTATTTATTATTATTTGAGTTTGGATTTGGCAAAAAATAAAATAATAATTTTTTATTTGCTGTTATTAATTATTTGGGCTTGGATTTGGTAAAAAATAAAACAAAAATTAATAGAAAAAATATTTGGGTTTTTAGTGGGTTTAAGTTTAAAAATTAAAATAAGTAGATGAGATGTATTAATAAAATATTTTGATTGGTGATTATTTTTGCTGATTTGTCATGTTTATAAAGCTTAAAAAAGTTGAAGTGTCAAATCATGGAGAGACTTTAGTGTTATTATTGTGTTGATTTAATGATATTTTTATGTAAAAAAGACAGAAAAATTATAACTGTCTCTTTAATTAACCTACCTAATAATTGTAAACCAGTAAATTACATTTTTTTAAAAAATGGTTTTTTATGATTTTAACTTTAAAATGAAAAATTTCTAGAAAGTAGTGAAGACTCCATCCAAAATTATGACTTTGATGAGATCTTGGAACAGAAATTGTGTGAGGCTGTGAGCATTTAATTTAGAGGAAAACTGCGACTCTTCATAATTTCAACTTCTAGTGTTTTTCCTGGACTCTTTCTTGTTTATTTATTTATTTATTTAAAACTTAACCTGTTGTTTAAATGCTCTTTCCATTTTTTGTTTCTGGAAATATCGAAAAGCCACTATCATCATCATTTTCATCAACAAATTTGTTTATCATATCTTCATTATTATGAGAATTTAACATTTCTATATTACAAAAAAATAGAATAACTGATGAAAATTATGATAAGTAACCATTATTTACTGAGATATTATTATATTGCTTGGGATATTTGTTAAAATGGCCTTCGGGAATGGAAGAAACTACTGTAAGTGTAATATTTTAATGGGAAACCATGCCGATATATATTTCCTATATATCAACATCAAAAGTGTATAAAGGATATTAGAGGGGCAATCATATAGTGCAATTATGCTTACATTTTTCAAAAATAGAACTTTGATGTACAATAATGTAGTGAAGAAAGCAAATATGAAATAACGTATGAAAAATATTATGCTATATAATAAGGTATACAAAAAAAAAAATCTTACGCATAAATCGTCTTGCACGGTTGAAAATGTACATTCAGTTTTGATGACGTGATAGTGAAGGCAAGTCTCGACGATATCAAATCCAGCCATAGATTGTGACAATTCTATAAGTAGATTGGTCTTTTTCTCCTTTTTTAATAAAGAAAAGAAAAGAGGATACAATATTTGCATGTATCCCGTGAAAAGAAATGAAAGATTCATGAGAACCTCGAGTCCTCGTGAAACAGCCAAATAAAAAAGAAGGAAAAGTGACAAACAAAAATGTAATAGCTGGCTTTCGACTTGGATCTTTAAATCTCTATCTAAAAAAGGTTGGACAAGCGAGACATGAAATGGTTGTGCATGACGAAACGTGGGTGTCTTTACTCTCAAGATTCTCTAATGTTCAAGTCAAACCAAAACCACACGACTGGTAAAAAATAGTCCCGTAAGGAAACATAAAAGATGTGTACTGTAGTTGGTTTTGAACCGGGCCTAGACATGATCGATGCGGTTCAATCTGATTTTCAAAATTTTGGAATTATAATTTCGTCGAAGCTAAAAAAAAAGATATGATATGGCGCGATTGATGATAAAGACTAAGACCAAAATCAATGGCCCAACATAAGAGCATTTGAAGAATAATGGGTCTACTTTATTGGCGGCCATCACTGCATATATCGACATGTGTAGACAGAAGATAAGTGTGTTGTCGGAGATGAGAGTTTTGCAGCGGCTCGACGGTGCCAGAATTACAAGACCAAACAATTACATCTATTGTAATATTTACTAATCAGTCATGCCTAATGTTTTTGAATGATGATGATAAAAAAAAAAATATTTATCGTCGAGCAAGAAAGGGATTTGGCATCGATTTTTTTTACCCGGTAATATTTTTTTTAGATTTGTCTCTAATTGACGCACATGAAAAATACGAAATCATGCCAAACTTGCTTTTAACCTAAACAAGAACAATCTACTTCAAATATTAGAATGAAAGTTTCAACAAAAACCAAAAATTAGATAACGAAGAGTTATGTTAAAGTTGCACCATCGATGAAAGCAAAAAAAATTTAAAAGCATCAGTAAAAAAATGTTTTCTTACTTTTTAGAGATACAAATGATAAGAGAAAACGAATGTTTGGCTTCTCTTAGTCCAATCTTCTTATTCTCTTCTTCGTCTTCCTCCAGCCACAATCTGCTGTCTAATCCACTCCTTCTCCTGAACATAAACACAGCACTCGGAGGAGAAGACGATGAGGATGAAGACGACGAGGACGACGTCGTTTTGGACGAAGAAGTTGAAGACGACGACGCCGTTTCTCTGAAGAACCAGTCGTGCAAGTCCCACATCATGTCGATGAGCATTCCGTCGAAGAACATCGTCTGGTTCCCTCTGAAATTCCACTTGAGCTTCTTCACCTGAAACACTTTCCTTTTATCCACCCAAACCGACATCGTTTCAGGGCTTTTCAGTTTCCACAAATACCCTTCCTCTCCACCACCACCACTACTGCCTCCTCCACCTCCTCCTCCGCCGCATTGGATCTGAATCTCGTGTTTAGTTCCGGCGTCGGAGAATTGAGCCTTTGTCGAGAGCCAGCAAGTCCCGGAGAATCTCTCTGTTCTTGAGACCCGCCACGACGGCTTGTCTCGCCGGAGACTCTCGTGGTCAAAGTCGCCGATTCGGAGGGTAATCTCGGAGTTAACCACGACGGCGACGGAGAATCCTCTTGTTGGTTCAGGTCCGCCGTTCTCGTACTCTGCTTCCGATAGATCCCAGAGGATCTCGGCGTTGAGTGAACCGGAGGAAGAAGTCAACTTTCTTGATCCTTTAGGTTTCCTGAGGGAAACAGAGTATGATTTCGGCGGCGTTGAGATCACGACGGTGAGATTATCCGACCAGGTGAGAGAAACAGAGACGGGTTTGTCGGAGGAAGGGAGATTGGATTTATAAGTGGTGGTTACTGTGTCGGGGATCGAAGGAGGTAATGTCGGAGAGATGTATGAATGATTTGAAGGACCTGAACAGTACGCATCTGTTACTTTAATGGCGTGTTCGCTGTAACAAGCCGCGAGGCCTCTCATGGTTCACGACCTTTCCAAGAAAATTGATTCCTTTTTTTTCCCGGGGAAAAAAAAAACAGGAGATTAAGAGAAAGGAGGACGAAAATGAAAACAATTTCAAAGAAAAAGCTTTGATTTTTAAGGGTAAATCAAAGTACCGATACTTTCTAACCGAACATAATGTTTTTTTCCCACGGGAAAGAACAGAAAAAAGAAAAACAGAGCGAATGTGAGAAAGTTAGAAAGAAACTTTAGAGAAAATGTGAAATAACAAAATTTAGAAGAAGAAGAAGAAGAAGAAGAAAAAGCTTTATTTCGAGGGAAATTTGTAAAAGAGTTACAAAATTTTGTTGTGGATGCTATACGTGTGAATAAAGTGAGATACTCAAAGGAAGAAACAACTTTTTTTTTTCCTTTGGGAGGGAGACAAAGTTTTTAGAAAAGAATAAAGTATTTGGTGGGGAAAAGGAGCAATGGAGTTCACAGATTCTGTATTGGGAGATTAGAAACGACGTGGAAGAACACAGACATGAAGTCAGAGTGAAGGAAAATTCAGAAAGATAAGAAACCTGAGGAAATAATTTTAGGGTTTAAAGATTCTTGGTACGGAAGCTGCAGAGAAGATATATGGAGAAGAAAGAGAGGAATTCTTCTTGTTGTGTAGGATATGTATGTGTTTCATTCGGCCATGTGAAGATGTCTCTCTTCTGACTTTTTGATCTTTCGTCCGGTCTGTAAACATATATTTTTTATTTATGCTCCAGTTGAAATGAAAACTAAAAGAAATCGATCATTAAATGTAAGTTAGATATGGAAGGGTAAGCAAACGACAAGAGCTCGAGAGATATAAATTTTAGATATTTTGTAACATGTTCCTTGCATTATTAACATGTAGTAATAGTTTATAGAATGATATTTTGAGAGAGAGAGAGAGAGTTACAGACAATGCTTGATTCTCTTCCATGATTTTTTTCTATTATACCAAAAGAGTTATTACATTTTTTTTTTTTTTTCATAAAACTTTTTTACCAATGGATGCATATCTAATTAGGAAATATTCAAAAAATGGCTAATCGTTTGAAAGTTTGACACGAGAAAATAACTAATCACAGCTCTTTGATGGAAAAAGGATCCATTTTAATTTATTACACTCCTAATTCACTTTCCTTGATGAATTGACAGCTATGAAGAGTCGTATCGAGTCGTTGATCCCATTGCTTGGATTGACAGGCCTTATTGAGTTTTTGGCTTGTGCTGTAAGATATTACACAATGTTAGAGGAAGCTATATCAAAGCTCGGCTTTGAAGTAAGAAAGGTAAGAATGCAGTGGCCAATTTGCTACTAAATGAGATGGATAATATGCCTTATGACCCATTATCACTGATCAACATTGTGATGATTGGTGGTGATCATACTTATGCCTCTATTTTAAACGCAAGAAGATTGTCAGACACAATATCATTCAGGCTTATACGAAGGATAATGTAGCAGAAATAATGAAACATATTGGCTCAGCATTCTTGTATTGTACGGAGATGATTTTATTTAGTTTCTCATTGAAAATATGTTTATGACCTGTTTGTTGTTTGTTCAAAAGCAGTCAACAACTACAAAGCAGCTAATAACCACAAAGATATGCATAACAGGACTTCCTATGGATGTTAGTTTCTTCAATATAAATATACCATGATACGCATAATAAGACTTCTGATGTTAATTTCTTCCCATATGAATTCCCATTAATCAAAAAATGGCTAATGAATATTTTCACAGCTCCCAAAATGGTCATATAATTAAAATATTTTTGTCTATTTCTATACTTATTTTAATCCATATTGTAAAAAACAAATTCTTTTGGGTCGCAATAGAACGTCGTTATGAGAATACTCAAGGAACAGATCATTAATAGCTATTTCAATACATATTTTTATATAACTTAATTTATAGTTGCCGGCAAAAACAATAATTAATTTATAGCTTGTTGCAAGAAAACAAAACTAAATAATAGTTTGACCTGGACTTGCACAGCATAGGTTGTAATAAGATGTGTGTGTTTGGTCATTTATACATTCGTTATATATATGAGAAATTACAAAATAGTATTGCAGTGACGTCTTGGAAAGTATGAAAATTATGCAAAAGTACAAAATAGAAACACGAGGGAGGGAAAGACTTGAGTCATTTGGACATTGATTGATAAAATCTTTACACTTATCGAATTTATGAAGAAATCTGTAATAGTAACGTCTAATTATTATGGCCTTAAACATAAAGAGAAACTAGATTGGGCTAGTCATAAAATTATTTTAAAATAAGCGACTAGAAAGAAGTGTCTATGTGGCAAGATAAGAAATGAAACATGAGAAATGAACAAGAAACAAATCACATCTTGGACTTGCATTTCTCAAAGTATTGGTAATATTTGAGAAATGGCAACATGAGTCATCAAAGACGTCATGAAAACGAATCGAGTCTATTTAAAAAGAATAAACAGTTGGATAAGCTCATTAAAGCTTACTAGTCAATTAATCATCTTACCTACACAACTACAATAATTAAATCTCCTTTTCCACAACTGATAGTTAATTAGTTATTCAAAAACAGGATGCTTAATGGCTCTTGAGATACACACATTTTGGAAGAGTCTCTCTACACTTCGTGGATAGTGCGGTAACTTATCACACACGAAAAAGGCAGATTTGTAAATGCGCCAAGGTTCTAATAAACTCTAATGGATTGTTAGATATGTGAATACTCTATAATTTAACAAATATTGACCACTTCCGTTAGTAACAAACTATTAAACCACAATGACGTGCTCATATATAATTTAACAAACAATGACTAGTTGCATTTACGAATAATCAAACCCTTATCTTATTATCCTCAATGAAATTGAATGGAAACAAAAATGAAGCATGTCCGATTCCACATTAAATATTTGATCAGCTCTTATTCACGTGAAAATTGGGGCTTTCCTCTGCTTTTCTAGCCCTTTCCCCAACTACAAACTACAAAGCCTATATAACCCCCACACACTCCAGTTTTACTCTCATATATCTTTTGCATTTCTCTCTCCAATAAATGTTTAGATTAATTTGCTCTTTCCCCAATCTGCAAGCAAGTCAAAGAGTTCATGATAAAGGCAACTTCAATTATATGAAGATTCACATGATAGCCACAGCTACACTCAAATTGAGATGATAAAACAATCTTTCAACAGAAATAGTAATTGCTAAGGTACAGATATGGTCATGGTTTGCTTTGGATGCTCATGATACGTAACCTGACAAATCTGTGTACATAAGAAACCCAAGTGCTCGCATATTCTTTTGTGACACACGAAAGAAAGGCATAGAATATGTGGAACGTGCAATACTGGGAAGGCCTCTTTGCTCTTTTGTGTATTTTGTATAAAAGATGAAAAAGGAGAGACGAAGCATACATGGTAAATTTTTTCAAAAGAAAAATACTGCACATCTTTTTTCCTCACATCTCAAAGCTTGACACTTTTCTACAAAACTAGCATCATGAGGACTCAGCGGAATCACAAACCTGTTTCCCCTGTGATGCCATTGCTACCTCCAACATAGTAATATTCTTGGCCCTCATATAGAGGTTACTCAATAATTTCCTAGCAGAATGGAACCAAACGAGAAAGGAACACGTTAAGGTGGATTTTCGCTGGATTAAAGAAAGAAGTTTGAGAGCACTAGAGATTTGAGTATAGAAAGTTACCTGCTTGATTGCATTCCCGACTTCCAAGCTCGGCAACGAACTCTTGGCCAAGCAACCTGCATGGACAATCGGCCCATTGACATCACTGTTGGCTGGAGGAATGGTCATGTAAGAAGCTCCTTTGAACATCCATTGATCCATTTCTTGACTGTAATAGTCCTCAAATAATTCTCCACATAATATACATGCGCATTGGTTCTCATCAGCAGCTACAGCTGGACCGTCCTCAATAGCACTCTCAGTTTCACTCAGAACTTCCTCAAATTCAGGTTCTAGCTCTCCATCTTTTGCTGCAATCCAGTCTTCAGCCTTTGGAAACCAACCCCTACTGTTTGTGTCACTTAACTCAAGCTTGTTATTGTGCAGCTCCATGTGCCTGTCAAGTTCTTCCTTTTCTTTAAGGCGAATGCCGCAGGAGATGCAGAGATGCGGAAAATCATCAAAGAGACTACTAATCACCGAGGGGTGAAGTTCACGGATTTTGTCTGCCCTAAACTTCAATCCTATGAGATTTTCGGGTTCCGGTTTCACTGTTTCTGCTGGTGCTACCTTAGGGGTAGTGGATGGATCCTTCTTCACCAAAGCCAATGGCTGAGCATCTGATGGAACTACAGATAGAGAGATAGAGCTACTGGCAGAATGATCAGGACTCTGGTCCTGTATGGAAGGAAGCGCACATTGTACCAGAGAAGGCAGCTCCGTCTTTGAAGCAGATATCAAGCCCTTTGAAACTAACGAGCTCAAGAGGAACGAAATAGGATCTGAGGCCTTACTATTCTCTTTTGATGTCTGTGCAGATGTAACACCGGGAAGAGACACTGCACATGAACTAAGTGGTGCGGAGGATTGTTCAACTTTTAAACGAGCTAATAAATTGTCACCGGAGACTGAAATTGGCAATGGTGGTGACAAAGTCTTAGGCTTAGAGGCTGCTGACAGGGTTAGTGCCCTTGGGTTAACCTCATTTTGAGAACTCTCTTCCTTGATCGCACTACATGTTGAATTATTAGAAAGGATTCCACTCTTCATAACAGCTTGCAGCAAATCACTCATGTTGGGTTGTCCTGTAGTAAGGCCTCGAACATCTTCAGCTGTCAACTTAGAGTCAAACTTTTCCACCTGAGATGCATCAGGTAGTTCAAGCGTATTTGTGTTTTTAAACTGACTACTTGAAGAAAGGGCCCGTACAGAGTCATCCCTCGGGATACTTTGAGATTTCGCTGGAAACCGGGAAGCCCTAGGATCACGCTGAGGGAGGGAGTGAGCTCTTCTAACATCTTGCTTGGTCACATTCTGTTTAGAAGTTGAATCATGTAAAGGCGACTGTCTATCTGACACAGATCCTGAGTTTGGCAAAATTCCAGAGCTGGCAACCCTAGACTGAGGCTGACTTCCCTTTCTAGCTGCATTAGAGGTTAGACCAACGGAAGGAAAAACTTCTGAATCATGCAATGACCGAGGAGAAGACGTCCAGCGGCCAAGAACACTTGGATCTTTTTGCTCGCTGGAATATGAATTTGTCGAGCTAGCCGGATCAAACCTCGTGTCGTGAGCTGGAAACCTTGGTCGTTTAAAGAGATGATTTTCAGATTCCAATCTCTCTGATTCATCTGGTGCCTGAAGCTCATTCTTTGGGTTGATAGTGGCAACATCGGTTTCGGATAACCTTGAGTGCATGTCCCACATAAACTCTTCTTCCTCAGAGTTTTTCCAACTATCATAAGACACACCTATATTTCTACTGGGACCACTTGATTCCGAACTTTCTTGTCTCGCAGTAGCGTAGTTGGAAATTCTGCTTTTGTTATGAATCCCATCCCTCTGGTCAGACATCAGATCAGGACCCCTGCTCATAGCTTCGTACCATTGTTTCTCGCACCCGTCATCAGTAACCCTTGAACCAACTTTCTTGATCACTGATCTAGAATTATGCGGCAGATCAGAAGCATAATCATATTCCCCTGCTATCGACTCCATATCTTTCTCGTAGAGGGGTTCACTAAGTGAGTCTCTCTGAGGTCGTCGAATGGCCTGAAGTCAACACACAATCATTAGACAGAACTTAGGTTAAAAACTGTAATCATGCCAAGGAAAAATCATCTCACATTTACTTTAGCTGGACCTGCCCATGAACCTCCAGATGCTATGCTTGAAGCTCTCTCCAGTCTATCTGAATCCCTAGTCAAACTGGATGCGATCTCAGGGTCATCAGTAACCATCACTTTTGGCTGCACAAAAAGAAGTTCCAAAAAGAATACTCAGGACCCATTTAACGAAAATTTAAACGAAGTTACAATTCCGTATATAACCTCGAGTTTACTTTGAGTTTTTCGTCTAATAAATTTCAGTGGTGCAAGTTTATTTTGCGTACCCGTCCCGGCTGTTGAAGGCGTTGCCTTTCTAGGTACTTGGGATTCACATGGATGCTATGTGGTGGGCGCTGAGATTGCGGATCAGCTCTGCCTGTGGCAACAGCAGCTGCTGAGCCATCACTTCTAGCATTGAAGCCAAGCTCTTTCTCAATAAGCTGAAGTGTTTGCGGATGAAAGACTCCTTTCCAGGTTCCAAAGAGATGCCGCATGTTAGAATGCATAGGAGGGTCAACTTGTCTGTAAGCCTTAACAAATACCTATGCACAGAAGTAAAAATAGGGAGATCAGAGATGAAGTTGCTTGGCAAAATGTTATATAACCATGACTATCAGTAAAACACCAACCTCAGGAAGCCTGGCACCAAAGTACTTAATGTAATCCCTTCCGATGTTCTTAACAATACTGTCCAACAGGTACAATGTTGGCAGCTTCTGATCACTTGGTACCTGCACAATAATCTTCAAATCAGATACCCACAAAAAAGGCCAATTTGATCTCACAGAGAGTAACATCGAGGATTTCTACATATGAGGAGGCCCTAAAGGATAGAGCAAACTATCAAAAACTTAAGTCTAACTAAAACTTAAAGTACAAACAATCATGACATTCAAGCCATTAAATGCCCGAAAATGGCAGAGTGGCAACACAACTCAAAGTGTCGATTTGAATAAGTTCTTGTCTTTCCACCGAATCTCTAAACTGAAGTGAGAAACAACGTATAAATCCTTGTCTCTCCACCGACTTGATTGAGAAGACTCCATGTGTTAGCAGAACCCACAAACAGAAAGTTGATTTGGCTTTCTGGAGAGCATTCGGTAAGCAGAACCCACTAAGAGAAAATCCAACCTCACTAATAACAGAACTTATAAGAACTCTTGCAAACTGGTAAAGTAAAATACATTAAAACAACTCCAACGCTGTCAAAGAGACTACACACATCTACGAGCAAAACTCAGTACAATGACATGAGGAGCTGAAAAATATGCATTCTTGAAAAATAAACATGAACAAACTGGTTGCATGGGCAACATATGCCTCTTCAAGTGAGAATTATACAGAATGGGATTCCAATAAATAACATAGACTATGAACTTTGGTTCACAAGAATGATCCGCGACTTTGATGATGAAGAAGTATTAAAACTCACATGGATTCCAGAAAACAGAAAAAAGACACTAAGGGTTGCTTCAAAATTCAATTTTTTTCTTATTAAACCTCGTATACAGATCACAATCTCAACCTTCACCTTATATTATACAATCACTCAAACAAGAAATAGAGGCAGGGAGTAATGAAAACTATTTAACAGTGGGCATGAAACTGGGTGTTCACCTCGAGGATGTTGTTGCAAATGGTGGCTACAACGGCCTTAGCAGCATGAACATTTTCTCCGGCAATTATCGTAAGGTTCGTAATTATCGGCTTCGAGTTGAACGTGAGCTCGGATAGTGCCGACTTATACTGGTTCACGAGCTCGTGATGTGGATGAACCGGCTGTGGCTGGTACGCCTCCCGGCTCGGATCACTGGCGATACTGCTCTCCGTTTCTCTGCCACCGCCAACTCGAAACCTCGACGACGCCGGTGGTACCGCCACCGCTGTACCGAGCGTTCTCTGCGACGAAAACTGCCGTGCGTTCGAATTCACAGGCCGGATTAATTCCTCGCTGAGCCTGGGTTTCTTCAACGGACCTGGATCTCTGGATCTATCGAAAGGTCTACGCGAATTCTCCATCTCAAGAATTATACAAATACAGGATTCGGAAAAAAAAGGGAACGCAAAATTGCCCTAAAACTAGCTTAATTGGCAAAATCGATTGCAATAACAACAAATCCTGGCTAGAGAGAACCAGAGCATTACATCAATCAGTAACTTGAAAAATACAAACGAATAGAAAAAGCCTAAGGTACAATCTACAACTGAGATGCGAGTCTGCGAAGAAAACGGAGAAGATAGGAATGCTTCGGATTTGGCAAAAAAATGGCAGAGATTTGGACAAACTCCGATCAATTAGGGTTGAGAATTGGGGATTTTAAAGAGATGGGACAATAGTTAAGATCAGAGAATATTAGGCCCATTATCCATATTAATAGGCCCATTTTCTACACAGTTGATAACTTGATATGTGTGCAACAGTGCAAGTGTGTAATTGACAAGTGACAACACTACGATAATCCTGTCCGATTTGGACAAACTCCGATCAATTAGGGTTGAGAATTGGGGATTTTAAAGAGACGGGACAAAAGTTAAGATCGGAGAATATTAGGCCCATTATTCATATTAATAGACCCATTATCCAATTTAATAGGCCCATTTTCTACACAGTTGATATGTAATCTAACGGAAGTATGTGCAAGTGTTATTGACAAGTGACAACACTAGGATAATCCTGTCCGGTTCAATCATCTAACCGAAACCAAACCGATGATTTAGAACAACGTATCGAACCAAACGATGAGAATACAGTGCAATTCATTACAAGAGTGGAAACTAAACGAGTTGAATTGTATTTGGTTGAAGTTTCAGAATCTCTACATTAGTAGGGAAATCTAAAACTAGTTGAATTGTATTTGGTTTCAGAATCTGAAAACCAAAACAGAGTTGAACATCACATGAGGTAGGAGGAACATTTTTCAAATCTAGTTGGGAGAGAACAAGAGGAAGGAAGAAGACAGATTCAGCTACTGGTTGCACCATCTTGTGACTGGTACTTACTTAACACAAATAAAGACACACTAAAACGAAATTTAAAAACTCTTAACAACACTACTTTTATCTTTATGTTTGACTCATTTTATTCTAACAAGGGACTGTTGGTACTACTCTGGCTCACTCTTAACCATAGGCCATGTTTCTCAGCCTTTCTACACAGCACCCGGTTTAGGCGGGTTGGCCTGTGACTTCATTTTGCTAGCCGGGAAATGCAGTCTCGCAATCAAAGGCTTTGGTCCTCCTGTGATCCGGTCAATTCCTCTAACACATACGAACCCTACAAATTTTAAAGATAAAATTATGTTTCAAACTTAAGTGAGAACATCATCAATCTATGAACTTGTTTCATTCTATATACTCGTCTTTCTAATTTTACTGCCAAAATAAGGAGAGAGAAAAGAATAGTGAACAAGCAAGCGTTTAACCAGTTCACTTTCTTGATAAGTCTTGTCGGTTTGAACTTAAATCGAAGTAAAAAGGAAGATGTTGTTATAGAGTAAAACAAAATGTACCTCTCCAGAAGCATTGTTGAATTGTTTCTGTTGATAGACCTGAAAAAAAACAGCTTAAGTAGTTAGAATATCTTCTTTTTTTTTTTATTTTAAAAATGTGCACAAGAGCATTATAATCTAATGATGGTGAAGATCATATATATACCTTTGAATATGGATGGTATAGATGTTCCAAAATATACAGTTCTTCTAGGCAAGTCCCATAACCAATCCCTTGGAATATTGATTGGGGTTAAGCTAGAATCATGATCCGCAAACACCTACACCAACAGATTACATCAGTAAGTTTCAATGTAAACAATTAAATGAAAAAAAAAAATTGGATTTTTTGAGTTGAGGTTTAACCTCATTAACTTGGAAATAAGTCCCATTGAGTGGGAAGCTGCCTCCCGTTGCTGTTCTACAAGGTATCTGCATGAAATTACAACTTTGTTACATGCAAATATTTGTCAAAAAAAAAAAGTGTAGTTAGAGACAAAGCAGACAGATGTAACTGCTTACCAAGATGGTACCTCTTACGGTTTGTGATTTTGCTTCTCTAATGCAGCTGCATGACAAACAAGTCTCATCGTTGCACAGCTTACCAATTCCTTGAGAGATGCATTTACTTACAGCTGGTTCAATGGAATCAATGGTCTCACCTGTTTAAAGTTTAAAGAAACTTGTTTCTTTATCGATCTGACTAAAACGATTACTAGATTTGCAGATCATTTACTAATTCTTAGATCACCTGGTGTCCAAATCGCTAGCAAATAGGGACATGGATCATCAGGTTCTCTCTTCTCAAACTGCCATAACAAACACAAACAGCTAGTTAAGTTTAAAATACACACAGCACTACAAGCATGTCTCCTTAAACTAATCTCTATTTGTTTGTGTCGCATAGATATGTAGACACCAATTCTGAGTTGTATATTCCACTAACATACCTGAGCTACAAGAGGATGTGAGTCTCCAAGTTCATAGCTGCAAAGAAATGAAAACAAACAGAGTCAAGTGTTAAAAAGAAGTCAAGTGGAACAACATTGCTGATATCTTAGAAATTTGTTTTTGCAATTCTTTGTGGCATATAAGTATTAGGAAGTTTTTCTTATTCCTAACGCATTCCACTTATTAAATTTAATGTACCCAAGCTTTAATGTATGATATATATAGTATGTCTTTCTTGTTTCATTTCAACCTAATACACGATAAATAACCAAAAAGAATGAATACGTACACTCGATGTTCTGTCCTTAGCTGGCTGATACTCTTGAGCTTAGGCATTGGAAGAGATGCAGCTTCAGCTGTAAGTGCAACAAGAGCGGTGGACATGTCACCATCTTGTAGATCCGTGTTGTGTTCTATGATTTTCTTCAAGTTATTTGCAAATGCATCCATATTCAGCCTGATTGTGGGAATTTCTTCAGGATCCTCATAAAACGCTTCCTCTATATCAGCTATTGACACTTCTGCGCATTCGGGTGGTTCCGGTGAGGCTGGCTCCTCGATAATAGGTTCACAACATGAAGACCGGTTTGTTAGTGCTGAGTAATGTACTACTTCTGATCCTTGCTCTCTCTGCAATGTCTCTGGAAGGTGTAGAGGCAAATATTTTTTATCCGGTGTCTCCATGCCTTTCTCTGTACTGGGTAAACTTAGACGTGCACTGTAAAACAAGTAAAGGTTACTAAATTTTCAGTACAAAGTCAGAGCTTTTATATTGATGTTACAAAAGGTTTTAAGGGGGACACGTTGTTGAACCTTGCAAATGCACTAGCAAAATGTCTGCATTCACCTCTCATGGGACATGCGTTGCAGTTAGGTTTGCTCTTTGTACAAAACACCTGAAACAAATAGTCAAGTAGATTAAAAACTCATCATATGTCCATCTTCATTCATACATACATACATACATGTATATTTCTTTTTATACATACCTTTCCAAAAGTAATCATTTGGTAATGCAATTCATACCTGTGAGATAATATGACGTTAAAACTAATGAATGGGTGTATTAAACAGAGGCATTAAAAAAAATATAAGATAAACATGATGAGAGGTCTTACAATGTTTTCTGGTCTAGTTTGCATAAACGTGGCCATAGATACTTCTGAATGGATTCAAGCACAGGATACCTAGTTAAACCAAACCCAAAGATGTATCAGAAATAGAAAAAAACAGTTTCCAACTAGGAAAATATTGTAGAGTGCTTACATTTCTAGAAGATGCAGTTGAAGCGACTCCGGTAATGGCTGAAGAGGTACCCATCCAAGCCTAACGGCTATACGCCCAACATTCGTATCAACCTGTCAATAAAGTTTACAGTAAATTCATACAAACTTATAATTCACCTCACAGAAACAACAACAATAAAAAATTATCAGGCTTACTGGAAAAGCAAGATGGTGCAAAGTTAAAAGCCGCACACATTCAACACTTTTAAGTCCCAATCCTTTAAAGCTCATTAGATACTCTCTGCATTATTGAATAATATATAAGAAATACGCAATGCAGTATTGAATCATTGACAAGTGACTTCCTAAATAGTATTTTTTTATATATTTTTCATACTCACTTTACTTTGTCAGGTGGAACGTCTCTCAACCATTCCAAATCTATGCTTTCATGATCTGTGACCAGACGATTAAGAAATCCCTGGCAATATTTACATCTTCAGAGTTAAAAACTAATAATGGAAGTTATCAACTAATCTGGTCTGGCCACGTAATGATCAAACTGTACCTGTATACGTTCCGCAAGTTTATGGTTCATTCCACGGCTCTTGATTGTCTCAGCAACTTCATCAACATGAGCTGTTCTTATTGCCTCCCAGTCCACAGAGTCCATCGTCCTGCTTGTTTTTCCTCTTTTTCCTACTCTAGCTTCTGCCTCTCTTCTTAAACTATCCCAATCAAACCCTTCTTTTTTCTCTTTCAAAACTTTTTTTCCTTTTGCCTTTGATTTAGCCTCATCCACAGGATTGAAGTCTTTTCTCGGTGAGTCTCGGTTCTGCTTTGACTCAGGATTTTCTGTGCCTTCTTGGACATGAATACAGCTTGTGCTTTCATTAAGATCAGGAATCATTGTCTCTCTCACAAGCCCTTCTTTGTGTTTTGTCGATGGAACACTGCTAGAGCTTTCAGGAATATCTGGTTTCTCACATCTCAAAAGATCCCCAAAACAGCAAAACGGTTCATTACTGTCATCAGAAGATTTTGTCTGCCCTTTCAGTGATTCGAAATCCTCCTTAACATATGAGCTACAGTCACTTGGAGATACGTTTCTTGAAACCACAACTTCTTGCTGTTTCTTCTGTTTTGACTCTTCTACTGAGAGACTGTCACCAGCAACAATGTCTCTTCCTTTGCCTTGTTGCAACGCAGACTCTAACGACTGTCGGAGCATCAAATAGGCAGTATAATAATCTTTTTCTGAGTTGATCTCAGAGCTTGATGCTAATCTCTCTATATGTTGAGGAGCATCAGAAACCAACGAACTCTGAAATGTAACTGCAGAATCTTCAGATGGAACCAAGTATGTTTGATCTGTGTTGTCCACTTCTACACTTGAGTCTTTTGGATCCCTGGTTATGCCAACTGATTCATGGTCTGTGCTAGCAATCTCACTACTGCTTCTAGAGGTTTCATTGCTGTTTACATAATCCTTCTCCCCACCAGGCTCTGTGTTCTTAAAAGTAACAGAACTCTGGTTATGAACAACAGTCGGGTTTGACATTGACTCCTCTGAGTCCAAGTAAGTTATTTTTATAGACGGCATAGAGCTTGTCCCTACGTCAAAGTTACTAACGGGTACTTCCTTGGGAGGATACTCTGCAGCAAGTGACATGAATGCAGAGCTACAAAGAAAACAAAACAAAAATAAAATTAGAACATAAGTTAGCTTTGCGACATGAAACTGTCCTAGGGTATAAGTTTCGACTAAGAGCTTATACCTTGAAAGATGGTCAGAAACGTTTTGAGTGAGAAACACTCCAACAACAGAATCAACAACTGATCCTTTCCAAGGTGTAAAACGTCGATCACCTGTTAAGAAAACCAAAGGCCATAAACAACAAGTTAAGTTATAACTAAGACATGCAACTTAATAACTTGTAAGAATCCGTGTTTGGTGTATTTACCTTGTACAAGGTGCATCCGTGAGATAAATGTGTTTGCTCGTCCTCTAAACACATTTCGTTCCTCCTCCCACCATTTTGCCTTCTGCTCGTCTGATCCATCAACGCCTTCGCTATCAATATTCTCCATCAGAAGCTTCCACATTCTGTCTGTCTCATTATCTAGGTCAACTTTTGCTCGCGGAGGCCGCTTCTTGACTGGAGTTGAAGGAACAATTGCTCCAGCTCCACCGGTGAAGATTACAATCTGGTTTCCTGTGCTATCCACTGCATAAGGAACAAGAGCGGTTTCTGAAAACTCCCTGTTGATGTCTAATACACGCAAATCCTCAGTGATTGCTTCAACGGAGTAACATCGTGTCCATAGTTCCTGTGGAGGAAGATCTGCTGGGAAGAACATCATCATTAGATTAACATATAGTCTTACTACATTTCATGAAAATCAAGAAAGTAAGAAAATCTACAGTTGTTTATATATTCGTTACCAGTAGATGAAGCTTGAAACAGGCCAAGATTCGGGAGAGGAGTATTCTGGTTGGTTTTTGAAATCATGGACTTAGTGGCTCGCTTCTTCGTTTTGCTCGAGGTCGCCTGCGTCTTCACAAGAACACGTCCTGCTTGTAGCTTCTCTGAAGCTTCTGTTATAGACGACAAGCTTCGGAATCGAGCTTGCCCTGTAGTTCTATTCTTTATTGGCTTGTCTGTCTTCTCCAAGCCAACACTTGACTCAAAGCTCTGTCTCCCTTGAAATGTACTAGCACTGCCCTGAGATGTGAATATGTAGCAGCTCGAGTCAAAGGCGGAAACGTCTTCTTGTGCATCTCCAGCGAGTGATGTGCTAATAATGGCATCAGATCTCGTCTCTTTCTGTTGGCCGTCGTTGAAACACAACCAATGCATTTTCTGGTACTCACACAGATCAACGTACTGAATCCCTGATAGATTTGTGTCCCATGTTGTTTCTTTGCCTTGTCTTCTCTTTGCAGCTTGTGCGCCATTGATTCTAGATTCCTTTCCTTTTCTTTTACTTTGGCTGGTCTTTCTTCTAGGCGTGCCAGGCAGTGGAATAGGACAACCTTCTGGTTCTTGACTCCTTGAATCTGTCTGCTTTCCTCTGTTGTCTGATTCCGGTTTAGCATCGCTGCTGTTCGACTGGTTTACTCTGTTTTCGGGTTTGCAACTCTCGACCTCGAAATCTAAGGCTCGTCTACAAATCTTCTTGGCAGGACCTGAAGCTTCTACAGCTGGTGATACTTCAACAGGTGTAGATTCTTGATCCTTATTAACTTCTTTCTTCTTCCTCACATATTTCCTCTTAGGCGTTTTGCTTTCTTGACCTTCAACAGCAGGTTTCGGTTTGGGAACTCTCTTTGGTTTGTCTTCTTTAACAACCTTGGGCCTATGCTTCTTCCTCTTTGGCTTCTCCGGAGTTGTAATCTGCTCAGTAACACTGTTAGTCACCGAGCTCAGCGCTTCATCACCTTTTTGCAACATCTCTCCACAAACCATTTTACCTGCAAATTTAAAGAATCAGATCACAGCTTTTTTTTTCCCAGCAATTTCAACAAGGCAATTTTCATATCTAATCAAACCGCTGTCTTACTTTGATGAGTTCCGGTATGACCGGAGATATAGAGTTTTGCAGTGTTGGCTAGATTCAGCAAATCTCCAAAAGACAAGTGCTCAAGATCTATCATCTCTTTGTTCCCAATGAATCTCCTGCATGCATCGCTTCCATAATCAATTACCCAACACCAATCTTTAAAATTTCCGAAAATTAAGACACAACCACACTTAACTCTTCCATCGCCTGGTTTCGATTTGGGTTGACCGGAGCAATTGGCTTGATCGGTGTCTGAGGAATCCATGATGGAGGTTGAATGCTACTGCCTTGTTTATCCATTTTTTGTTTTCTTCTCTTTTGATTCTTCACACTACTTCCTTCATCAGAACAATTTGATTTTGCGCCGGAATTAGAGAGAAAAAAAATCAAGAAACTTGCAAGTTTCTATTTTTAACTGCAGAAAGATAAACCGAACAGCTGAAAATTTCTTCAGAGAAAAAAAAAAAATGAAGAGATCATTACCAAATTAAATGAATATTAAGTGTTTCAAGAAACTGAAATGTTTAGATCCACTTTTTTCTGGTGGGAGAGAGATCTCCGTTAGGTAGGTAGAGACTTGTTGACAACAAAACGAAATAAAGTATAAACACAAAAACAAAAGATCAAAAGTACGAAAATTTTACCTCTGGAATCAGTGTAGGGTGATCAAAGTGATATGATTTTTTCAGGTGGTGGCTTTGAGAGGATAAGAACACACTCTTGCTCTTGGAAACGATGAAGTTGAGTCAGTTAGAGGCCAGTAATATAGAAAAAGTAAATAAAGTCTTTTGGCCTTAAGGTATAAAGAAGGAGAGAACATGTGTGCTCTTTGTATTTTTCATATGCATACCGTTTGTTTGAGCGCGAAAAGTCGTTTGGTTAACGGGAAAAGTTTCAAAATATTATTTTTAAAAATTATTTTTTTTCATTAAATTTTCTAGACTGTGGGAGAGATGATTTCAAAAGTTCATAATTTTCTGTAAAAAAATGAAGTCATAAATACGTGAGTTCAAAGCTATATCAATTATTTTAAAAAATATTTAATTATAAATTCTGATATTTAACGTGAATTTACAATACGATAATTATTTTTTTCTTTTCTAAAAATATTTAGAAATATATTTACAAAACATATAAATATATAATTAAGCAACTTTTTAAATATGATAAATAAACTCATGTAGATAATCGAATTCATATAAAATAAAAATATATATTATGTTTTTTGTGTTCTTAACCAAGTTATTCATCTAATTGATAAAATGATATTGAAGCTTTAAGTTATTTACATTGCAACAATACACCTTGTTTTCAAAACATATGCTATAGTGGTAGTTCGTGAGAATATATAATTTTCTTCATCATCTATTCGTTATCTTACTACTTTATTAATTTGTATTCTTTTTTCAATAATGTTTTCAGTTGAATGATAATTGTTTTTAAACAAGAAGGTTAAAAAAATTATGTTCACAATGACTGTTTTTGTTTTCTTCGATTATAAAGAATACACAAAATCAAGAATTTGATGATAATAGTAGGTAACTTATCAGTGTCGTCTTGTGACGAACAACATGATCATTCTTTCTCCTGCGGTACAGATTGAACTTAGTCTGTTCTGAATGTTCTTCTCAGTGACTTTGATTAATCGAAATAGTGGAAACTGTGTTTCTTCTTGTATGTGTTCCTTTCAAGTTTTATTTTATCTATGTAACTAATTTGTTTGACATTACAGTAAAAACTAACAATTATTGTCAAAATTTCGAAACCGATACACACTTGGACTCTAATTGCTTTATTTGAAAGTTACTCCTAAATGTTCTGGTCCTTCGTTTGAGTTATTGATTATGTCCTTCGTTTAAATTTGTACAAGACGCTATTGAAAAAAAAACATTAAAAATAGGAATTTATACAAATCGATTGAAAACTATGAACCGATTTTGCTATATTGTTTTATATTAAACTAAATTGTAATTATAACTAAATTAAAGTTTTTTTGTTTATCAAACTACGATTTCATTATTACTAAACTAAGAAAAGTTTTTTTTGAAACAAAATAATAAAACCACCATTTTCTTCTAAAAACTTTTAAATTTGAATTCAAAGTCTCAAACCAAAACCCATCAAACTAAATGATATTTGATTTTTCATTGTGTTTCTATTTTTGTTTTTATGCATGGGAAAATGATGTATTGTTCCACAATTAAGCACGTACGACTTGATTCAACTACCCTCAAATGCAGATTACGAATTCGAGTCATGTAAAGTTGAAAGTGTAGGAACCTTAATTACTATAACAAAGCAACTGATAAACATAAGAATATATTGAAGAACAGATATTGAAAAATACAATACCGAATTAAAAATGGTGACAAGGAATTGCAGAGTTTAGACGAATCTCTTTCCTTAAATCTTTAAACGCTCCGTAGTATGATGGATTTTGCAGCATTCAGATTCCCAGGATACAACTGTAGTGTTTCTGTTTTCCAGCACCGAAGAACATAACCTATTGAACCTTAAAACTTTGTGTACTCTTAAGAGAAAAAACACAAAAAGAAAAATGGAGGATTGCTGTTGTCGATATGGTATTTCATGATTAGAGGAAGAAGACGATGGCTTGCTTTTATAGCCAAGCTCTTAAACATTGCAAATAAAGTGGAGTAATAAGAATTGATTCTCATCAATTCAATTTTTAACTTTTATCGTTACAAAAAAAAATATTAAATGAGAAATATTGTTGACTTAATCAACAACTAAATTTAATAAAAAAATTTGAGCAAAAAAGTATAATATTTTTATTTTTTACTTAATTTGGCTTAATATTTTCTATTATAATTTTTGCTTAATAATAGAATTTATTTTTTACTTAATTTGGCCCAAAAATTCTATTGAATTTTTTGTAACTTAAAATTCAATTCACATCAAAGAATTGATGATGGGAATCAATTTTTATTACTCCACTTTATTTATAACATTTAAGAGCTTGGTTATAAAAGCAAGTCATCGCCTCCTTCTTCTAATCACCGAATACCACATAGACAACATTAATCCTCCATTTTTCTCCTTCTGTTCTTTTCAGAGTACACACAGTTTTAAAGTTTGATAGGTTTCATTCTTCGGTGTTGGAAAACAGAAATACTGCAGTTGTATCCTACGAATCTAAATACGGCAAAAATCGTTATACTACGAAGCTTTTAAAGATTTAAGAAAAGAAATTCATCTGGACTGTGCAATTCCTTATCAAACTACAGTAGGAGATGATGACTCAAAGACCTAGACCTCACGTATAAATGTCATCAACCCATACTTCTACTTTTAGCTTTTGATCTAAGTTAGTAGATCACTCAACAAAATTTTTGTTTGGAAACGTTCGTTCTCTCTCAGTCAGATAAGAGATCCTTTTCCTCTTTTTTTTTTTCTCTCAATGAAATGATATTTTAAAATATAATTTTAGCGTTTAGCCTATCTATATTAAACGGTGACTGTCGGTGGCAGGAATCCCGTTTTACGCACTGCGTGAGACGTGAACGGCCATGCTCCTCTGTGGACCGCTTCTTCTCTCTTTAGATTCTCTGTTATCTTTACACTTGTATCAAGTTTAACTTGCATTTTTTTTTTTTTACATGAACTTGCGTATTAACTATTCACCATGAAAAGTGCGTAAAAGGACAATAAATTAAATTAAAAAAAAAATAGGGGATTCACATTCAGCAATGAAGAGTCAATGCTCACCCTAGTCTGATCATCTTGAACGGCAGCAAACAGTTATGGATCTTCACATCTACACAAATATCCATTTATATATATTTTTTAAATGCAACCCTAGTAGTTACTAAATGTTACGAATTAAACACCTTTTTGTCCGCATTGTATTATTAATTTATTATAATAAACATGGGGAAACTCAATCAAACTGATAAAAAAAAAACCATAGTGATTTTTTCACTGCTCTCATGCAAACTGAAACAGTGCCAAGTGGAAACCAAATGCTATCTTCCTTTGCTTAAAATTCAAGGTGACAGGGAACAACACTAAACTAAGTACTATAAACAATGCTTAATAATTTATATAAATGTATTCCCATGTCTCTATGTTCATCTTATATATTTTGGATCATTATTTCACTTACATCTTAATAGATCATTTATTTCAAATAAGTCACCAATTAGGATATTCTATGGATGAAGCTAAATAAACTAATTTGAGATGAAACATGGGAAACTGATTTCATTAGCTGGTTAATCTCTTTACGTTTTCGTTTCTTCCATTCTCTTAAATATATAACACACTGATACAAAAAGAGTTTTTTGTTCATACAAATAAGTCAACACACTTTCGTTTTTTAAAAGGGTGGGCCAAAACAAATAGTATGCCTTTTCATCGGAATAATTTTACCTTTCTTCCAAAGTGATAATCGAACTAGAAAACTCAAAGACGCATAATCTTTAAGGATTTCAGAATTAGGCTACTAGTCCAAAATTCACTTGTGATCTTGAGAGCTATGTATAATTATATTACATTACATTCGAAGTTGGAAGTTTTATATAATAAACTCTACAACTAACAATCACGACCCACACATTCTTTCTAACGAGTAACGATTAACATTAGCTTAATTAACAATAATAACAGAATTATTGCATTCATCTTCTTTCGAAACCACCCGACACGTTGTTAAAGAAAATAGATAAACGCTAAAAAGGAGAAAAAAAAAACAGATCAATCTTATTTCTGGAATCAAACCCCTTTCTAAAAGTTTTCTCAAGATTAAACAAACATATACATTTGCTCGTAGAAGATCTGTTTTTTTTTTTTTTTTTTTTTTTGTCTAGAGCTGCAATTTGGAAACTTAAATTCTCAATTTTTGATTTTGAAAGAACACCAAAATCAACCAACCCTACCAAATACATTACACCCACAGAAGAAGATTCGAGCTTTTTTAAAATCTCGATCGCCGGTCAGTAATCTTTTTATTCGTCTGGATTTTCGATTTCTGGTCTTTAGCTGAAATTGTATTTTATTCGTTTAATCTCTCTGTTTTCGCTTTTAGCTTCTGAGTTAGATTCTTCCATTTGGGTTTTTAAGAAAACAAAGACAGCGCAACCCCCAAAATTCGAATTAGATTTCGGGAAATTTGTTGGATTTGTCTGAATGTCCAAAAATCTGGAAAAAGAATTCGTTTTGGTATATAAAGGACATGCATTTCTTGATTTGTCTTTGTCATTGAAAAAGCGTAATCCAAGTTTTGATTATCAAAAAGAGGATCTTTTTACTCTTGAGGTTCAAAAGAGATTGTGTGATTTGCATTTCTTGTTCTTCTAATGTTTGCTTGAGAAGTTATTTGTAAGTTATAATCACATTCTGTCTTTCTCTGGTTTTTGTAGATTGATGGGTGATTAAAAAGACCCTTTTTCAAAACTCACAAACATGACTACTCAGACTTCATCTGGGAGGAGAAGCATCTCGGGTCTAAGGCGAGGATCATCATTAGCTTCCAAGAAACCGGTTCTCCAACAATCCGAGGAGAGCGGAAGCAGCAGCCTCAATGACAACAACAACATCAAACCGGGTTCACCTCTTGCTCAACCGGTTCCTAACGGCGAGAGAACAGTCAAGAAGCTACGCTTATCCAAAGCTCTCACTATCCCCGAAGGCACCACCGTCTTCGATGCTTGTCGAAGGATGGCTTCTCGCCGCGTCGACGCGGTTTTGTTAACCGACTCGAGCGCTCTTCTCTCCGGGATTGTTACCGACAAGGATATAGCCACGAGGGTGATCGCGGAAGGGTTGAGACCAGAGCACACGTTGGTCTCCAAAGTCATGACAAGAAACCCCATTTTCGTCACCTCTGATTCTCTCGCCATCGAGGCTCTCGAGAAGATGGTTCAAGGGAAGTTCAGGCACTTGCCTGTTGTGGAAAACGGCGAAGTCATTGCTCTTTTGGATATCACGAAATGCCTCTACGATGCCATCTCTCGGATGGAGAAAGCCACTGAGCAAGGAAGCGCTTTAGCCGCTGCGGTAGAAGGCGTTGAACGGCAATGGGGAAGCGGAAGCGGGAACTTCTCCGCCGCGCCGTATCCGTTCATCGAGACGTTGAGGGAGAGGATGTTCAAGCCTGCGTTGTCAACGATCATCACAGAGAGTTCGAAAGTCGCGCTCGTCTCGCCTTCGGATCCTGTCTTTGTAGCTTCGAAGAGGATGCGTGATTCTCGTGTTAACTCCGTGATCATCGCCGTTGGGAACAAGATCCTCGGGATTCTAACGTCGAAGGACATTCTGATGAGAGTCGTGGCTCAGAATCTGTCCCCTGAGCTGACTCTTGTTGAGAAAGTCATGACGCCGAGCCCTGAGTGTGCTTCGACGGAGACAACGATTCTTGATGCGTTGCATATAATGCACGACGGCAAGTTTCTTCACCTTCCGGTTTTGGATAAAGACGGCTTCGTCGCGGCGTGCGTTGACGTGCTGCAGATAACTCACGCGGCTATTTCCACGGTTGAGAACAGCTCGGGAGCTGTTAACGACATGGCGAACACGATGATGCAGAAGTTCTGGGACTCAGCTCTGACGCTTGAACCGCCAGAGGATTACGAAACGCACAGCGATATGTCGGCGATGCTGGTGAACTCAGACGGAGCAGACACAGGGAAGCAGTCTTGTCAGTCTCAGGGGCTTCTCGTGAGCTCGTTTGCTTTCAAATTCCAAGACCGTAAAGGGAGAGTTCATCGGTTTGATACAGCCGGTGAGAGTTTCGAAGAGGTGATGAGTGGTGTGACGCAGAGGTGCGAAGCTGGTTCAGGGATTCAGATTATGTACGAAGATGATGAAGGCGATAAGGTTTTGATAAGTAGGGACAGTGATCTTGTTGCTGCCGTTGCCTTTGCTAGGTCTTTGGGACAGAAGGTTTTGCGGCTGCATCTCGATTTTACCGAGACAGTGTGTCTTGAGACGGTTGTAGATTCGTCTGAGGAAAGCGGCGGAGGCGGTTGCGTTTGGTGGCAGACTGGCGTTGTGGCCGGTGCTATTGTTTTGACGAGTATAGGTCTACTTGTTTACTTGAAACGTTCCAAGAAATGATGGTATGATGAAATTTAAATTGTGCTACTTTGTCTTTCTTTTCTTTTCGATTAACATTGTAAAGCAATAAAATAATAAATCTTGTTCCGAAAAGTATATATATATACACATACCCTTCTTGCCTTTTTGGTCTTGATAATATTATTATTAATATTGTTACAAAATCTACTGACAAGGGAGCAGGTTTGCCCGAGTGGTTAAGGGGGAAGACTTAAGTTCTTCTGTGCTTAAAGCACGCGTGGGTTCGAACCCCACAGCCTGCATTTGTTTGTTTTATCTTTTTTTTTGAACCGTAAAAGTGCCTTACGAAAGCATTGAAGCGCAAACTGTTAGCACCAACATAAGTACGCAACGTTATCTCGCATGCTCAAGGCTCAGTAGTCAGTAGTGTCATTTGCTGATGAAATCTTCAGATTAATAACAAAAATTATCACGGCTTTCCCTTGATTTATATATTTACAACGAAACGTAATAATTTAAAGTTTACAGACAAAGAAATGTCAATGATGTATAAAATAAGTAGAAAGAGATGTGCAGACTGTGGGGTTCGAACCCACGCGCACTTATGTGCAGAAGAACTTAAGTCTTCCCCCTTAACCACTCGGGCAAATCTGCGTTTTGTTTATAGAAGACGCAAATCGTATATCTAAACACAATATCTGATCATTTTAAGTGAAACACAAACCGAGAAGGCATACGTTTTGGTAGCAAATTAAGATCCTCTATCCAATTTAGGTAGTGTTAAGAGGCAAACAGATTGATTTTGATTGGTTGTGTACTTTTGAAATTTGGTGTTGCATTACAAGAATAATCTTCTTTGCATCAAAACAATTTGAAAAAAAAATTATTATCACGTTTCTTTGTTTTTTGTTTAATAGAATGAAAGCCGAAACATAAAACCAATTTGCAAACAAAACCAAATTATATGATATTGGAGATGGTAAGAATGACAGACGAATCGAGAGTAAAAGCCGAAAGTGGATTATAAAAGAAGTAGACCTCAATAAAGGCAGAGCTCTACCTCGGGTTCTCTTACAGAAATGAGCAAGTCTTTCCCCGAAAAAGGGTTCAACAATCAGAGCAAAAAAACCAACAAAGAGAAGCAAAACATAAACTGTTTTATTTAAGCAAAACGACCAAACTCAAATCTCATCTTCTCGTCACAAAGAAGACCATTTTGCTTATAAAAGGCTGCTGCAGCACTTCTAGTATGGCTCCACAGGCTTGCGGAAGTTAAGTCCAGCGTAGATTGCCTCTGATCCCAACTCCTCCTCGATACGCAAAAGCTGTTGTATGTGACCAAAGTAACGAAACAGATAAAGTCAATAAACGAATCCACTGTGCTCTTGTTTCTAGTCAATACACAAAGATCCATTTTGGTTTGGGATGTCTAACCTGGTTGTACTTGGCAAGACGCTCGGATCTGCAAGGAGCTCCAGTCTTGATTTGTCCCTATATGTCGAGAAAGAGAGAGAGAAGATCCAAGTTAGAATCAGACAATATACACAACAGAGTTCAGTTTGCTCGGAAGATTTTTAAATGTCTGATAACTTACAGTGGACAAGCCAACTGATAAGTCAGCAATGAAGGTGTCCTCGGTTTCACCACTCCTGTGGCTGGCCATCACTCCCCATCCTGCTCTCTTCGACATCTTAACTGCCTCAATACTCTCAGTTACTGACCCGATTTGGTTAACCTGTTCACCAAATATTTATTTAGTCACGGTTTTGGGACTTTTAATTCGAATTTGAACTAAATGGAGAATAATGAGTGATGGTAGTACCTTCAAAAGAAGAGCATTGCAGGACTTTTCTGCGATCGCCTTTGCAACTCTCTGGAAAAAAGAAAAGGAGTATTAAGAGAGGCTTCTAAAGAAAACAGAAAGAAACGGCTAAGAAAACATCTTGTCATGTTACAAACACTGGCGAATAAAAAACATACCTTTGGGTTGGTGACCAACAAATCATCACCGACAATCTGAACCTCGTTTCCACACTCGGTGGTCATCTTGGCATAGTGCTCCCAGTCATCTTGGTCAAAGGGGTCCTCGATGGACACAATTGGGTACTCAGCAACAAAGGACTTGTACAGGTCCTTAAGAGCGTCTCCAGAAATCTTCTGAGAACCGTTGTTGTTCTGCAGGGAAACAAACAGAGCAGGAGCTACAAGTTGAGAGCTTTGTTCTTGCGTTTCACACTGAAAGAGGAAGAGATTAAATAAGGTAAAAAGAAATCCCACCTCTTCTTTGAAGTTCAAGTCGTAGGTCTTGTCAGATGAGTAGAACTCAGAAGCGGCAACATCCATTCCGATGACAACCTGAGAATCAAGACTAGGATTCATTAGTTTTCATGAACTATGTCATTTCGGGTAAAAGGACAGCTAAATTACTATGGATAAAAGACAGACCTTGCCAGTGTATCCAGCCTTCTCAATAGCAGTCTTCAGAAGCTCGAGACCTTCCTTGTTCTCCTGAATGTTTGGTGCAAAGCCACCTTCATCACCGACGTTTGTGGCATCCTGGCCGTACTTCTTCTTAATCACAGACTGGAATAAAAAAGCACGAGAACAAGAATATGGTTAGGCCATTAAAGAAAACATGAATTACATGTTAGTTAGCCCAAAATGATTGAAGATATACCTTCAAGTTGTGGTAAACTTCCACACCCATTTTCATAGCTTCCTTGAAAGATGAAGCACCAACGGGGAGAATCATGAACTCCTGCAAACACCAACCAACAGCCAATCAGAAATATTCAAAAACTGAAAAAGAAGCAAAATAATGAATGAAAAGGAAGCAAAACAAACATGCCTGCATAGCAAGCTTGTTTCCTGCATGGGATCCACCGTTAATGACGTTGAAGGCTGGAACTGGTAGCACAATCTTAGGGTTACCAGCAAGATTGGCGATGTGCTGCACTCAAGTAACAAGTAAAGGGAGAACATTTAGTACCACAAAATAACAAGTAGCCAAAGTAGCAACAGTCATGTCCTCCACGCTAATTAGCGCAAGGCCGCCATACCTTGTAGAGCGGGATACCGTTGACAACGGCACCAGCTTTGCAGACGGCAAGAGACACAGCGAGAATAGCATTGGCTCCAAGCTGCACACACACACAAGTAAAGACGCAAAGATGGTTAGACTCTGTCCTCTATTCTCGAATCAATACAAAATACAATAAATCACCCCTGAAGCACCTTCTGCTTGCACCATCCCCACTCGTTTTGGGTTCCATCAAGCTCATGAACCATGAAGTTGTCAATAGCAGTCTGCTGAGTTGGGTCCTGCAAGAAACAAACAATGGAAATGGAACAATACATGAATGAGACTTGTGCACAGCTCTAGAAGAACCAAGTTCGATGCACTGAATGTAAAATTAAAGAGAGTCTCACCTTTCCGATCAATGCCGGGCCGATGATAGAGTTCACGTTGCCAACAGCCTATTGATATCAACAAAGAACAAATCAGACACAAAAATTCCCACTAAGGTAACACATCTTCTGCTCAAATAAAGATAAAAAGAAACAGACTACAACGCAGTCTCACCTTAGAGACACCCTTTCCAAGGTAGTCTGATCCTCCATCCCTCAGCTCAAGAGCCTCGTAGATTCCTATATGATTCACATACAGATTCAACCACACGAATCCAATAGAAATCAAACAACATATAAGCCTAAACAGAAATCAAAGGTGACATACCAGTGGAAGCTCCACTCGGAACAGCAGCTGTAACCTTGACACCAGTGGATGTGTGTACATCGACCTAAACAATGATCAGATTAATCAAACAATCGTTAGGTTTCTTTCTATAAATTCAAATCTATCATCAGCGAAGAAGTAGTAACGATAGATCGTGAAAACCAGATGAACGAATCAACAGTATTAAAACGAATATTTTGCAAAATCAAACAGATCCGTCGTAAGAATCATGTAAAATATAATCAAGGCCATGATCGAGGACCTCATCTATCTTCTCAAAAATTTACGAATCACACGATCTACAGAGAGGAACAAACATAAATCATAGCTTTATTTCACGATTAAAACAAAAAAACGCAATCTCATAAATCACTTGAGCTAACAAAAAGGAGATGGCAGCATCTTATACTCATCAAACAAACAGATCCAGAACGAATAAACAATGAAGAGAGCTGAAAGTGACCGGAAATCGCAAAAAGGTGATCGGAAATAAACCTCGACGGTGGGATTTCCACGGCTGTCGAAGATCTGTCTAGCTTTAACACCGGTGATGGTAGCCATGGCTTAAAAGGTCGAGAAGATCTAGAGAGAGACGAAAGGAACGATAAAGGGCGATGAGTTCGAGGGTTTTAGTGAACGCGAGAGTAGCTGATGAATCTGATGGTCTCGTTCGATATATAACAAGGAACTGGGTAAGTGAAAGCCGTCGGATTGTTTTAATAAGAACCGTTGGATGAGAAGGTAGGTTCGTCAGATGAGGCCAAAACGATGTGCTGCACGCCTTTTGCAAACTAGAAGAGGTTTTAATTTTTCCTTTGCTCCTTGTCCAAGTAATAAGACTTTAGAGTTATACAACAGGTAATTAGTATATTGGTCTAGATCTTCTTCCATTTTCGATTATATGTTTTTTTACATTTTTTATTAACAGCAAGTTTTATACCATATATCATTTTACGTGCTGAATGGGTAATGGATACATCTAGTACAAACCTGTGTCTACCTGTTATGTTAATATGCATTAATTTCTATTTTAATTAAAATTAACAATTACATATTCGTGCGAATATTCGGATATCCTATATTGAGTTTCGAACTCGAGATAGTGAATTTCATTATAAATTCCTTCTTCACCTAACATTTGTGATTTGTTTCGTTTTAAATCCAACTGATAACTTTTTGGGCAGGGTCTCAACTTATGGTAGATATTGCTCCTCAAGCTAAGAAGCAATATGGGCCTAGTCAATGATTTATACTGTGATTAAAAATATGCTTGCCTTATTGGACCAAAAATATTGAAACAACACATCTCATTTGCAAATACTATACTATATAAAAAATGGACAATTGTCAACATCTATATACTATAGGGTTTATAAAACTAAAATAAAATAAAATTGTGCCCCAAAATTCGATAAGCAGTGCCTACAACACTCTTAGCATTTGTCCAGAACTGGGCATGTTATTGTTGGTCGATTGTTATAAATAACTAAAGTCTAATTTTATGATTTTATTAAAATAATGTTAAATAATGTTTAATCATCCGATTTTTATTCATGAAAGTTTGCAAACAATTTTGTGTACTTACACAAAATATTGTATATTTCGGTTCATCAACTTTAAAAGAGAGATGGAAAGATGAATCGACACTTGCCCGTGCATCTTAAGTTGCCAGGTGGAATTATCTGATTGGTAGCTCTAAGTAAATTTTAATACAAGGCCAAGTGGAAAAAATAAATGGGCTTGACCTCGTGAAGCTAAATCGCCACAACATTCCTCTTTATATTAACACCATTTTAGAGTTTCAGTCTTGACTCTTGACGTTCTCAAACCACAGTAGCAATGGCGGAAGTAAAGAATACGAAGAGCATCACTGCATCCGACGACAACGACGATGAGTACTCATGTTCTTATTTAAATGATCTAGCAAATGCATCGGATGTTCAGGCTTATATCAAAGAGAATTCATTTGGACAGCCCAAGATCGATTCTGCTCATCCTGACTGGTCTTTTTACAGCAAAGTCTCAAAGATGTTCTCTTACCATGCATGATGCTTATGTTTGTTGAAGTTTATTTTTCTCAACATTTCTGCTTATTTCTATTAAGAAATTTGAATACTGCTATTTTTCATATTCTGTTTTATTTTATTCTATAAATTATTTAGGCCGTTGGCTTTGGGATATTTTGAGACAAAAATTAGCAATGTGAACATTGTTAGTTTAGAAGTTAATGAGTTATACTCCCTCTGTTTTTTTACATATATTAAGATATTTAATTGTTTTATTTATTATTTATATCTTTACTTTTATTTACTTTTTTGGTTTTCAATACAAGTAAACCAATATTTTGTTTTTGATGTATCTTGTAAAACTAAATGCATTGATTAAAGTGTAAAACATCAATCTTTTAAAAACAAAAACAAAAATCTAAAACATCAACTTTTTTAAAACAGAGGGAGTAACTTTATAACTCATTAACTTCTAAACTAACAATGTTCACATTGCTAATCTCGTTAGAGTTATAATGTTTGATGAAATGAAAATGAGTAATAATGTTTGATGAAGTTCAAAAGAAACGATAACACTAAAAAAAAAAAGAAAAATATAACTAAATCAAATGAGCCTCGTTAGATAAAATGACAGCAAATATTCTCTGTTTTACAAGTATCTTAGTAACTTGAACCGACGCTAATACCTATCATCTGTTATATACAACAAAGTATCTATAATCTTCTTTGCATTTTAACATTACAAAGAAAATGTGCATACATCGACCAAATCAAATATATAGACACGACCAAACACAAAAGCACAAAATGAAAAGAAAAATTCACTCTAAAGCTTACGGCCCAATTAATCCTATCTTTAAAAGGCGGGTCCCACAATGGTAAACATTTTGACTAGTTTGCAATGTTTTTAAACCCGGACCGGCTGGTTGGACGGGCTCTAACTATAAAAATCGGATTTTCAAGAACCGCTAAAACCCAAAAAACCCAGATAAAAACCGTAAAACCCAGCCGGGTTCAACAATGGTTCGGTTTCCGGTTTAGAAGAATTAGTAATTAGCAAATTAATGGGCTTTGACCTCGTTAAGCTAAATCGACACGAATTTAGAACGATTAAACCCTCTCAATTTATATATTTGGTCCAGATGATCTTAATCACAAAAAAACAATGGCGGAAGAACAGAATGAGAAGAGCATCGTTGCTTCCGACGACAGCGACGATGATGACTCAGGTAACACAGAATCAGAGCAGCAGACAGAACTGAGTTCGATTCTGGGTAAACTTAGTTTAGGACCCAAAAAAGAGAAGAAGAAACTCTTGGTCTTAAGTCTGAGCGGTCTACTTCTACACCGAGTGCATAGAAAGAATTTTCGTAAAACTCCCAAGAATCGATCTCCAGATGCTTCTTGTGGGCCAAATCTAGGTAACTTTCCTGTTTTATTGTATTAATCTTTCATTTTCTTGGACCTATAATTAGCGTAATTGGGTTTAACTGTTTATTTGTTGTTTAGTGTATAAGAGGCCATTTGCTGAAGGATTTATGAAGTTCTGCCTTGAGAGATTCGAAGTTGGGATTTGGTCCTCTGCTTGCGAGTTAGTCTCTTCATTTTCCATTTTCTTCTTAAATACAGATTAATTCTAATTAGTGTAGTTCCTTAAGATTGGTTACAAGTAATTGATTTTGATTCTTCATGGTTTTGACTTATAGGAAAAATGTTGATATAGTTCTGAACATTGTTCTTGATAATCTTCAAGATAAGCTTCTTTTTGTTTGGGTAAGACTTTTTGTATGTTTATATATAAGTCATGTATGTGTGTGTGCTTTTTCTGATACTGTTTGCTATAGGATCAAGAAGAGTGTACAGACAGTGGATTTAAGACATTAGGGAACAGTGGTAAACCGATGTTCTTTAAGGATCTCTCTAAAGTGTTTAACTACTTCAAAGGTTTCTCTGCTTCAAACACCATCTTCATTGATGATGAGCCGTACAAAGCTCTTCTTAATCCTGTAAAATACTTTAATCTCTATAATAATGCTCTTCTTCAGTTTATCAGTTTAGTTGATTCTCCTGACTTTAACTGTTTATGCTGTGAATTTCAGGACAATACAGGTTTGTTTCCAGTGAGTTATGATCCTGCGGACAAAAACGATAATTTTCTAGGTATGATATCAGTTTATAACCTTTGACGTTGTATCTCTTATCTTTAGCCATGATGCTTTGTAAATTTTGGGTTGTGATTGTTTTGGTTTGGTTCTGTTAGACCCCGAAGGTGAGTTCTGTTCTTACTTGGATGATCTCGCAAATTCATCAGATGTTCAAGAATATATCAAAGAGCATTCTTTGGTTCAGCCCATGATCGACTCTTCTCATCCGGACTGGCCTTTCTACCACAAAGTCTTGAAGAATATCTCTAATTTTGCATATGATCGTCTGTTTTATGAAGTTTAGTTTTTTTTCAATCACTATGTTCTTTAGCTTGCTATTGAGTATTGAACACATAAACAAGCTTAATTAACTAGTTTTTCAATCCTCTCAAATGTTTTGAGACAAAGAGAAACAATGTTAACTGAAAATAAGATTTATTATGTCCATTGGTTTACAAGTAAACCAATGAGCAAAATGTTTGATGAAAGTTCAAAAGAAAAAGATAAAAACCGAAAATAAAAACCAAAGCAAATGAAGTCTTGCAAGATGAATCTTGCTAAACACCAACAGAGTTATACACTCTCTTATTATGAAAATAAAAATAAAGCAGCAAATATCCTCTTCATGCAAAGGAGGATCTGATGAACCAAGGAGACTCGGATTGAGATTACGGGTTAACTCCGGATCCCGACCCGTTCCACTCCCTGTTCAAATTGACAAAAGAGCTAAACATCATGTCTGGCTGATGGACTGCTCCTGTGAATGAGAAACCCGATGCGAACGGCATTGTTGGTGTAGCAATCAAAGATCCGAGCACATTGTTCACCTCCAGAGTCGGAGTCACAGCCAACGGCGGAAAGGTTCCAATGAACACCTGTAAAAATTAAATCATTAGACAGACACAACAAATGTTTTGACGTTTTAACATTGCAAACAAAAAAAACAAAAACAAAAAAATGCTAGGGCTCTTACTTGGACCGGAGATGCTGCAATGAGTTTACCGACTACAAGACCACCACTGAGAACGCCATTATGTTCAGCGAGCGTAATTCGCCACAATCCTCTCACATTTCTGATTCCTCCGCTTTCGCTTACCATCATCGTACCGTTCAGCGATATTATCTCACACAAACCCTACATCAAAATGTTATCATGATCGTCTTAATTCCTATCCAAAATCTATGGCTAACGAGGTTCTTCACATTGTGCAAGACTTTTATATTCATGTTTAAACAACTTATATAATTTATACGACCAGATACGTATTGAGAATAACCGAGATACTTGGACTGCAAGACACAGAATTCATCATATATGTACCGTATAGGTCAAGACATTTCTGTTGACGCTGACCGGTTGAATGCTGACGTTAGCAACCGTGCCATTTACTGACAGAACGCAGACCCCACGAGATTCCTGTTGCGTGAACGACATAATCTTCTCGATTATATCCTGTAGAAAATACCACAAAATACCATATATAAACACAACATATATATATATATATATATGCATATACATGCAAAGACCAAAGCATTTGAAACATGTATTAAACAAAGCAGCGATGGGCAAGTTCATTGTTCATTTCTCTATCGATTATAATTCATTTCATCGCTTTCATTTACTTTCTTTGACCACATGATATAATTGATCTAGTCCCTTTAAATTTTGGGGTATTAAAATGAGCTATTTCACTAAACTCAGCTCATGCTCTCTATCTATCTGCTTTGGTTTGTATATATGTATGTAATATTTACAATATCTACACCTATTTTATCTATTAAAATGATTTAAAAAATCTTTTCTTAAATTGATTCCTTAAAGCTGACACATTATCTCGTTTAAGAATCACTATACGTAGATTAATAATAACTTAAGTATATATTCATTATATATGTTGTAATGATTTAAAGTTCAAATTCTAACATCATATAATATTCTTGAAAACAACAAACTTCTACAGCATCGAATAGAATAAACTTATATATATACCTCTTGGGGATTCACTACGAACGCAAATGTCCTGAAGTTCTCTCCTCCGAGACTCCTAGACGGACCAGCTTCAACTGAAAACAATTTCAAAGGTTTAGCAATAATATATTTCCATCTGAACTCACATCTTCTCAACAAATGTATTTCTTAAGATAAGAGATAAAAGATTTTTTTCCAAGTAACTTGCACTGATTAAACGTAACCAATATTCATAAGTGCTAGTCATTAATTAATCTTTCTACCACAAGAAGTTCCGGACTTTAATTTCGAAATCTCTTGTTAATTTAAAATCTCTTCCCCAACATTAGATCTCGGATAGTTTTAGTTATAGATATCGTTATGGTTTAATAGTTTCATTACGAGAAGCCCAAAGTTTTACCTTTTTCCTTTCCCTTTCTCGACCTCTTCTTCGCCGAGGACTCCCCCGGCGTTTCAGACGGGTTGATCAACTTCCCTTGGTCGTCGTATTTCCTTGGCCTTCCTCTCTTCTTCTTCACCGCCGCATCTCCGCCTTTGGCCTCCTCTTGTGCCAACGTATCTGCCTCTTTCGTTTCATCTTTCACCAACGTATCTCCCTCTTGGTTAGGCTCCTCCTGCACCAACGTATCCCTGTCTTTGATCTCCTCCGTTGCGGCGATCATCGTGACTGGAGAGGGGGAGATGGGCGTTGAGTCCGACATTGAGGCAGAAATGGTGCTCTCCTCTGGATCCATGGTAAGGACTGAAAATGAGAGGTGATGAGAGAATGAGTGATTAGTTTGTGATTTATAAAAGTCTCATAACCATGAAAGAATAGAACAAAAGGAAATCTACAATAGTTTGGAAAGTTTGCTGTCTTTTCTTTGTCTTTTCTTTTGCTAATTAACTTTCACTATATGTATATGCATTGACAGAGATTTTCTTAGGATTTAGAGTCAATTATACATTTTTTGCCTAATTAGTTTTTCCAAGATACAATAATTTTAAATATTTTCTATATACACAAAAAAAATTCTTAGTCAACATTCAAAAATAATTTATGAATTCTCTCTATAAGGTAAATGTACTATTTAGAATTAATTACTAAGAAATTTTTGATGGAAATTACTTAATATAAATTTATTTCTTGAATACTTTATGTTCAAAAAAAAAAAATATGTAAATGTTTGATTTGCAATAGATAATACTTAAAATTGGGATTTTGACAACTTTGGCAAATGTATTGTATTAGGCCGAAATATTTTTTTTTTATATGAAAATATCAACGTAAACAAAAGATTAGGCCTAAACCAATATATACGTTAAAGTTGTCAAAACCGTAATACTAAACAATATATATTGATGAAGATTATAAATTTATTGGACCATAACATATCACATAAGTTGATAGGGTGATAACACATTACAATTTTGATAACCTTGATAAATAAACCATTACATAAGCAAATTAAGGTTTCAGAGCTTTATATAAATAGACTATAACATAAACAAAAGACTTTAGAAATTAAGGCTTTTTTCTACTACATATATGTTGTTTGATATGTCACATATATGATAATACATATTCAGGTTATGTATGATGATCAATATGTGAGACCCAGACATGTAAATGTTATTATAAAAAAACATTAACGTAAACAAAAAATTGGGCCTAAAGCAATATATTAATCAAAGCTGTACAAATAGTAATACTAAACAATATCTATTGAAGATTATAAATTTATTGGGCCATAACATATTACGTAATATTAACTAATATCATTTAAAGATTATAAGTTTACTGGGCTATAATATATTACTGTTTCGATAACTTTGATAATATATTATGGCCCAATAAACTTATAATCTTTAAATGATATTAATTAATTTTACGTAATATGTTATGGCCCAATAAATTTATAATCTTCAATAGAAATTGTTTAGTATTACTATTTGTAGATTACCGTTTTGATAACTTTGATATATTACCGTTTTGATAACGTTGATAATATATTATAGCCCAATAAACTTATAATTTTTGATATATATTGATACTTAATAATATATATTGAAAAACATAAGTAAGTTGATAGAGCTATATAACACATCACAATTTTGATAACCTTGACAAATAAATCATTACATAGATAAATTAGGGTTTCAAAAATTAGGGCAAAATTAGGGTTTCAGACAAATAAACCATTATAAATTATTTAGTATTAAGTATATGAATTACCTTATAAGAAATAGAAGCCCATTACTGTAAATTTCTTTTTTTTATATGGCATATATATTTGGAAAACATCAAAATTCATGGAAGGCAAAAAGGAAAGTATTTGCTAAACAAAAACAGCCCTAGAGGCAAGTTATCAAGTTTGGTAATTTTTGTAATTTATGTAAAAAATATTTGTTTCATTAATTTTTAGTTTTATATCAATGAAAACCCTAGTTGACAAAAAAAATCAGTGAAAACCCCAGTAAAATCAAATTGTTAACAAATAAAATAATATTTCTATATAAAGATAAAAATAGTTCATGAGTAATTACGAAAATCTGAATTTAGAACATACGTCAATTTTTTTTAAATGAAACTTACGAATAACGATAGTATATTTGTAGAAAAAAGATTCTAGCTTCTAAGGTTTCTACTTTCTAGTGTGTGGTCTAATTTTTCATTAAAATTTCTAGATTATGAACATAAAATATTAAATTTAATATGGTTTTATTTTGATATAACAACTTTAGTCTAGTCTTCGTTCGGAGTAAGTTCACAACATGTATATATATCCTTTAAAATTAAAAATTCCAAAATATTTCCATTAAATCTTAATTTTGTTTTATATATAGATTTCAGTTCAATTTTGGGTTAGCTGAATTTGTATGACACGATGAACATGCATGCAACAGATTTTAGGTTTCTATATACAGCGTACGTAAGATTTATTAATTATTTCAATCAAACCAATTTTTTTCGTTGTACTTCTATCAACATATATATCTCCCTCAAACTCATAAACATTGGCAGATCCAGGATCATGAAAAAAAAATCATGAATATTATATTTTTGTATAATGATAAAGAAAAAACTCATAAACAGCAGTGTTTTCAATCTTACACTCCAAAAAATTATGTGTTGTATCATTTATTTTATTTGTTAATATCATTTTTTGATTGATGCTAATCATTTATATCAATATTATTAATGATGCAACTATTTTTATTACTTATATTAATTGATATTAATATATATCATTTGCAATAAGTGATATTAATATTTCATCACTTAAAATAAATGATATTAATATTTACTATAAATTATAATAAATGATATTATATATTTAAATTCAGATATATTAAAATTTGTTTTAATATTATAAATTTAAGATACCTAATAATTTTATATTTATTATTCTAAGAAATGTATATAAATATATACATATGATTTAACATTAAAAAAATAGTGTTGATGAATTTCTTTTATAGAGGAGAAAACTAGTGCTCTTCATCATTCTTAGCAATGTGAGACAAATAGTTGTTTAGTGAAAATTTTATTTGCATCATTTTTCTAACTTAAAGAAATATTAGCATAATTTATTATTGATGCTAATGCCAATTGATCAAATGCTTCACTTATATGATTGATGTAAATTTATGTATTTGTGTTAGTTTTCAAAAGTGATATAAATTAATAATGATTTGTATCAGTTTTTTTTAATTGATGTTAATTAAGTTGATATTATTATCAATTATTTTTAATTGATACTAGTCAAGTTAAGATTAGTATCAATTAAAAAATTGAAGTGAAATTTTATATCTAGTGTCAATTTTTAATTAGTAATTTTAAATAAAATCAGTTATTTTAATGACACTTTACAAGTGACTAGGTTTATAACTTGCGAGTCTGTATTAATAGTTTAATTTAACTTTTTTTAAAGTATTATCTTATAAATTATCAAAACTATAATAGATTTATAGAAAAATCTTTTATATAAGCAAAAGTAATATATAATGCGTAGTTTCCTCCTATTTTTATTTATAAAGTTTAAATTTTATTATGTGAAATAATAATAATAACACCTATCAAATTATCCAACTTTGACATACACATACGTTTGATTTAGAGAAATGTTTTTTTGCTAATATATTGGTATTTTGTTTTGGTTTTCATAGAATTTCTACAGTTATTTTTTCTTTAAATTTTATGTATTTAAATATTTAGTTTGTTTATTGAATGTGATGTTGTGTACATATCCATTTATAATACATGATTCATGTTGATTCATATTTAATTTTGTTAGGAAGTTGCAATGATCATGCAAAGCTATTTGTAATATACATTTTTTCTTGTAGTGTTATTATATAAATTTATGAGCTATAAAATGTTAAATTACAATTTTTCATATATATATATATTATATATATTGAAAGCGTAATG